AGATCTGTAAATAAATGGCTTGCTATGTTCCATTAACAACCCCACCCCCAATAATAATAGTAATAAAACAGTGACTTTTCCATATACAGTTACCTCCTGTTAAAGCTGCCAGCTGAAGAAGAAAATATTGACTAAAATGTGGTGCCATTTGAAAGTGAAATCACATTGCTGCTTAGAACCCACTGCGGTTTTTGGATGTGGTGCTGTATCCATATGCTTCCAATCAGGAAGGGCTTTGGAGCTCTCTCCCAGAATATATGGCTTCCATGAAGCAGGAGGAGAGAGCAGCAAAATTGCAGATGCAGTGAAAGAAGGAGTTCCCTCTCTTAGAGCAGAAGGGTGAAACCTGAGAACAAAAATAAAATGGCTCCTTTAGTTAAAGGAACAGAAGTTGGTAACTAAAAAGTTATTCAGAGAAGGCAACAGAAAGGCAGATCATGACAAGTCTGGGGGTTGGAGGGCCCCCGGGAAAGGGACCCCTCAGGGCACCTCGTCCTCAGGAGTGGGTGCTCCAATTTCTTTTCCGATGCTCATGCCTTTCTGGATTATGGATGTGGTGAAGTCCGTTCCGTTCGGTTTTGCAGAGTGCTAGAGGCCCTTCACTCTCTTAATGCACCCACAGCTGGCATCCGATTTGGTACAATTGCCCTGCTGCACATTGGCCTAAATTCACACTTACTCAGATGTCTACTCCCAGAAGGTTCAAATCCCTCCCAAATATATGCAGCTCTAAAAAATATATATGTCCACACTTTATCCTGTGAGGAAAATTTATATTATTATTTGACCTTGGTTTTTCTTTGGGGGGGTACTTTTTATGGCTAAATTTGCATACACTTAAAGAATGTTTTAAAAAGCTCTGCACAGCCACTGAATCTATGTGAGTCATGCATGTTTTTCCAGATGTTTGCATCAATTATGCACATTTCTGATACACACACTTTTCCCATTGTTTAAAACATATTTGACACACATTTTTTCAACAGCTCACTTTTACATGCACAATTTGTCTAGTGCGCACGTGCTGAGTCCCTTTTTGATTCATGTAAATCAAAGTCTGGCAAAACATGGTGATGCTGAACATTGCTCATTCTCCTCTCCCTCCTAAAGTGTGCAAATTCTGGAAAGAAGGAATTTACCTCCCAAAATGCACCTATTTCAAGCACAAGTGCAAGGCTCTTTCTGAAAGAGAAAGATGCTCCTTTTTCACGCTCGGGCGCACATTTTGCATTTGGAGATTTTGCAGCTTGAAAGCCCTCCTGACGCCCTGACTTCGGCATCTGCAATGTGACGAATTGGAGAGTTTGGGCAATCCATCTTAGGAGTCCTGTTGGAGTCACTAAAACTGTCACAAGAATGTGCTAAAGCCTTTGTCTGCTTTATTGCCTACAAATTGGCACTCAGCCCCGGGATTTTAAGGCTTGGCCACTATGGGCGAGCTAGTGCATTCATTCATCAGTTCCTGCCAGTCCCACTTCACTGGAGTCCTAGCGTGTTGATTCTGTTTGGGTGTGTGGTGCATCTCCGTGGCCTTCCTTCCCTTGGCTGAGTCAACTGGGAGAGACAGAAGCTGGAACTCTGAGAGAAGGCAAATGGGAGGACGCTGCATGCACAGGTTCTAGGTAGCACATGGAGCTTCCAAGGGAGCTCAGGACTGTATTTCTGGAATTCTTCTCTTTGCATCGAGAGGGTGAGGCTTCTCCTGTGCAGCCAACACCAGAGCTCTGTGTCCTCACTTGTGTTGCTCAGTGGGCAGTGTTAATCCAGGAACTACTCACAAATGGCAAAACTACTCACAAATCTGAAGAATGTAAGGAAAGCACTGCTGCATTGGACCAAGGAAGGAACCATCAGGTGCACCATTCTGTTTACACAGTGGTCAACCAGGCACCCGTTTGGCCTGCAAGTAAGAAATGGAGACTGGGCTGCCCTTCCCACTGGGCTCCCGGCAGCGGATGCCTGTGTGGCTTAAAGCAGGCAGGCAATCTGCTGTGTCTGCCGGGAGAGCAGCATGCCCTTTCATTTCCAGGGAGGCATTTGGGGAGGTCTGTCCACAAGGTTGCAGCTTAAATGCTTGTGGGCAGAAGAGAGAACAACCGGGACGAATGAACTTGTGCTGGTTGACCCATGGTGGAAGGTGCCAGTGAGGAACTTCCTGCAAGATTTTATAGCTTCTGTAGGTCTGGGTGTCTTGTGCCTCTTCCTGTGCAGATCCACAGTGTGTCACTGATTTGCGCCATCCGTGGTCGTGTTACCCTTATGGGAGCAACTTATCTTCGGTACAGTGTTTGCCTTCTGATGGCCTGGCAGCCACGTGAGCATCAGCGGAACAGAGCGGCTGTCCACAGCAGCTCCCCGTAATGGTGTTTCAGCGGAGGGTTCAGGGGTGAGGCGACATGCCCCCCCCCGGGCCCCGGGCCCTCCAGCCACCCTGCTCGTGGGCACCTGCTGCAGTGGCAGAGCTGTGGGCCTTGGGGGATGCGTCCGCCCTCAGGATCTCACAGCACACGGCAACAGTGCCGGTTTGGGCAGACTGAGGCCAGGGCGGCCTGCTGCCTGTGGCTGTGCGTTAAAGGCTTCTTGGGGATCTCTTACTTGTGCACAGAACAGTGCATCTCCGTGTGCAGGGCAGTAGAAGCCCCCTTTATTCCTTTGCGCAAGGGGCAAAAGCAAAAGTGAGGGGAAAAGGATAGGAAGGTCCTCCTTCCAGATATGTTTGGATTAAGACTTCAAGGAGCTTTGGTTGGCAGTGTCTGGGAAGCAACTTGAATTGAATTAACCTTTCCAGCCCCATGGGAGACTAACTAAGACAAAGATTATGACCTCCAGAAAGCACAATGGCTGAATAAGGAGCAACAGGTGCTGTCTGGTCAGGCTGCAATGTGGAAAGTCCATTGTTGAGATAGGGAGCCAGGCTGATGAGCTTTGCAGATCCTCTCTCTCTCTCTCTCTCTCTCTCTCTCTCTCTCTCTGATTTTCCATGGGAAAAGAGGAAAGCAAGGCTTTCAGTCTGATGTCTTGAGTGAGAAGGGCTGGGCTCAGTCAGCATAGCTCAAGCTTGCTGAAGTTTTGCTAATTCATACAACCTCAACTTCAGGTATTTGGCAATTTCCTCTGATGATGGGGGCAGGGGACAGGAATGTCACCCAGCCCTCTCTGTGACTGCATGTCGTTGATTCATTTCTTTAAATGGGAATGGATAAAAGGTCGCAAGTGAGAAAAATCTTGCAATGGGACCAAAACGCTCCAGCTCCCCTCATGATGGCTGACTCATCCTCCGCTGGAGGCAGATGAATCAGTCGATGCTGCAGCCTTCAGGTCAAGGGCATGCATGTTTAAAGCAGCCCTTGGAAGCCACAAGCAGCTGAGATGGGATTCCAGGCACGGGGCCCTTCAGGAGTCCAGGGTGGAAGGGGTCCCATCTGCCTGGCCGGAGAGAGCCTGTCCATGGACAAAGGCAGTGCTCGGCATGCCCAGGTGCTCAGGCCCAAGCTGGCCCCAGGGGCCAGTGGCATGGCAGGCCTCCTCCTGAGGACCCTCACTGCCCCGCCCTGAAGGAGGGTGCCCCCAGCAGGCCCCGCACTGACCCACCCGCAGTTCTTTCAGTGCTATATACAGAAGGCAGTTTCCCACCAAGACCAAGCAGCTGAAAACATGTTGCATTACAACAGGAAGCAATATAGTTTTAATGGGGAACTCCATTAAATTCCCAGCTACTGTGAAGACTACAGCTAAGCCTCGTGAGAACAGGAAGGCCAGCAGATGGGAGGGGGCAGGTGTGGTCAGAATCCGCGTAAATAGGACACTGCCTGGGCTTTGTCCCTCTGGGCCCTGGTGCCACGGCATTATCCACCCCTCCCCTGTCTAACCTGCCCTGTTAGCCGTAAGGCTCCCTTTGCTGAGGAGGACTGGGCCAAGGGTGCTTGTTCCGGGCTCCTGAGCTGTGGGCTTGGTGGGCAGTCGCTTTGCCCCACTGTAAAGCAGCTGCTGCCCCATCCTCAATTAGCAGGGCCAGGAGGGAGGCACTGGTGCCCCCCCCCCCTGCTGTGTGGATATGTTTGGGCACAGGCAAGTGGAAGGGAGGAAAGTGAAAAGTCAGTTTACACATCTTCTGCTCCAGCCAGGGCTAAAGTGGATTCTTGGTGACAAGCCAAAGAATAACAAAAGGTTTCCTGAGGACTCATCTCAGGTCCAAACTGAACTTAGCCTGTTTGGGAGGCGGCAGTGGGCAGAGGACAGATAAGCCAGGGAATGCCTTCGCAGGAAGGCAGAATTCTGCCCTTTGGACCACACGCCCTTCGAGCGTCCATGTCTGGGCACTGCCTAGGGCCAAGCCAAGATAGCACCGGCTATTGGGCAGTACAGAAATTATTAAAATCTATAAGAAATGAAGTGTCTGTACGTGAAGTTGCTCAGATGGCAGTGAGGTACCCTGGAGAACCTTCCCAAGGGTGCCAGGAGTTGGCTCGCTGCATGTGGACGCAACCCTTGGAGCCCAAGGTCTCTCCCAGATCACAATTTTGACAGCTTCCACCCCATTTGCTCCTGGGGCCAGGGCAGACATGGGGCTGGGGGCAGGAAGCTGCCCTCCACGAGCGGTCTGTGGGGTGCCCCGAGGAAGCGCAGTGTGATTTTCCCCACCCTTGAGCTGCCCCAGGAGCACCGGAAGAAGCATATAGAAACACAGAGCAAGTCAGAAGGGTCCTCCTGGACCATCTAGTCTGACCCCCGGCTCCAGCCAGCTCCGCTCGCAACATGCCCACCAAAGACCTCCCCACTTTCCCATATGAAGGGAAGGTGGGGAGGATCTGGGCCGGGAGACTAGCTTGCCGACGCGGGGAGGGTGCCTGGCTTCCTGGTCCCCGGACCTGAGGCCGAACCTCTGAAGAGGCCCTGCAGGGTGTGCATCGCAGCTGGGGGCTGACCCTCCCTCCCTCCCTCCCAGGCAGAGGCACACAAGTGCCCTCCTGAGCACCGCCTGTGCTTGCTCTCTCCTCCAGGGCGACATCCAGCAGCTCCTCTTGGCGGATGACTACCGGGCAGCCTATGATTACTGTGAGCACTACAGCCCCGACTGCGACACGGCCGTCCCAGAAACGCCGCAGTCCCAGGACCCAAACCCGGATGAGTATGTAAGTGGAACCGAGGGCAGCAGGCGCGCGCTGAGCACAGCTGCAGGCTGCAAGGGCCCTGGCACCGCGCGCCTCAGGGTGCCCAAATCTCACCTCCTCGGGGGTGCCATGTGCAGCTGCAGCCTTGGGCCTTCATCCCCCTCCCCACCCAATTTAAGGCCAAGTGGACTGCATCTCACGTGCAGAGTGTGGAGCGCAGAGCAATTCCTCCGGCCCCAAGCGTGATGTCAAGGCTAGGAACAAGGCAGGAATTCCTTCTGTTGTGAAGCACCATGCAAACAGAAATCAGTGGCACACCAGAAATGGTGCTTCTCCAATTTTGCAGTCGAGGCGTGTGTGCGTGCATGCATCTGTTCCAGGGAAATGCCCCGAGTCCAGATGGTTCTAAGAAAGCTCAGAGCCCCCTTCTACCTCAGAAATGCACCACAGGGTTGGAGCTGGGGCCGTGAGCTCCACGTGCCCCCCACCCCACTTGTGGCTGGCATGGAATGCCCCACTGCTCCGAGGACAGAAGACCAGCCCGTGAGCTGGTGCGGGGCATGTCCCTGGGTGCAGGGGGGGAGGGCCCTCGCAGAGACAAGGCATCCTGTGGGAGCCTCAGCCAGTCCTGGTCATGGGGGAGAGGTGGCCAAAACCAGCCATCTGCAGTCTTCTGAGCGCAGGTGAGGCCGGCAAAGCATCTTCCCCCACCCCTCCCTGCCCTGCCCTGCCCTTGGTGGGATGCCTGCATTCAGGGTACCTGGGCAGCCACCGCAGAGCCTGCTGAGAGTGTGTTAGTGAAAAAACGCATGCCCTGCATTAAGGAAATAGGTATATTAGGTAAAAGAGTGCAGAGATGCATGTGCGAAGCCAAACGCACGCAAGCCTTTTCATATGAATTTTGCAAAGCATTCTCAAAGCTTGGGATGAAGCAGGCTTAAGGCTGGGAAAATGAGCAGTCGGTATCCACGGGAAGCGACGGGCTCGTCTGGCCCCTGGGCGTGGGGTGGTTCTAGCTCAGGCGTGGGTGCGGGAGGCAGGAACGCAGCCAGTGTGGCATCCGTGGTGCTTTTCCTGAGAAACCCCATTACTGAAAAGTCTCCTCCTTGCTGGGAAGCCTGTCCAACATGCTCTCTGGCTTTTGCAGTCTGCTCACAGGGGGCGGGGGGGGGGGGCACACTTCACTCCGCCCCAGAATCTGTGGATGCAGCTGAAGAGGCAGGCAGCAAACGGAGGAACGGGCTTTCCTTGTTCAGTTCGTGAACCAATACAGAGCCAAAGCTCTCGGGGCATCGGACATAATAACAGTGAATGCAAGAAACAGTGATAAAATATGAAGGCATTAAAAGTAGAACAACAGTGCCAGCAACAGCGGCACCTGTGCGGGGAGCAGTCTGAATGTGAAATGGTTTCCGAGAGAGGAATGTTCAGCAGCTTAAAGATGGGAAAGGACTCAGATGCAGCGTTAGGCATGGTGGTGAACGAAGTTTGGTGCCTCTGGAGTTTAGGCTGCTCTGTCTGGTTTGCAGTACACGGACGGGGATGGAAACCTGGAAGTGGAGGGAGAAACCTACTATTACGAATACCCATATTATGAGGACACCGGGGACACAGGCAAAGCTGTTCCGCCCACCGCGGGCCCCATGGACAATGAGGAGGCAGCCAGGGGGGCAGCAGAAACCGCAGAGGTGAGGAAGTATGAGATGCTGGCACGGCCGCCCTCCCACACGTAGGTGTGGGGTGTCAGAAGTGCTCCCCTCGCCGGGTGGGAGGGACGTGGGAGGAATCCACCAGGGAATCTCATGGATTAGCCGTTGCAGGACCTGGCCTGCCACTCCCCCTGCAGTCCACCTTTGGCTGAGTTCATGGATTCCACGGCATGCGGAAGTCCTTCTTTTTGCTCTCCATAATTTTGCAGAAGTTTAGTTGTAGAAAAGATTTGGGAAAGGAAACTCCAAAGATGCAGATTTTCACACAGAGTAAAGTACAGCGATGTGCGTTTTCAGGAGTGCAAATCAGCACACGAATTGATGTGAATCGGCACGAAAGCACTTGCACAAAATCCGATTCCACCAGTGAGCAGAGGAGGGAAGCCGAATCGCCCGACACAGGCAGAATGGGTTCCAGAGCGCTCGGTCCCCCTGAAAGGCCTCGGACCCCTTCACGGGGCCTGCCTCTGACTGGCGCTTGGGGCAGAGGCTAGGGCGCTACTGGGCCGGGGGACCTCCCACAGTGGGCCCCTCAGGGGTGTCTTGACCGTGTGGCTTGCCTCCCCCTGCCAAGCCCTGGACCCCATGATCAAGTTCCTGGGTCCCGCTGTGATTGCCACGTCTGAGGGAGGTCTGAAGGGTGGCCAGAAGAGCCTCTGGGAGAGGCCTCCCGCTGAGGCCTGCCCGGTGCCAACTGGGCCATCTTTTTGGCACCGGGAAAAGACCATCCTCTACTGCAGGGCATCTAATTACTCACTGGGGCCTGCTGGTTGTTAGACAGGCTTATCTGGGTCTACTTATTTTTTGTTTTTCTGTTTTTTATTTAGTTTTAACTTTTGTATTGCCAGCTTTTAAGATGCTTTAATATGTTGTAATTGGTATGTTTTAAATATGCTGCTGTGAGCTGTCCTGATAGCTTCAGCTGTTCGGTGGTACAGAAAACCAACCAGCAAGCAAACTTCAGCTGGGCGCTGGGGGCCGGGGGCGTGTTTGTCGCTGCCTGTGCACGCCTCACCGCCGCCTCCTCTCTGGAAGCAGGACCCTCCCCCTCCACCCACACCGGCCCCCCCTGTTGTTGACACCACCCAAGAGGAAACCAAGGAGGAAGAAAAGGTGGACGACCTGCTGGTGGACGAATACCACTATGGGACCTTGCCTGAGGAATACTACACTCCACTGCCCTATGAGGATATCGGCTACGATGATCTCGATAATTTGGACACACTTCCGGAAGGTGCTGTCAAGGCAGAGGTTCCCACCAGCACGGTTATCACGTACAACGAAACTGATGTAATTCCTTCTGCGTTGGCTCTGATATAGTTCTTTTTCTTGGCACACTAGGCTTGTCCAAACTCACCTGGAAGTGGTGGAGGTTGATCGTGGGAAGGTCTGGGTGCAAAGCAGGAGTTCTACCCCGAAAGCTATTCCCATGCAAACGCTTCCGCAAAAGGGGGACTCTCCACAGATCCAACCAAGAAAGCTGATCTACTGTCCAGAACCAGGCCTCCTGCCAGGGCCCCCCGGGAAAAATCTCACCAGCCTCTTCAGGAGGGCCAGCCCAACACTTTCAGGAGCCACAGGACAGTGGTCCTCTCGGCCCGCAAGGGGTGACACTAGGGCTCAAGAGGGATTTCTCCCATCCCTACCCCAGACAGTAGGTCAGGCTGTTCCGCAACCGGCAGGGTTACCACGGCATGAAGATGGCTTGGAACAGTTCCCTGGAGCAGCAGAGGTGAACGCACCGGCCTGCGGGGCAGGCTTCCTCCCTTGCAGGAAGAATTCCTGCCCTGGTGTGCGTTCTTCTGCTCCTCCCAAGCAGTTGAGGGCAAGCTGAATGCCCGTGGGAGCCCAAAACAAGCCCCCTCCTTCAAAGCGGAGCCTGCTGCCTACAGGCCGGTCCCCTCTGGCCCTGCTCCCTCGCCTACCCTCCTAGGCCAATTTGTATGATCGGGTGTCGGCTCTGCCCTAGCCCCCGCCTGCTGGCTCACTAGACTCTCCCAGCGATGGGCACTGTCTGCTTCCTGGCCACCGCCTGGGATCAGCAGCGAATTCCTTTTCCCCTGAATTGGAATACAGCTCACCAACCCCCGAAGGCTGCAGGGAAGGGGGAGTGGGCCCCATCCCTGGAATCCTGCTCGGGGGGCCACATGGCCATGGTGGGTGGGGCGGAAAGCAAAGGGGGCAGCATAAAAATGCCCCAGATGTGTTTGCGTCAAGCTTCTCTGGCCGTGACGAAGCCTCCAGGGAGGACTTTCGGCGTTTTGGAATGGGGTGGAGGCACAGAGGTCAAGAAAGGACCCGGCAGTTTGCGGGCGAGGCCAACTGGCTCTGCCCAGGGAAGGAGCCCTGGCCAGCTGCGAAGCCCCGGGGCCCCTTGCCACGTCTCGGTTCCTCTGACGCGCTGTGCTGCCCTCTCTGCCCAGGCTGCCGGCCCCACGACGGAAGGTGAGGAAGACCCTGACAAGGACTTCTCTGTCACAGATTACGAAGGCGGCTACTATGATGGCTACTACGACCCAACGAGTTCTCCCGACCTTGGGCTGGGCATGCCTGCCAACCAGGACACGATTTACGAAGGGGTAAGGGGAGAGCTGGCCTCTTGAGGCTGCTGAGTCGCAGCTGCGGGTTCACCGGCCGGGCAGGTGCCAGGGCAGGTGGGCAAAGAGAACTGGGTGGTGCCGCCCCCGTACCAGCCCTGTGTGGCCAGGGGTCCCCAGCGGGATCTGAGCAGGCCTGCTCGCCCAGCTCGCTGCTCCAGCAGTGCTAGCCAGTCGCCCCCGTGGGAGGCCCTGGAAAGGGCACGAGCCCGTTCCCTGTGCCCTGCCACTGAGCTCTCCATGCGAGCGTATTGTCCTTGGGACGGTTGCCATTAATGGCTCCCCCCCCCAGTGGGTGGCCATCCCTGCATCTTGTGGCAATGAGTTCCACGGTGAATGCTGTGTGAAGAAGGCCTTCTTCTAATTTGTCCGAAATTCTGTGCCAGTCAGCTTCAACACTTGCACTCTAGTGTTACGAAGTATGAATGCAAATGCTTCTAGCCCCCTTCCTCCAAACCAGCTCGCAATTTTGCGTGGCTCCAGCATTTCTCCCCTTGTTCAACAAGTCCAGAGAACCACAGGGCTTGCTGCTCACCTGGTGTGCACACGGCAGGTCAGGAAAGGGAGGGGGCAGGAGGTCTCCAGCGGGGTTAGCAAGCAGCGTCAAGCGACCTGTGAGGGAAGAGAAGCTTTTCTCCAGAAGGTGCCATGCAAAGAGATTGGGGGGCAAACATTGCAGGAATGAAAGATGGATGGACAGACAGACAGACAGGGTTTTCAGGCGCATATCTGCAATATAATCCAGACCAAAAATGCCACAATTGAGAGAGCATTCCTGTGGGAGACATGGGCTTGCTCTGAAAATTGGCTGCAAACCACACTTCTGCCTCAGAAAGGGGGCTGCCCTCGCATGCCTCTTCCACAGCCTGGCAGGAGAGCATGCGGAGAACTGCCCAGTCGGCCCCCCAGGGGCAGGGGGGGTGGATTCTGCTGGGCCAGGAAGAGAGCGTCTAGCAGGACCAGGATGTGATATTCCGAGCCTCCCCCACCCCTCCAAAACACCCTCTCCAGGCAGGCCAAATGGTCTGCCAAGGACAGACCCCACGTGGAGGGCAGGGAGCAAAGAGGGGTCATGCTGGAAAGCTGGCAAGTGGAGAGGAAACAAGAACCCAGAGGTGAACTGGCTTATCTTTGACAAAATTTAAGTAAATTGTCTCTAAGGAAGTCATGGCAATCTGCAGTGGAGTCAAGTGGATTTTTCTGAGCCTGCTCCATGGATTCCCCCTGGCTTTTCCTGATGCTTGTCAGTTCTGTGCTTTTTCTTTCGGAATTCTGGCATTTTTGGAAGTATAGGAAAAATTGGTGGTACCAGAATGCAGGGAGGAAAAGGAGATGATTTTTGCATTCCCCACATGAGCTCCAGCATGAAATGAGCAGTTTGGGATTTGCACCAAGGCACCTTTGCGCAAGCACACATTCTCTGGCACAAGCAGAAAGTAGGGAAATTGGGGAGTGTCCAGTTGCATCGGTCGGCAGGTGATGGAAGGTCTGGCGAGGTGCCAACACAGACGGGACGGCACTGCCAAGATCCACACACCCTTCCTGTCCCTAAGTTCGGCCTCTGGACCACAGGTCTCAAGAGCTGCCACGTAGCACCAATATTTAGACATTGCTCCAGAGGTATCTGGGAACGCTCGCATTGCAGCCAGCAGGTGCCCTTGGAGTTTGGCCAACGTCTTATTGGCCAGGTGGGATGCTTGGCGTCAGCCACTCCGCTGGCAGCCCACATCATTCGGTGGCAACTCGTGCAGCCGCTGGCTCTCCTCAGACAGCTCTTGTCTTCTCGTTTGGTGCAGATCGCGGGGCCTCGAGGCGAGAAAGGCCAGAAGGGCGAGCCAGCGATCATCGAGCCGGTAAGAGCGGAGGCCTTGCTTTGTTGTATCCCTTCCGGCTGGGAAAAGTTGCGCAGCACCAGCGGGGGAAAGCTGCGTCTCCCGACACGTGCATGGATCCCACTTTGCACGTGATCCTCCGGTCACACACCAGGGCACCATTGCGGAGACGCCCTTGGGGGCCACATGCTGGGCTGGGCAGGGCAGAGGAAGCCGCGCCCCAGTTTCAGCATCATACTGCTTGAAGCTCTCCAAGCCTTCGGAAGGACATCGCGACCTTTCAGAACTAGGGAAGCCACGAAACAGCTGGCAGGTGGAAGGGCCAGTTGAGGCGCCCCCGGGATGGGTGAGCCAGACCCTCTGGCATGGCTCCATCCATGAGGAGGGGCCCCTGAAGCATCGCTTCTGCACCCAGGGGCCACCACATGCAACATGCAGCTCAGGGACACTGGCCTGGCCAAGTCAGCTTCTATCCCCACTTTCTTGCTGTGTGTGTGTGTGTGTGTGTGCGCGCGCGCGCGCGCGCGTGCATGTGTGTATGTGTGTGTTACATTAAAGACCACTTGGAAGTCTGAGGGGGGATCCCAATTTCTTTGGCTGCCTCTGCAGCTTCATTAGCAGTGATCATGAAGAAGCCTTCTGAGGCAGTTTCTTTTTGCAGAAAAGCCTTGCAGGGTTGTAAGCTGCCTTTCCTGCAGCGGGAAGCACAGCTGATCGTTGCAAGGAAAGAAACACAGAAGGCATTTGAGACCCCAGCTTCAGACGGCATCTTTACTCCGCCTCAAGGGCTCAGTGTATGGGTAACAAGGGCTGCTCTTGAGCCATGAGTCTGAACCCGGCCAAGATAACAAACTGGGACTTATTAACCACAAGAAACCCATCATGGTTTGCTGTTGCCGTGTGGACTGTGGGTTGTTCATCCAAGCTTCTTATCCCTGGGGCATCGGCCTAAGGGCGCCGAGCCGTTTGGGGCCATGCAGGGCTTGACTGGGCCAGGGACTCTGTTCTTTTATTTGTGGGGCATTTGGGGATTTTAAGTTAATGTATTGTATTCTTACTGTATACCATGACTAAGCTGTATTTTATTGCTAGGTTTTAATTTAATTTTGTTATGGGTGTGCCTGGGGAGCACGAGGGCACCACCATTGGGGTGGTAATGGGAAGGGGAAGATATGGCGGTGGGGGGGGTCTATCAAGTCAGCTAAGAAGAAGAAGGGACAAATGTCTCATATCTGTCCCCTTTTCTGGTTATTCCCCCAACTGGAGGGTTCTGGGTAGTTTTATCAACTGCCCTTTGGGCCTGACGGTGCTGTTGGTGAATGCCAGGTCGGTCCACAATAAAACATCTCTCATCCACGATTTAATTGTGGATAAGCGGGCCCACCTGGCGTGCATTACGAAGACCTGGGCGGGAGAAGGGGGGGATGTCTCCTTTACTCAACTGAAGGGGGAGATGTCTTACTTTACTCAGCATCCATCAGCTACGTCCTTACCTGGACGAGCACTGCCTAGCAATGGTGACACACGCTCTGGTAACTTTCTGGTTAGATTACTGTAATGCGCTCTACGTGGGGCTGCCCTTAAAGATGATCCGGATACTTCAATTGGCTCAGAGCAGAGCCACCAGATTGCTGTCGGGGGCCGGTCGCTATTCTCATATAACAGCTTTATCAGCTTCACTGGCTTCCAGTTGAAGCCCCAGCCCAATTTAAGGTGCTGGTATTGACCTATAAAGCCCTAAACAGCTTGGGACCAGGATACCTAAAGGAATGTCTTTTTCCCTACATGTCCACCCACCCCTTAAGATCTGTAGCAGAGGCCCTACTCCGGGAACCCTCCTTGAAGGAGGTTAGGAGAGCACATACTCAGAGGAGGGCCTTCTCTGCAGTGGCGCCCCAGCTATGGAATGCGCTCCCCAGAGAGGTCCGCCTGGAGCCAACTTTATATGCTTTTCAGCGCCAGGTCAAGACCTTTTTATTCTTCTGTACTGTTAGTGTTTAACATTTTAACTAAGTTTTATGCTCAGTCATGGGTTATTTTGTATTATTTGGGTATATATGTATTTATTGGGTTTTTGACTTGTAAGCCCTCCAGAGACCCTCAAGGTATTGGATGGAGTAAAAATACCCAAATAAATAAAGAAACAAACTCCCATCTGGTTTCAGGCGACATGGTAACCAACATTTCAACAAAGGGTCATACTCAGCCATACTCAACTCTGAGTGGGGAAGAGAGTGAGATTTGTCCGGTTCCCGTTTCAATGCAAACTTGACTAATCTTGAGAGCCAGTGTGGTATAGTAGTGAAGAGCACAGGATGGGAACTTGAGTGACCCGAGTTCTAGTCCCTGTTCAGTTCAGCCATGGAGTCTGTGAGTGGCTTTGGGCCAGTCACAGACTTTCAGCCCAGCCTCCCTTGCAGGGCTGTTGTTGTGGGGCTAAGAATGAGAATGGCAGGAGGAGAATGAAGTAAGCTGCTCTGAGTTCTTTGAAAAAGCAAAAAGGCAGGATATAAATCTAATAAATAAATAATAATTTTGAACCTATGTGCATAATCCACCTTTCCTTCAAAATTCAAACTTTGCTGAATTTTGCAATGGAGTTCTCCAACCAAAGCCTGCAGATCAAACAAAACGTGTATTTTTGGAAATTTCCCCACAGATATGTGCATCTGAATGAAACCAGTAGGAAAAATACCTTAAAAGGAGGAAAGAATATTAGGCAGATTTGCTTAAGGACAACCACACCTCCAGAAAACCGCACACAGAAATGCTGTTTTGTTTCGGCCTCTTTGTTGATGAACTGCCTTTGTGCTTGTGAAAATGAAAAACTGAAACAATCCAAAACTGACAGTTTCATCCATTCCTACTTTCCGTTCCCTTTCAGAAAGTATGTCCTACTTTCCCCTCTCTCTTCATGCAACTTCTGCATTGCTAACTGTTGCACCCCTGAACCTCAAATCCTGCAGCGAAGTGCCCTTAAAGATTGCCCAGTGCAGAGAATGCCGTGCGGCCCTGGCTCTGGGACCGCCTGCCAGTCATTTTCCTGGGCAAGAGTTGCAACGGGGTGCTGTGGCCGGAGCACGGGATGGGGACTGAGGGGGCCCGGGTTCCAGCCTCTGCTTCACGGTGGGGCCGTGGGGCAGTCACAAGCTCTGGGCCTCATCTCCCTCACAAGGAGGTTGTGAGACTCAGGCGGAGAGGAGGAGGACCAGCTCAGCCACCCTTCCTGCGGCTGCACCCTCCTGGTTCCTTTTCGCAGCAGCTCCTCTTTCATGCTTCCCCTCCTCTTCTTCACGCCGGTAAACCGAGGAGCCCAGGTTGTCCGAGGCAGGCAGCTGCACCTGGGAGCGTGGGCACGGTCCCTGGTGGCTTTTCCTGTGGGAGAAAGGGATGCAGGAGTGGCAGCAGAGGGGACTGCTCTGCACTGGGCCCACACCCCGTCCTTTGCCCGTTCGCACCTCAGCAAGAAATGTGCAGGGTTGTGTTTCTGTCGCATGTGGTTGTGGGTCAGCAGTTTGTCCAACCCAAGTGCAAGCGGTTGCCTAAACTCCTCTCTCCATGACACTGCAGAGAGAACAACCCAGTTCAGTCACCTCCATCATCTCCCAAGAATTTGGCAGCCGCGGCTGCTTGCAAAATGCTGGACTGCCGAGGCAGATTCTTGCCAAAAAGCAAACAAGACCAAATGCCGCCGCCTCTCTCCGCAGGCCTGTCCGAAGGAGGGGGGTGGGGGTGGGGGTCCGTGTGCTTTCAGGAGTGCTCCTTTCCTTGCAAAGGCTTCGATGCACGGAGAGGACCCAGGCAGAAGTCGCTCCGGGCTGGACTGGGTGCGCCTCCTCCTCCGAGTTCACGGCCCGCGGCCTCAAAAGACCAGCCCGAAGGGAGCGCCGCACACCCCTCCTGAGAGCAGCTGGCCCGCGGAGCCCAGGGCAGTGTCTCGGGTGGCCTGGCAGCCGAGCGAGGCCGTAAGCGGCCTCCACGGGGCTTTGGCCCTGAGCGTGTCCGTGGGCGGTGACACCCGTGTGCTCTTCCGGGCGGGCCTGCAGAGCCAGTCTTTCTTCATCCCACTGGCTCTCCTCATCTTCCTCCTCTTGCCCCCTCTGGATTCCCCACTCCTGAGCTCCAGGTGGCCAAGTGGCTGGAATTCCTTGCCAAGGACAGAGGGCAGCCTCTGCAGCTGCTCCCCAAGCTGAGCTGAGCCGCATGCTGGGAATGTTTGCATCCCGAATGGGCAGCTCTGCCGCCTCCGCTTTTTAGCCTTCTCGCCAAGGCCTGTGCCGTGCTTCTGGCAAGGGCTGGGCTGGGCTGGGGCCGTGTTATTCCCAAGCTGTTCCCAGGGCGATCCCACGTCCGGCCCGCCCAAGTGGCTCCGGGGGGCTCCTTATAAGGGCCGGTGCAGGCGAGTGCGAGGAGGAGGAGGCGGCCAGTCAGAACTGGGTAGCCACCGGCATCAAAGCCCACTCTGGGGGAAGGCCTCTGGGAGGCTTCTGATTCCAGCCCCTCCGTCTGGCGTACTTTCTCTCTCGTTAAAGCGGCAGCACTCACGTTTCCCTTCCTGAACCCCTTTAACAAAAGCACTGGGGTGGAACATCCCGTCTCTTCCTCCTGCTGCTCTACTCTGGATCATGGCACACTATTACTCTTTGGGGTGCTCTTTGGGAACATCATGGCAGGCCCCTATTCCTGACTGAGAACACCGTGTGTGGGTAACAGGCAATGCTAGCCCTACACAGAGCAGACCAGCCAACACAGATACGATATAAGCTACTCATATCTGGCTTAGGTTCCATTGGTCTCAATGCGCTGCTCTGTGGAGAAGCCACATTTGATTCTACCCTATGTGCATGGAGGGGGGAGGTCGAAGGCCACCCCTCCACAAAAGTGTGGATCAGGGCCCCTAAGCTTTCTCTAGGGGAGGGTCGAGCAACTTCAGCTTGTAAGGGGGGGCTCTCCATGATCTCAGAGAGTCAGTCCACGATGACACCCATGGTACAGACTCCTCTGCCATCGTGTGTGTGTGTGTGTGTGTGTGTGAAAGAGAGAGAGAGAGATTATATTACCCTCCTTCCACTTCAATGAAATTCAGCTCACAGCTGGGTGGCACCCCTCATTCATCACCACATGAGTTGAATGACCCAAGACTAGAAACCCTGTTCTCAGGAGCTCAGCACTCAAAAGCCTGGATGGGTGTGCCTGTTTTGCTGTCTCTCACAGTCACGTGTATGTCAAATTGTGCTTGTCCTGGAACTAGGGAAATTGCGGGATGTAGTGCATTTTGATGAGGACAGCACTGAAGTGAAATCCTCGCCCGTGCTCACTCCTGCGCGGCCCGAGGGCAGAAGCCTCTCCTTGCGGCTCTCAGCCTTCCCTGAGCAGGTTGGAGTGGACCCAGAGAACCGGGGCCCTGGTTGCCACTTGACTGCGTGCTGTGGGATTGCCCGGCAGCATGTGCCTCCGGTGCTCACCCATCTCCCTGCTGCTTTCTTCCAGGGCATGCTTCTCGAAGGCCCATCCGGCCCAGAAGGCCCAGCGGTAAGTTGTGCGCATCACCCCCACACGCGCCCCTGCTCCCCGTCCTCCCCTCCCAGTCACAGCCCCAAGTGCTGCCTGCATGTGTGACCTCCAGCGGTGCCAGCGGTGCCTGAGGCGCAGCCATTCCCACGTGACGGGCACCTCTCAGAAAGCCTCGCAGGGCCCTGTGTCCAGCAGCTGACGCTCTTTCCTTGCCTCCCCCGTCAGGGTCTTCCGGGGCCTCCAGGAACAACCGGGCCCATGGGTCCAGTCGGTGATCCCGGAGAAAGGGTGAGTTCCGTCACTCGGTTAGGGGAGTCGGCTCAAGGATGGGCCGTTTCTTGGGTGAGGCTGTTGGTCTTGGCCAGCCCTCCGCTTTGGTCTAGCTTAGGCCTGGTTTTGCTGCCTGGGTTGGAATGAACACATACATGGGGGGAGGGCAGAACTGTGGAGGTGCAGGGGCCTTTTTTAATCTCCTGGGCTCCCCCTGCAGACCGCAATCCATGTTTTGGGCCAGGGCATCTGAGCAGGCCCAGGGGATCCCTCAGGCAAGATTTGGGTGCCCAGATCTGCCCTCAAAAGAAGCCAGACTCGCCTGCTTTAGGCTGCCAGTCACTCGGGTGGCAATTTCAGATGTGCCACAAGCTTTGGGCCACTGCGGGTTTCAGTGGCCTGAGGCACGCGGGAGAAAGCGAGGCCAGAGAGGGCTGCCTGAAGCCTGGCTCAGGCCACAGAGGGGAAGTGGGGAGCTGCCTCAGCGAGCAGGCCACACTCTCCACGAGGACAGGGCTGCCTGTTCCCACAGGAGCCCACCTCCCCCGGGCCCACGGTGCAGATTTCCCTCTGGCTCTTTAGAGGAGATGGGAGAAGAATTAAGCCCACCCCCTCGACTCTACGAGACAAATGTGGAATTGCCGTCTTTTGGAGGCGGGGGGTCTTGGAATGCCGTGCTGTCCAGTCCGACATGCGGAGCAGGATCCGGCTCGGGGCATGGCGGGCAGAGAATCCTGCACAGGCAACCCTCTGCTCAGCGCTCTCCAGGCCAGCGGAGCCCGGGCCTCAGCGGCTGGGCAGCGTTGTCTCCCTGGAGCTGCAAAAGCACCTCGGCCTGATAGGCAGGTTGAAAACATCCAGTTGATTCCCAGGTCGGCTGCTTGGTTGTTTTTCAGTAGCACCCCTTAAGCTAATAAGTTAAAAGAACGCAGCTGGGAACAGGACAGAATATAAATTTAAAGGACTGTGGTGGTAGTAGGAAGCAGCAGCAAAAAATCAAATTTCGGCCACAAAAGTAAGATTAAAAGAAATATTGTTTTAGAAGGCCAGAGCACGGAGCAGCAACCTGCGGATCCCTCACAAACAAGTGCATTTCAGGAGATGTTCTGAGCCACATGCTCCACTCCGTGGACCAGCCTGGGGAAGCTGCTCCATCAGAAATGCACGGAGGTATTTCAAGACCGGGCAGAATGTTTTGCCCATGGATTCCTTCAAAGTATAATCTGCCTGTGAGGGCAAGGGAAATGTAGGATTCCACAGGCCAAATACTTGATGCCACGCTCTCTGAAGGCCATCCAGCTCCGGGAAAAGCTTCCCTTTGCAGCAGCCCGCAGACAGGGCTCCAGGGTTCCACCTGCGTCTCCAGCAGCAGCCCTTATTTTGGGGTGCTCTGGGCTCAGCCTGGATTTCCTTGGGCTGGCTGCATCCCTGCTTAGAGAGCAAAGCCAAGCTGGACATCACCGCCCTGCAAACCTGTGTGACTGAATCCTCAGCCTCTTTGTCAGGAGGGAGAGTAGGATGCTCTTACCCACCATGCCAAAAACATGGTGGGTAAGAGCAAATGAATCACCTGAAATGTCCAAATAGATCGACTCCTTTGTGGGAAGCAACACCAGGAGGAAGACGCCTCTGTGTGGAGAAGAGCGGCTGCAGCTGTACCTTTGATGCCAGGCAGCCAGCACTTCCCCTGCACCTCCGGGTTCTGTCCTTTTCCAATAAACAGAGCAGGGGGCTTGTCTTTCCTGCTGGTTCAGGTGGGAGTCGCAATCCTGTAGGCTGGTCAGAGGGCGAAGCTTGGAAGTGGGGGAGCTCCTGTTTCCGTCCCACTGTGTGAACAGGGCATAGTTTGGGCGGAAGGACTAGCAAATGCATTGGCTTCTCTCCTTCCTGCATTTCATTTTCTTCATGTTCTTAACGGTTGCCCTGGTCCCAGGCTCCGTTTTGGGACAAGACGCCCTCCTTGGGCCCCTCCTCTCACCGCCACTGTCACCAGCCGTGCCGACTCACCTCACTCTTCCTCACTCGCGTGGCAGGCAGGAGCCGGAGGCTGAGGCTGGCCCTGAGCCCCGTCACGCATCAGCTTGGCCAGCAGAGAGCCTGTGGGGAGGGTGGCCACGTCCCCCACCCCTCCCGGGGCCACCGTAGCCTGGCCAGAGCAGGCTGCAGTGATGGAGGAGCTCGTCAGCCGGCCTCTGCCGGAGAGAGCTGCCTGGGCGGGTGTTCCACCATGCCAGCGCTCCGTGCCGGCCCGTTCTCTCTGTGCAGCACTGCCGGACCGGCCCTTGCCCCAGAGCGCCTGCAGCCTGCAATTCAGCACAGTGGAAATTGGGAACAACAGTGCGCAATGCTGGGCAAATTTCTCAGAAAGCTCCCTTCCAGCCATGTGCAGCCAGGAGGCAGCTGTGGTTGTGTTCCGGTGCCTGCACCCCAGGAGGTGCAGCAGAAAAGCCCGCAGCATGCAGTTTGTGAGACAGGAAGGGCACGCAGACGTTGTGGGAAGCACCCCTGGAAAGCGTGGAGAGCAGAGCTGGGCTGGGCAGGGTGCTGGAGCGGATGGGGAGCAGCGGCTGGCTGCGCTGCAGAGTCAATTTAAGCCTGACCCCTGGTGGCGATGTGTGCTACTGCCCCCCCCCCCCCCCGCAGCACCTTGAATGCTCAGGTTCTTCCAAGCACCAGCATCTTCCCTGCCCTCTCCCCACCTGGAGAGTGAAAATTGCTCTGAGCGGACAGTCAGGCTCTGCATCCCAGTGGGACGAATCCTGGGAAAGAGAGGCTGCCTGTCCGTGACTGATCCCATGGACCGAGTTTGGTGCCGCTTCAGCCGCCAACCCGCCCAAAGCCTGTCCAGGGGCCTCGCTGGTTCGTGTGGCAGGATTCGCCCTCCTTCCCTGACGACACCCTCGGAAGGGCAAAGGGTGCAACCTGCAATTGGCGTCTGCGCTGCAAGTACGCCGAAAATAACTGGGGAAATGTTGCATCAGAGGCAGCACAGGAAGGGCAGGGTGTGAGGAAGAGGTGTTCCTTCTTTAGTCCTGTGAGCAAAGATGGAAGGGCCTGGGGTATTCAGCATGGAGAAGAGGGAATGCAAGGGCTGCCTTGGAGGAGAGAGCCACCCCCTGTTTTCCATCACCCCAGAGCGCAGGACATGGCGTCGCTGGCTGATGCTTCAGGAAGGTCGAACGCCAGAAGGCGGGCTGTGGGAGCAGCAAAGGGCTCCAGGGGCCTGACGATGCCTGAAGTGGGACCCTGCACCAAGCAAGCGTCCCTTCCCACCTCTCGGAGTCTTTGCTCCGGGATTTCAATGAGCAGGAGGCTTAGGTCCAACGAGTGTCCATCCCTCTCTCTGACTCTTGTGCTCCAGAACTGTCCTGCCGGGAAGCCATCCGGCTGCGTTCGGTAGCCTTGGAAACGCGCCTTCCACCCTGCCGTTCTTCAGCCCTGTGCCTCCTGCCAAAAGCTTCTCTGTCCTTCTCTGTTTGTAGGGCCCGCCTGGGCGACCGGGCCTCCCTGGAGCGGATGGCTTGCCAGGACCTCCTGGGACGATGTTGATGCTGCCGGTGAGTGCCTCTGTTAGCCACGACTTCACTCTCGCATGTAGGCCACTTCCGCCTTGGCTTCCGTTGCCCAAGTTGCCGGCCAGCTGCTGAGGAGAATCACCGTGTCCAGAGGCAGCTCTCGGAAGGAGGCCCCATCTCCTGCTGGCCCGTGCCCATTTCTCTCATGCCCCTCCATCCATGCATCGGTCCCATTTTCTCATGTTAGGGAAAGTTCAGAAAAGTATTGCAATACACATTTGTGTGTATTTGATCATGATATGCACATCCAGGAGTCTCCCGCATCTCATACGCATTTCACCACTCAAAAACAATTGGACTTGCATGTTGGTGCAGCAATTTCAGCCATGGAGCATGTGTGAACTAAAATGTTCGTAGAGCAGCGCAGCAGGTGGCTGCCTTCCGATCAGCGTCAGCCAGGGACAGTCCGAGCGGTTTCCTCCACAGCGCAGGCCACGCAAAATGCCAGAGCGGTCCAGGGTCATTCCCGTGCTGTGGAAGCCTCTGGCGTGCCCTGCCCGGGGTTGCTCGGGGAGGTGCCTGGAGGAGCCTCCCAGAAGTGGACTTCCAGGTGCTGGACGGCTGACCTGACTGGCCTCTCCCCCTGGCGTGGCGTGGCGGGCTTGTTCAGGCATTTGTAATCTTGCTTCACAGGAATGGACAAGTTCAGGAGGCATCAGGGCCGTGCCCCATTCCTGGGGGCTGCGGCTAGGGGAGGAGCAGGGGAACATGGCATTTGTGGCACAGTCAAGGGCTTAAGGGGGCAACTTTCACTGGCTGTGAAGCAGTGAAGGATCTTTAGCTATGAGGCGGTCGAGTCAGGATGTGGGAGACATCTTCAGCCAATTCAGTTGAGGTTGAACTTCTATGAATCTGACCTGTGAATTCTGCAGTGGACAGTTTTTTCCTGAGTTGCACTGATGCCATCGACTTTTAGACCATTTTTTAAACACTTTCCAGAATTTTATGCAAATTTAGTTGAAGAAAAATATGGGGGAGAGCAAAACAACACCAGTTAAACATGCACATTTTGTGTAAAGGGAGAAATGCAATTTGTGGATGTGCCCAGGAAGGCAGGTTCAGGAGAGGGAATGTGTGAGGGGCTGTGGGGTGCCTGACGAGCTGCACGCGTCGTCCCACTGGGGGGGATCGTCCTGGGGCTGCCGGGCTGGCGAGGGAGTCACAAGTGCTCCTTACCTCTGTGGGTGTGCCGCTCTGTGTGGAAGAGGCTCGATGTGTCCCCGCTTGCCTTTCCAGTTCCGGTTCAGCGGTGGAGGAGACGGGGGCTCCAAAGGCCCCCTGGTGTCCGCACAGGAATCCCAGGCCCAAGCCATCCTGCAACAGGCCAGGGTAAGTGGCGGCGTCTCTGGCGCGGCAGCTCCGCGGGCTGACATGGCGCCCCCTTCCCCTTGGGGTCGCTGTGCTTCTGTCCGGGCTGGATGGAGAAGGGCTGCCCCAGACTGACGCTGGACCAGAGCGCCGACGGGCCTCGCCACCCCCCCCCCGCCCCAGGCCTTCCCGTGCCCTGCAGGTGCTCCGCGGGGAGCCGAGGGACCCTGACAACAGGCGTGGCCTGAGGCGTGTCTGCTTATTCACTGGGTTTTTTACCTGCCCCACTAGCCACACCGCTGATCACAGGGGTGGGGGCTCACCCTCGACATGGCCATGTGATCGGGCCACACCAGCATCGCTTGCGGTGCCCAGTTGGAGCAGCAGGCGAGGTTGAACTGACCCGGATGCAGCCCACAGAGTTTGCAGCTCACCCGTGTTCCTGACCCCGGGGATCCTGCGGACTTGGGGACCAGCTTTTCACTGGGGCCGAGCCTGAGCATATTGCAATGTCAGGGGAACCCAGCGTGAACCAGAAGGATTCTGGCCCTCGTTGTGAAAACAGGACTTGCAGGAAGCAGATGATGCAGCGATGATTTCTTTGGACTTTGGTTTCCCAAAAGACCAGAGTCCTCTGGGCAGTTCTCAGCAATTCATAAAAGCACAATAAGAAATACAATAAAAGTAGTATAACCTTTTGATCCTGAAAGGTTTAACGATCATTTAAAGCAGAATTTAAAACCATGTGAGCAGCTAAGAGTGCAATCCTAGGCACATGTAGGCAGAAAAGGTCCTACGACTCCCAGCGTGCCTCCCTTGCAGGACCTTTTCTGCCTCGACACGCATGGGATCGCTCCCCAAAGCAGGCTTGGAATCACTCGAGCACCACAGCTGCCACCGTTCCAGCTCAGCCCCTGCCGGGCACTCTGTTCACTCTGCAGCCGCCTCAGCGTTCAGACCTCCCTCACCTCAGACCCCGTGGCTTCCGGCGGTGTGGCCTTCTGCCCCAGGGAGCGCACTTCCCTGCAGCCCAGACCACGCTGTGGAGCTCGACCTGCGCCACTCCCCACCGCCCCCTTTGCAATTAGGGAGGATGTTGTCCACTAAACGATCCAGCATTCTGTGAGTCCCCTGTGCCCGCACCACCCAGCACCATTTTAATTACCAGGAAACACAGATAATTACAGGTCTTTTAAGGCATTGGAGTCCCACAAGCAAACACGTTTGTCCCCATGCCATTATAAAGTGTGGCGAGACCCATCATACGCCCCAAGATTTATCGCCTCCGCCCCTGGATTCATGACTTTTTTATGAGCGGCTCTACATTTTTCAGAAATATAAAACAGAACTGCTGCGTTGCACATCAAATCCACGCTTTTCGTCCCTTGTTGCCCAGGTGGTCCCTGCTCCCCACCTGGAGGGAGGTGCTGCTCGCCTTCCGTGCCGCAGAGCCGCATCCTGCTTGAGGGCGCCCGGGCCAGGCAGCCTGGCAGGAATATGGAGGCCCTGGCTGTTGTGGACTCCGCTGTGGCTCTGCGGCAGAAGCCCTTTCCACCCTCAGTACGCAGCCTTTAGCTGGGAGCCTCTCCTGCCCCAGGCTTCTGGGCCCAAAGACATGCACCCTCCACAGGCCCTTGCCCCCGGGAGCCCGCCTTCTCACTCCCCACTGCAGCCGCCCTCGGCCCCATCCTGGCTCCCTCCGGCGTGTGTGGCAGGTGGGCAAGCCAGCCGTGGCCCCTGCCAGGTCCGCCCGAGGAGGGGAACAAACAGGTGGCCGTGGGAGAGGATGAGGGGCTGCAGCGGGCTGGCCATGCGCCCTGCTGGGCTGGGGGCCCTTGTAGGGGGCCTGTTTCAGTCAGCCCTCTGTGCCACCCCTGCCGCGTCATTGGGCTGTTTCTCTGCACTGACAGCTGATAGGAAACGGGGTTGCTGGGGGAGGCTCAGCACTGCTCCCTGTTAATCCTCCCCTTCTCTCTCTCTCCTCTCTCTCTGCAGCTGGCGCTGAGAGGGCCGGCGGGCCCCATGGGCCTCACGGGACGGCCAGGCCCCTTGGTACGTGGCGCAGCACACTCGCTTGGGGGGCGTTCCCGGCTTTCCTTTGGGCTTGATGTCGGACGACTGTCCCGCTGTGGTTCGGCAGTGGCCCTGAGGTGGCCCTTTGCGAAGGGCGCCCTCCGTCCTGGGTGGGACCACAGGCAGCTCTGTAGCATCCAAATGCAAGAAAGGGCCTTCCCCAGGCGGTGGGAGAGTGCAAGCGTTTGAAGCCCCGGCGCAGTCCAGCCGTGTTCGTGTGGCGCGTTGGCGGGTTGGCCATACCGCAAGTGGGCACGTCTCGGAAAGCACGGAGCAGCCACGCACCCCGCTGGCTTCCTTCCTGCTGCACCGACTGGGAAAGGGCTGCTTGGCATGTTGCTTGAGCTGGGAATTCTGGCTCCTTGCTCCTTGCAGCACAAGGAGCCTGAGCACATGGCTCCTGCTTTGTCCGGGCCCGGCTGGCAGGCAGCTGCCAAGCCAATGGGCCTCATGCACCCGCAGAGAAGCCGACGTCCGGTGGGGCGCCAGGGCGCTCCAAGGAGCAGGCACTCAGCCAGGTGGGCCCCATGAGTACGGGGCGCGCCAGTTCTTCTTGCTGAATCCCTCTGAGCAGCTTTTGCATCCTTCGCAGGGGTTCTTTGGCCAAGAGAAGGGGCCTTGGTGGCCCATTCAAGGGGAAGAGTCCCCACGCCATTCCATAGCAACAGGGATCACCCCACAGCCAAATCCCATTGCAGAAATGCGGAGGGGGGGGGCGTTGAAGCCGAAAGGCGGGCGGTGTTCCAGAAACACCACCTCATTTTAGCATAAAACCTTAGGAGAGACATTTCAGCCATTTAGAATGGGCAGGGCCTTCTGGAGAGCCATGGAAAGCTGGCCTGGGAGCGCGGCTTTGGCCTGTGTGCCACAGGTTCGGCACTTCTGCACCTTGCCTTGCACGTCCTTCAGCGCCAGGCCACTCTTCTGAGTGACTCTTCTCCAAGGATGCCCATCTGACCTACGTATCGATGCTTCTTTTCCACAGGGACCCCCAGGTAGTGGAGGAATGAAGGGTGAACCAGGAGACATGGGACCTCAGGTATGCAGGCAAAGAGTCCGTTGCACGGCAGCGGTGTCCTTTGGAGCAGTCGTTTTTCTTCTAGTCCATGCCCATGATTCCTCCTTTCTTCTGGTTGGTCTTTCTTAATTCTGGCTTCAATAGGAGGCATTACAAAAATAATTCGACTATGGAGCATTTGCTCGAGTTCTCCAGCTCAGCCATGCCTCCCCCACCACTAGTATGTTATTGGTGCTCCCAACAGGTGAGTTACAGGTGTGCAGGGCCACATTTATAAAAAAAACTGCAGACAGCAATCGGAACAGAATTGGGCACTCGATTGCTCGTCCCCGTTGGCAAGATCTTTTCTGTGGTGGCCCCAGGCCTTTGGAATGCCCTTCCCAAGGAAATGCATGTCTCCCCTCCCCACCCCACATCTGTGTTAGCCTCCAGGAAGATGTCAAAAAAAGCATCCCACTTGGCATATGAGGAGTTTTATGTATTTTGCCTTTAACTAAGATGTTATGTGCAGCTACTACGATTTCCTTATTAATTTGATTTTTAGATGACTGCAGTCCCTCAAAACCTGGGCGGTAACCCTACTAAAACTAGTGAAAGGGGAGCACTTCAAGTGGTGTAGGTAGCCCTCCCACTACTCATGCCTCTCTTGGGACACCGTGGACTCCCACTCCTCAGAATTTTGATCTGGAAGCATTCCTCCAGAATTTCTGCCCTGCACTCTTGGACAGCCTGTTCCAGGCCAGGACAACCTGGGCTACCAGGGATGTCAAGTGGAAAGGCTCAGGGTGAAGCAGGGAGGAAGAGCTCTGGGGAAGGTGGGCTGAGAGGGAGTGTCTGGCCACGGGGGGAGCTCAGCCAGGCATGCCCTCTGCCTTGCGCAGGGAAGGTGCTCCTGAGCATCCGCGTGGAGGACATGATGGGCGGCAGGCGTGGACCCAGTGGACTGGTGCCTGGCTGGATGATTCCATCAGGGTTTAGCTATGCATCGAGCAGGGACGTTGGAGAACCCCGGCAAGTTCAGACTGCTCTGTCCTGTGGGTTCCGCAGGGCACGCTCTCTTTCTGACTCATGCGTATTTCGTGGATTTGTAGACCCTTTTTATTTATTTATTTATTTATTTATTTAGAAAATTTCTATGCCGCCCCATTCGCCGAAGCCTTGGGGCAGCTCAAAACATTTTTAACAGGTAGGAAGGGGAGATTTGCAATAATTTGCATTAGTGCAGGTTCTTTCCCCAAGCCAGTAACTCTTGTGGTCCTTGGAGGCAAACCCGCGGTGCATGCCAGGCACATACATCCTGTTCATATTTTGACTGGGCAACCTTCAAAATGGACTGCGGGAATGCTGTGGGCATGGCACAAAATGGGTGGCATAGCCGATTCCCTGGAAGGCAGAGAAGAGAGCGAAGGTGCCCTTAAGGTATTCTAATCTTGCCTTCTTCATTCTGTTCCATCTCTTTCAGGGACCACGCGGCATGCAAGGCCCTCCTGGCCCAGCGGGAAAGCCAGGGCGCCGGGTAGGTTTCAACGGGAAGCTCTTTGACTGTGCAGACCTGTCCTGTTAGCCGCCCGCTGTCCGGAGGCAGAAATCACTTCCACATCTAGGGCTGTCCGTGTAGCTGCTTGTGGGCACATGTGAGGGGAACTGGGCAGAGACCGGACCGCCATGGCAGCCATGCTTGTCTGGCAGAGTGAGAGTCGGGGAGAGGGAGGGAGCCCCACGAGCACAAGCCATTTCTGGACATCTGGCAAGGACTCTGGTCTCCAGGGCTCTTCTGTCACCTGGGCCCAGCAGGAGACTTTGGTCTGCTGTCATACCGGGCTCGGGAGGCACTCTGCTGAGGAGTCTCTTCTCAAGACTCCCTCAGGGTTACTCAGGTGGTATTTCCCCTTTTTCTCCACTGAAGAACCTTGAGTAGGAGTTCCCCAGAAGGGACCGCCCACATTTCCTTTGAGGCCCACGCTGAAGGAAACGCCGCTGCCTGCTTGTAATTCATCCTCTGTGGCTCCAAAGCTGTGCGGTTTCCTTCGCTCATTCTGAGTGGCTTCCAGTGAGTCAGGATGGAAGGCGAGATCATCATGTCAAGGCGGCATGTAGAGAGGTCCAAGTCCTGCAGCCAATCTTGCTTCACTTCATGCAAGTCAACAGCCAGCCTGGGTGCATTCACTCGAAATGTTAAGAGGCCGCTTGGCACCTTCTTGCACTGCTGATCTCCGACGAACCCCTGAGCATGAAAATTAGCGTCCCTTGGAGTGGCGTTCCATGGGCAACGCCTCTTCTTCGATCAGAGGCAGTGTCTTGTAAGCTCCTCTCATGATATGCCCCCTGACCATTCCATTTTATAACGCAAATGAAGGCAGGCAGACTCACGCCCTCACAGAGGCGGGTGCAAATGAGTTTCACTGCACAAGACATAGGAATGCAGGAAGAGCCCCGCTGGATCAGGCTTGATACGTCAGGCATTCCCTTTTCCGTGTGAATTCGCCTGAATAAGCAGCCCGTCCTGGGGGGAGTGTGGGCCAGGTGTCCGATGCAGCGGCAAAAGGGCACATGCCGTTGGAGGCAGCATCCACTGCCCGTTGGTTTCCAAGCCATGAGGGCCACACCGAGTAGACAGCATAGCACCGTTGTTCCAGTACAGGCCTGGACCGGGACGATCTGGCCCGGATCCCCACGAGGCACGCAACTCACTGGGCGACCGAGCCAGGCACTTCCCTGGGCCAAGTCTCCCTCACAAGGTGGTTGTGATGATAAACAGGTTGGGGAGGAGAAGGATTGCAAAGGGGGCAGGAGGAACATCAGCAGAAGGTCGCTTTATTGCAACAGCAGGTATTCAGGCAGAAAGGGACAACCTGAAATGGGTTTGGAAGTTAGATGCATTGCTAAGCTTGGCCTGGAGAGGGGGACCTGTGCAAATGCCATCCCAGAGGAGAGGAGAGGAGAGGAGAGGAGAGGGCAGAGAGGCATTCTGCTGTTCCAGATGGGAGAACTCCTCTAGCAGGTTTAAGCCGCAGAAGGGTAGAATTTGGCCGAGACTCAGAAGAGACGCCTCAACTGGAAGAGGAGGTTGAGGCCGGGACCACCTCGCTGGGAGGTGGGGCGCCGTCATTCCTGGAGATCTGCAGGCGGACGCTGCACAGCCGCCTCTCGGTGGTGCAGGTGGTGCGGCCTGAGCTGCAGAGTCCGTGCGGCGATGAGCGGGGTGGGCAAGGCCTGGAGGAACCAGGGCTGGTGGCAGGTGGCTGCAGCGGACAGGCGGGCTGGGCCGAGCGTCTCACTTCCCACATGATCTGAGGAGCAGAGGCAGGCTGAGTCAGGGTTTCTGCTTCGTGCCGGTTTGCTTTTTCCTGCAGGCGAGCCATCGTTCACACGTTACGTTAATACCATGAGGAAATGTTTGCAGATAGGGCAGCCTGCGCAATTTGTGTAACTGGTGTAGAAACATGGAAACAGCAAGCCAGAAGGGATCTCCCAGGCCATCCAGTCTGACCCCCGGCCCCTAACTGTCGGGAAGGACTTCCTGGCATCCAAGTTGAACCTTGGCTTCCTGAGCTGGGCTCTGTTGGAGCGCATCCTGCCCTCCTCTGCAGGGGAGAACAGGTCTCTGCCCACCTCCGCGTGAGAAGATGGTGTTTGACATGTCCACAGCGTGGGACGCAAGAAGCATGTGAACCAGCGGCAGTTGGTGTGAGATCAGTCGGTTTGGTCCGATCACACTAGGCTGATGGGCTGATCTGCACAGAACATGCAACGGCTGTGATTTCCACAATTTGCATAGAGTTATGCGAATTTTGCTAATCGGCCATTAAAAGAGAATGTGCAAACTACAGCCCAACCTAGAGGCTGATGTCAGTGAACTGGTTTAACTCATTTTACAGGAAGTTGCTGCCAAAGCAGGACTGGCAAACCAGAATCTGAAAATCTATCAGTTTTCCGCCACCTCTGCATCAGAGTATTGGCACATTCCTAGTCTAGTCCCCACTGAGCCACGCAGCCGGGTGGGTCAGTTGCTAGTTCTAACCTCACCGACCTTTTAAGGCTGTTGTGCAGACGGAGAGTGTGAAAGGCTGTGTAAGCGGCCTTGCACTCCTTGCAAGGGGAAAACCCCACCTCCCAGAGCTGCCAAGCTCAGGCCAACCTTGCCCCCTTGGGAGCCTTCCAGAGGTGCAGCTTTTATTTTTATCCTTAATTTATGCTCTGCCTTGTTTCTCCACAAACCACGGAAGGGCAATGCTCTGTGTTCACGGCGCTGGCCAGATGACTTGAAAGCCCTCCATTCGCTCAGCAGCAGACTTCTCTGGCCTTGATCAGCCCCTTGTCAGTCAATGAACCCCCTTTCCTTCTCTCTTTTTAGGGACGTGCTGGCAGTGATGGAGCCAGAGGCATGCCAGGACAGACTGGACCAAAGGTAGCTGGACTCGGAACTGGTGTTTGTGGGTCTGTGCTGCTTGCTTTTGTAGGTCGCAGCTGCTCTGAGAAATTAGCATTGCAAATTTGCATGCGGAAAAACTGTCTTCCAGTTGGAATGAACCCCTTGGCTGAGGGAGTTGGAGGGAATGTTTCGGTTTGTTTTTGATCAGGTTTAACCCAGTTTGACCTTCCCTACCAAGCGACACACAGACCCCAGCACCATCTGCACACGCATTTCCAAGCTTGCAGGGTGATTTGTGGATGAAGGGAAGTAGCAGCATGCTTACCTGTGGAAGATGCGCAAGAAAGAGACATATTTTTTGCACAGATGCACCTTAATCAGTGGGGAAAGAATGGGTGCATTTGGAAAATGTGCATGAAAATATGCTCGATTTTTCAGGCAAAAGGATAAATGAAGGCCACAGGTCACAATCCAAATGTATTGACCATGTAGTAATTTATGCATTTGGAAAGAAACCCGCTTTCTCCTTCTCCACTCCCTCCCAATGTTCTTTGGTGCTCACTCAGCAAAGAAGCCATTAAGAGTGAATTTGAATGCAGGGAAGTTTGCCTGGAAGGCATCTATTAGGAGATTTAAGTGCTTGATTATGTAGGTACTTAAAGTGGAAATAGATTAATGTAAGGGCATTGCAAGGGAGGAAAAGGATTGCAAATGATTTCACCCCTTCGGTGCTGCATCCTCTGTGGCTTGGTGTACCTGAAAGAATGACCGCTTGGGAACTGGAGGAGTCTGGGAGGCCCGGTAGGACTGAGGGCCCCGGAGACAGGAGTGGACCGCTCCCTCAGTCTTGTGCCTGAGAGAATGCGCCTTCACCCCCTCGCTCCTCCAGGGGAGCTTGGATTACTTTTGCTGGTGCCTGGCAAGGCAGCCTTGGCAAAACTGCCCCCTGCAAGGAGAAAAGCCGCTGGACGCCCCTTCGCTTGTCTGCTTACCGGAGGTGCCCCCGCAGAGCTCCGCGATGCGCCCCACATTGCAGCCACAAGCAGTGGGGCTTCCGTGCTCTTCAGAGGGGCCGGGGGGGCCGCAGCGCTCAAGCATGAAAAGCCCGAGCTGACCGGGTTCTCCCTGGATCTCTTTGTAGGGTGACCGTGGCTTTGACGGCCTGGCCGGATTGCCCGGGGAGAAAGGGCACAGGGTAAGTCGAGCTAGGCTGCCTGCCCAGCACGCGCTCGGGACAGGTGGTCTCGGACTGGAAGGGGCGGCCATGTTTGGGTGCGGAGATTCAAGTCGCTTCCTTTTGACCAGCCTGGTTAGTTCTCAAGTCCATTCCCTGGACTGGGGGGATGGGGTGTATGGGGTGGGGGTGGGGATTCAGCAGTGGCACAACAGCAGCTTGTGGGACTCAGAGACACCAAGGGATGAACCCGGGTGGCATCCCCCACCTAGAAAGTTTAAACTGGGGACTCTGATGCCAGGCGAGGCAGTGGAAAAGCAGGGCACTGCCGCAGTCCTTCTGGCCTTCAGCTGGACAGGAGTGAATGCTGGCACAGTTTTGGGGGAGAGGTCAGTGGGCCCCCGCTGAGCTGCTGCATGTGAGGCAGGAAGGGCCCCGTGGCTGTGGGCAGAAAAGGGAGCATCTGCCGGTCCGTGGCGGGAGCAGGTGCCTCAGGTGCCAAAACGCATTGGACTGTTTCTGGCCTTGCTCTCTGGGAACTGGTCTCTGGAAGGGATATCAGATATATGCCTGATTCTCCCCTCGATTCCCGTAGGGCGATCCAGGCCCCTCAGGCCCTCCTGGGGCTCCAGGCGAAGATGGCGAGAGGGTAAGTGCTGCCCACACTGTCGGGTTTAAGGCATGTGGCCTCATCCACCCCTCCTGGATCACTGCTTACTGGCTGCAGCATGGAGGGGCACTACCCCCTTTTGGGCATTTACGGGCAAATAGAACCCCTGTGTTTTGAGGGGGGAGGCATTGCAGTCAGAGTCCAAGCACGGGCCTTTGGGGGGATAGAAATGTGTTGCCCCCCCATAGCGACTGGGCCCAACACCTCTGCAGCTGCACCTGAAGAAGACACGGGGACCGTCCATGCCACACATCTGGAGGGTTCCTGGCTGGGTAGGCTGGGGCAGCCAGAGAGCAGATCTCTGCGCATCTGGACTTCAGCTCCCAGCATTCTTGGCCACGGGCCATGCTGGCGAGGGCTGCTGAGAACTGGGGTCCGCAGGGGTGTAGAACCATCCAGGAAGGCCTCAACCGCTGTAGGCAGCCTCTCACTATGCGTATAAATAAGTAAATTCAGATATAAGCCCTCTGTGTGCTGCCCCTTCCTGCAGGTACTTATTCAGCTTCATCATGTACTCCATCCTTTATTGCTGACCTTCCAGCATGTGTGTTTTTTCTCCTAACATTTAAGTAACCTCACCTTCAAAAATGTCGGCACGAATTATGGCAGCATCCCTTGCAGCGTGCCTTCTCCCTTGTCAAACATACCCACACAGTGTTCTTCAGGCTGGCGAGGTCTTTCTTATGCCCAGCTGCCCCCTTATTACTCTCAGGGAGTCGTTTTTTCTGTGCAATTATAATTTAACGAAGAGTGGAGCACCTGCAATTTGGTTGGTGGAACCAGCACTTACTCTCTCTTCCATCTTCTTGTTTTGATCCCTCTGCTGCCAAACAGGGCGATGATGGAGAAGTTGGACCACGAGGTCTACCTGGTGAACCAGTAAGTCATTACGCCTGAGAGAGAAAGGGGGAGAGAGCCCTCCTTGCATTCTAGCAGCTAAAGGTCACGTCAGGCAGTGCGTTGCGTCATGCTGCACCTAAGATCCTGTTTGAATCACGCATGCGGGTGCACCTGTGAGACTGGCAGGTTTCTCTGTAGCCCCCGAGTGTTTGTTGACACACATGATGCAGAAAAGGCACCTGTTCTGGCTCATTCCGAAGTGCACAAAGCCACCAAAGGTAGGAAAAGACACGGCATGATGCTTTTGCCCGGCAGGCTTGCATGCAGCGGCCTCTTCCCCTGCCCAGCCTTTTCTGTATCCTGGTGAATCGCCAGAGTGCCCTGTCAGGATGGCGGGGTGCAGATTTACATGGCAGAGTTGCGTGCCAGCTCTGGGGAGTGCCGCCTCCACGGGCCCCTCCCTCAGAGAGCTGACCTTCTCGCTGCCATTGTGCCGAATGCGCCTGAACTAGAAATAAGCCTTCTCGGGCACACCTCTGCCATGACGTCCCTCTTATGGCCCCATCCCGCCGAAAGGGAAGGCACACCTGAGAGAGAATGAACGGCTTGCTTAAAGCCTCTGGGTGAGTGGACAAAGGGCATTAAAGCCTGGCCTTTCTGGGTCCCTTCCCGTGGCCGGAAAGCAGCGCCGGCAGCCCACCGGCTCTGACTATGGTGAGCTAACCAGGATGACCACGGCAGCAAACGTGTGCTTTTTAAAAGGGAAATTAGCGATTTGGGGAAGCTGTGTGGGCCTGAGTGTGGTGCACACGCTGCTCTGCCACCCCCCGGTCTTAAGCTGCTTGTTTACAAACATTTCATTAGCAGTTGGAAGCTGTGCAGGCACGGTCCGTCTTGGAGCAAGAGTCTCCACACACACCGCAGCGCAGTGGCGTCTGTGCAGGGTGAAAGAGCTGGAATCGGGATGGGGGCGTTGTGAATATCCATCCAGTTCTCAAGTCCTCACACATCCCGAGAATGAGCTTCAAAGTGAAATTCGGAAAATCTTGGCAAGCTCAGTGTTGCTGATCTGCACCCCCTTCCCTGTCCTCCTCTGGGAGGGGCAGTTCCAGCCAGGGCTGCTTCCGGTTGCGTCAGTATTTACTCCTTTGAGCAGAGTGCAGGCATGGCATCCCTTGAGAGTTACAGTCTCTCATGCTCCGTAAATTTGAGTGGCGCTTCTCTCTAACACACAAAAGCACACACACCAACTTCTCCTCCACTGTCAATATAGTTTTGATATTTTTTTAAGTGCTACCATTGCAGAAATGAGCTTTCCAACATGACAGCTTTTGTCAGAAAAAGAGGAGGATGAAGTCTGAGGAGAGCGAGACAAGTAGGAGGGAATGCATGTTAACAAGTTCATAATGTCTGAATGAGACTTAAGATGTCTACTTAAAAATCCTCCTTGGTGTTATCAACCAACCGATTTTCCTGATGCACTTCTGAGCAAGAACATCCAGGCTGCTATTGCTTTTAAACAAGCAAGGAGAGCTAGTGATTAAGAAGGCCTTTAGATGGGGATAAGAGCGGGGGCATTTTCCTCTGGCACTCCTGAGGAGCACAAGGCTGAGAAGGTCCGGGGGCGCAATCCAGAGAGCACACGCAGGCATGATCCCCAGATGAGGCTGGGAACACACCTCCCTGCACCCCTGGGGAGCAGCTGCTGTAGCCCTGGAGGTGCCAGGCTAGCTCGGAACACAACAGCTTCCTCCGCTCCGCAGAAGCATCCATGGCTAGAGATCCTGCCCTCTGAACAGAGGGCCCCCACCCAACGCTTGGCAGAATCTCCAGGTAGGGCTGTGGGAACCCCTGCTGGAAATGCTGGGGAGCCCGCAGCCGAGCCCTGGGCGAGCTGGGCCAAGGCCTCCCTGTGGCATGAAGCCCGTTTGAAGGGTGCCATTAAGGGGCTGTGTCCTCCTGCCAGCACAGCCCGCCCCCCTGCCCGTGGCCGGCTGCACTGCTTTCTCTGTCTTAGCTTCTGATCCCATGCGGCCCCTGCAGCCAGGGTGTCCTCAGTGGCTGAGAGAGCAGGTGAACCGCGCATGGCCGCCGCCGGACACGCATGCATTGACCGTTGTGGCCCAGGTCTCGATGGCCACAGAACTGGGCCCCTGCCATGGCTTTGCAAGGGGCATTGGGTGCAGGGCGGGAGGAGGGGCTTGGCGGCCGCAAGCGCTGCATCTGTGCAGAGGGGAGCTCACAGCTCGCCCCAAGGCACTCTGGGCCAGCCTGAGGTTTCTGCCGGCACGTCTGCAGGAGCAGAGCAGGATGCGCCACAGTTATGCCGTGGCATTCACTTCCATGGGATGTTGTGGCGACCACCAGTTTGGGTGACTTCAGAAGGGACCTGCACAAATTAATGGAGGAGGCGGCGGCGGCAGTCACGTCTGGGTGGCTTAGTGCGATCTCCCGGACCAGGTGCAATGAGCTTCTGCCCATGGGTCGCTGGGAACACGGCTGCGAGGATGAGTATAATCAAACCGTCTTTACTTCCTCTGACAGGGACCCCGTGGTTTGCTGGGACCCAAAGGCCCCCCAGGGCCACCAGGACCTCCGGTGAGTAGCGTGCTGACTTCATCGCAACCTCTGCTTGCTTCTAGCTTATGTGCCTTGCTCACTCGAGCACCTCCACACGGCACGTGCATTGGGAGCAGCGAGCCGGATGACTCCTGCACAGTCAGCCAAGCTGTAATTCCCCGGCTTCCTTAGGTAAAGCTGAGAAAGCAAAGCCATATATAAAGAGGTTTAAGACCCGGGAGAGCTCCAGGAGCTCACAGGGCGCGGCAGATGCACATGTGTTTGCATTCTGTGGTGGAGCCACCTTTTCTGATTCAGGCAGATTTCCTGGATTTGTGAACCAATTTTTGACTTTGGGGAATTTGTGCAATTTTTCACTTTTGCTAATGTGCAATACTACGAGTATGAACTTGTACTACTGCAGAAGCAGAAAAATAGACTGGTTTTCAAAAAATCCAATTGCATCAATGAGCAAGACAATAGACCAAGAGATGCCTGACAATCTGTGGAACATAAATGAAAATCTGTGGGTTTAATAAAATGCTTGTGTCTCCTTTGCAGCCTGCTTCCTAGCAAGTTTAGATGAATGAAGAATGTGTTTCAAACCAAAGTTCTCAACTTTGCATATAATTGCCAAGACATACTCTTGCTCTGTCCTCTGTTTTTAAAGAATAAGCAGGTCACGTCTCAGTTTGCTCATGCATGTTTTGTAACTTCCTGTCTAGGGCATTGCTGGCATGGATGGCCAACCGGGCCCCAAGGGAAATGTGGTGAGTGGGCGTGGTGGGTGCTTTACCTGCAGAGCCAATCTGGGCGGGCTTTACTTGTGTAACCACTGTAACTTTGCACACTGAAATCCAGTTTATTCACTGCTTTTTCAGGCTGCTTTCATTTCAGAGCTGCTGGATGTTTTGTCCCTAAAGTTAATTCATGTTTAATTTGAAATGGACTTTTCACTGGTGTTGCAATTCACTTCCCTTTAATGGGAAAGAGCAAGCAACAAGCTTGGGTAGTCCTCAGTCATCAGAACAGCCTCACCCAGAGCCTCTGTATCTCATTGTGGATCCTCCATAGACCTCCATGCATGAGATTGCTTTTGTGTGTGTATCTTTCTCCACTTCGGGAGCAAGAAAGCGGGGAGGAAGAGCTTCCTCCAGGTGCCGTGTCATTGCACACAAATGTGCAAGAATGCCTTTTCCAAAAATGAACCTGTGCTGTGCAACACGGACATGACTGGGAAAGTGGGATTAATTTATACAGGTGGGAGAGAAATCTGTTCTGTTTGAATTTAATAGGAACCTGCTGAATTATAGAGGTGCATGTAAACTTGGTTTAAGGGCAATTTTGATCAGGACTGAAGCACTTTGAATAGTGACTCAGAAACTCAACATAATACAGTTCTGAGCTTGCAAATCATACCCCCCCCCCAAAATCTCTAATTTATTCAATACCATGTATTCATTTCAAAAATGTTCATGAAACATAGAAAGATAGAAATAGAACATGTCAGAAGGGTCCTCCCAGGACACCTAGTCTGACCCCTGGCACAAGCTGGCTCCCCTCACGACATGCCCACCATGTGCGTGTCCAGCCTGTCTTTGAACACCTTCACCGATGGGGCCTCAGCCACCGCCCATGGAAGCCCATTCCACACCCTCGGGGTCCCGACTGTCAGGAAGTGCTTCCTGGCATCCAAGTTGAACCTTGGCTCCCTGAGGTTGGCTCCGTTGGAGCGCGTTCTGCCTTCCTCTGCAGGGGAGAACAGGTCTCTACCCACCTCTGTGTGACATCCACTCACATACCTGTATGTCGCCAACAGATCCCCTCCGAGTCTCCTCTTCTCCATGGCCCAAATCCCTGGACCGGTAAGATGGATGAGAAGGCCTCTTGGGCCTTTAGCTCCCCGAGTTTCTTCCCAAGGCCTCGAAGTCCCTGGTGATCCCGCCCACACCCTGCCTGGCCACGTCATTTGTGCCCACATGGATCACCAGGAGCGGCGGGTGACCCCCGGAGCGAACAAGACGCTCCACTCTGTCCTTCGCATGCCGGATGCGTGCGCCCGGCAGGCAGCAGACCTCCCTCGCCTCAAGGTCAGGGCAGCACACCGCCGCCTCAGTGCCCCTCAGCAGGGGACCCCGACGACAATCACCGGCGGCCGTGCCCTGGCCCTCGCCTCTCCTGCAGCGGCCCCCTTGCCGCTAGTGGTCCCAGGCTGGGGGTCCTGCTGCTCCCCCAACACCTCATCAGCCCCAGCCTCCCCAAGCGGAGAGAACCTGTTTCCCAGCTCCCAATCGGCGCCAGGAGGAGGAGGCCGTGCTGGCCTCCCCCTCCTGTGGGTGACATGCCTCCGTGTCCCCCCGGCTGTTCCTCCCGTGGCCCCTCGCTCAATCCTCTGTCTGGAGTGGGGCTGCTCCCAGGGGGCCTGGAGATCTCTCCCGGCCCTGGGACACCTCACCTCCTCCTCCAGGGGGGATACCCGATTGCACCGAGGGCGAGTGTAGCCCTGCCTCTCCTGGGGGAGAAGGGCGAACATGTCGCAGCAACACCCATGACTCCCGCCAAGGCCATCCCCTGGCCTGCCATTGGGAACGTTGTAAGCCATCCGGAGACGACAGTGATGGACAGCCTACACATTTTCTAGATAAATAAATTAAATAAATAAACCCCTTAGAGACCCTACCTTGGTCCCCCACCTTGTCTGTCCTGCACTACTGTTCACGCGCCCAGTTCTCCCAGGCAACCCCCCCCCCCCCGCGCACACACAAACAAGGATAAAATAAAATAAAATAAAATAAAATAAAATAAAATACCTGCCCCCAGGGAAGGGAGTCCCTGGGCAGCGCAGGCCACCCGGGGCGCAGGCAAGGGACGGCACCTTATAAGCCTCCCAGGCCAGTGGCCCCGCCCCTCCGCTTCCTCCTGGCCTCCCTGGCCCCGCCCCCTCCCTCCCCACTGCTTCTGCCCCCCGCCCTCTGCCCAGCCCCTGCCTTGCCTCCGCCCGTCCCCTGGCCGCCCTCAGCACACTCTCCCAGCCTCTGCTGCTCTGCCAAGAGGCAAGAGCCAAAAGCTGACGAGTGCATCCTTCTGAAAAATATTCAGAAATATGTATACATGTGCTTTAATACGATGTACGTAGGCACAAACGTGCTTTAATGTTGCTGCAAACCATCCTGAGATATTTATATAAAGGACGGCTTACAAAAGCTTTAAGTAAGTAAGTAAATACATACGTACAGAAGTGCTTTTCTGCGGAAGCAGGGAAAAAACAAAGACCAGAATCTGCTGTGGCCTCGAGTTGGTTTCGTAACTTGTGGTTGCACCCCTGTCCTGTGTGCGATCATTCCGGCCATGGCTCGCAGTCACCGTCGGTGGCCCAGCTGCAGCTCCCCACACACACCACCGGTGCTCAGCGCCAAGAACTGATCCTTCGCATCCTGTATTGTGTGCGGCCCTTTTAAGGGGAATGCCACTGGGTCAGGATTATGTTCCATCTGCTGCAGCAAGCATAGCATAAACCAGAAAGAGCAGCCTCTGGATAATCTTCCAGTTGATAATGAATTACCGCTAAGAAAGAATGCAAACCCCAAAAGATAGGGAGTTTCGGTGTTTAGTCATGCTGGCCACATGACCATGGAGACCATCTGCGGACAAACGCTGGCTCCCTTGGCCAGGAAACGGAGATGAGCACCGCCCCCTGGAGTCAGGCATGACTGGACTTAACGTCAAGGGGAAACCTTTACCTTTACCTAACATGTCAAAAAAATGTACATTCAAAAATGCATCCATTATGAAAAATGCATACAATTTTGCATTGATTTTAAAAATAGCCAGCTGATGTAGAAATGGACTGGCACAAGCATGCCCTTAAAATACCCGATGAGACTAAGCTTGCAATTAGCAGATCTGCCCCTCCTCTGTTTTTACCTGTTGTTTTCCTTTCAAGGGTCCCCAAGGTGAACCTGGGCCACCAGGCCAACAAGGAAATCCAGGTGCTCAGGTGAGATGGTACTTTGTGAGGGAGGTGAAGCGGAAGCCTCTCTGCACTTTCTGTGAACAGGCTGATCGTGAGGGCTGAGCAAAGCTGCTTCTGTCTGCCGAATGCGGCTTACTCAATTCAGGCTGGCCTCTGGTATGGCAGCCGTGGGTGCCAGCAGGCACGCCTCTGGGCACCGGCCAGTCTTTCTGCCCATGGGTCTCTCTGGCCCTTGCCTGGCAGTGTGCCTGTGGTTCAGAGCACAGCACCGGGACCCGGGGGCTCAATTCTCCACTCTGCCATGGAGCTCTCCTCTGCCTAGCCCGCTTCCAGGGTTGTTGTGCTGAAGATCAAGTGGGGAGGAGAACCCTGGGAGCTGCTTGGGGTTCCTTGCGAGAGGAAGAAAGGCAAAGGAGTAAGAATGATAACTCCCGGAGTCCCTGCCGCCCATGTGGGGTGTGGATGTCAGCCCCCTCAGGGCTGGAGACTCGCGAACTGCAGCCCAGGCCCGAGCTCTGTGTTCGCGCTTCTGCGGCGTGTGTCCGGGGGCCCCGTTTGATCTGGGCTGGCACAGGGAGGGTGCGGGTCAGTCCGCCACTCCTGGAGCCCTGCGGGCAGCCAGATGGGCTGCAACTCGGCGATGGCAGCCCCCGGTGGGCACGGCCAGCCCCCGCGGCTTAGGGCTAGGCCCCTGCTTTAACTCCAGAAGTGCCCTGCATCGACCCCGGCTTCTCCAGGCGGGGCTGCAAGAAGGCCTGCTGGCACCCTGAGAGAGCCGCAGCTGCTGGAAGCGGAGCAGCGGTTCAGCATGGCTGAGGCAGCTCCTGCGTCCCCCGGGAGCTCTGGGGCTCAGCAGTGGCGCACACGCCTCGCACGCAGGCGCAGTCCTTGGCCTCTGCAGGCCACGCGGGGAGTTGTGCGCATGGTCCTGTGGGCAGCCGCCGCTGGCTGCCTTGGACAGCTTTCCCACCCGCCTCTTTTTCATCCCCAGGGGCTTCCAGGTCCTCAAGGTCCGATCGGTCCCCCAGGAGAAAAGGTATGCCGACATAGCGGGGCTGGCTAGGATGTGTGTCGTGCGGGGGGGGGGGTGCTCTGCTGCCCCCATCTGCATGCAGAACGCCATTCCCCCACCCCCTGCTGTGGCTGGAGAAGCGGCAGGTGGCCCGTGCCAGGCCTGGCCGATGCTGGCCACAAACGGTCTGCATGCGTCCTCAGTGTCTTGCAGGAACCACGGGGGACCCGAGCGGGGCTTCCTTCCCTTCCCCTCACGGCACAAGTATGCGCAGAGGCACACAGAGGCTTGCGTGCTTTAGCATGTGGCCCAGGGACTTCGCAGTGGCCGTGGCCTCTGGGGCTGACTCAGTGGCAGGCTCGGGGCCCCAGGGAAGATGTGCTGGACGCGGTGAGCAGGGCAACCAAGCCCAGCCTCCCCTGGTGATGAAAGAGGATGTCCACCTGCCCGCCTCTCAGAGCCATGATAGCAAGAAAGCCAAGCCTGGACCCCCGAAGCGCAGCCCTGGGGATCCCCCCACCCCCATGGCCATCCTGTTTCCAAGACACGCTGATGGGTTAATGAAATCATGCCCGTGTGCCTGCGGCAGACCACAGCACCCCTGGTCGCCTGGTGGCCAACTCCCCTCTAACATGGCGCACTGAAGCCAGGGAGGCCCAAAGGCAGGGGGACAGGTCAGCCCCTGTGCCCCTGCCACTGTGGGGCGGCGTGGGCAGACCTTCCCCGGGCCACGTCGGGGCACGGCTTTTCTCGGCCAGGTGGGCCCCGTGTGTGCAGCCCAGTCCAACAGCCTGGCGCCTGCTCCGGAGGGCTCGCTCAATCAAGCGATCCGAAGTCAGCAGAGGGCCAGGCTCTGCTGTCCCTCTCCGAAGGCGGGCATGACTTGCCAAGAGGACTCGAGTGCGACCTTGTTTTTCTCTCTCAGGGTCCGCTGGGGAAACCGGGCCTTCCTGGCATGCCTGGGGCAGACGGTCCTCCGGTAAGCTTTCTTTGGAAGAACGGCGGGCTTCCTTTCTGGGAGGGTGGGCTCCCAGGCTCAGGCCAGCGTGGCCTGTGTGAGGCAGGCAGGATGCAGGTCCGCTGTCGCCCGCTTGTCCTTCTGCCTTACCAGCCGTTGAGTGAGTTGGGCCAGAATTCAACTTCCATTCCTTAACCAGCAGAACTGGCCCCATGGTCCACCCAAACCTCACATGTAGACAGTGGTCCTTGGAACTGGAAGGCAGCATTTCATGTCAAATCAACCTGTGAAATTTGCAGTAGAGTCCTTGACTTAATCCAAATACCAAAAACATGGACAAAAATGTGTATATTAAAGGAAAATGCACATACCTATGTGTAGCTTAATGTAAGTTATGCTACATGTGCATTGCTTGCAAAAGAGAGCACATTGTTGGCAGAATCGCATCCGGAGTGCTTCATTAGGAGGAAATGCAGGCAAATGCATTTGAATTGCATACAAATGTTTTAAAACAATTCTCTAAGTTTGTACAAGCAAATGTCAAATTGTCAAAATTCTCATATGTTCAGGATAAACTGAACTGGAATTTAGAAAAGGGACAGATAGAGAGAAACCCAAGCTGACCTATTTGTCTGTCCATACCAAGGCCTGGCTTTAGTGGACAGTGAAGCAGAAAACTGTTCTAGAGAATAACACAACCATTTTTATTGGACTCTGACCCATTGAGATGTGGGCACGGCAGAGATCCAGCTTTTGCTGGCCTTCTGGAGGCGGGAATGGTGCACTCCTGCAGGGGGAGCCTCGCCATCATGGGAAGGGCCGTTCCGGGTCCAGCCCTGGTGATGGAAAACCAGCGGGCAGCCCACAGCGTTCTGCATTCTCCACGTGTCTTGTCTAAACCTGCCTAGCAGTGGCCCCTGAATGCCTGAAAGTCCCAGGTTAGCATCCTGGAGAGCATTTGGACGTTGCTTGAATATGGAGGCCATGTCTCCCTGCCCCCACTTTGCAGCAACCGAGGCCTCCCAAAAGGGCAGGGCAACGCTGCAGCCACGGTGCTGAGGACTGGGCAAGCTTGCTCAGATAGTGGAGAAGATGGCTTGGTCAGGGCATGGCTGACAGACCACAAGCAGAGGGTGGCTATCGGTGGGGAGTCATCAGGATGGCAGCTGGTGACGAGCAGAGTCCCCGGGGCCCAATTCTGGGCCCAATTCTGTTCAGCCTCTGCATCAATGATCTGGAGATCATTGGGCAGTCTGCTGGCCAAATTTGCAGACAATACCAAAGTGGGGGTGGTGACCAGAACGGAGGAGCAGGTGATCCAGATCCAGAAGGATCTGAACAGACTGTGGAAGTGGGTGGGGAACAACAGGATGGCATTCAATGTGGAGAAGTGCATGATCGTATGCTTGGGAGACGGGCATAGGTGCCACAGGTACAGGATGGGGGACAAGTGGCTGGAGAGCAGCAGCTGAGAAAGGGATCTCGGGGTACTTGTCAATAGCAGGTTAAACATGAGCCAGCAACGTGGGGCAGTGACTGAGAAGGCGAAGGCCACCCTCGGGTGTATAGCTACAAGCATGGCTTCCGGATCTAGGGAGGCATTGATACCACTCTACACGGCTCTGGTGTCCCCACAACTGGAGTACTGCATACAGTTCTGGGCTCACATTATGAGAGGGACAGAGCAAGGTTGGAATCAGTTCAGCGCAGGGTCACAAGGATGGTAGCTGGATTGGGAGGGGTGACATCTGAGGAGAGATTGAGGGAACAGCCTGGAGAAGAGGAAACTCCGGGGGCATCTTTTAGCAACTTATAGGTATGTGAGGGGATGTCATGTGGAAGAGGGCTCTGACCTGCTCTTCCCTGCCGTGGAGGACAGAGCGCATTCCAGTGGGGCAAAGCTCAAGGAACCGGGTTTCAGGTTGGATGTCAGGAAGTTCTTCCTGACAGTTAGGACCCCTAGGATATGGAATGGGCTTCCAGGGGAGGTGGTGGAGGCCTCATTGGTGAGGGTGTTCAAGGAAAAATTGGGCTATCACATGTTGAGGATTGCATGAACAGAGCTGGCTGGAGTCGGAGGTCAGACTAGATGGCCCAGGAGACCCCTTCTGCCTTGCTCTGTTTCTCTGTTTCTCACTGGTTAATGGGCTTCTCTTTCATCACCCTTAACGACAGGGCCACCCAGGCAAAGAAGGGCCTCCTGGTGAGAAGGGAAGTCAGGTATGTATCATGCACATGGGAGCCCTTGGGCATGCTGGGATGTGCTCTCCTAATTAGTGGGGAGGGTTTAGGGCTGGGGTCCAAGGGATCGATGCCTGCATTACCCAGCAGAAACAAGAGGAGGCACGGCTCTCTGGGTCAGATGAGGAAGAAGGCCAGTCCTCACAAGAAAGACCTCAGGGTAGGAACGGTGCGGACCACCGCTGGATGGACCTATGGGTCAGCCTGGTGTGAAGCAGCTGTCAGTGGCTTTCATAGGGTTAGCTCTGAGAGGTGTTAAGCCTCAGGCCATGGGCCCAATCCACCCCCCTCCCCCAGCACCCTGGGGCACTGCCTTGGCTGCGAGCCTGCTGCAGCATGCGGGCGCAGTTTTTCCCCTCTTGAGGAGGGGGATCTGAACAAAGCACTCACATCCCTTACGAGGGATGGACATGGAAGAATAAGGCCGAGGGGGGGGGGGAAGAGTGTGTTTCTGTGTAAAACACATGAGTGAGCACAGGAAAGACACTTGGCCAACGCTGACGTTTAAAAAACTAAACATTTCCTCTTGTTAACAGGGCCCCGTCGGTCCTCAGGGCCCAATTGGATATCCTGGTCCACGCGGGGTAAAGGTAAGAAAATGAGAACCTCCTGCCCAGAGAGCATGGCAGGGACACGCCCTCCCTTCCGCCAGAATCAAAGGGAAGAAGCCGTCCTGATCTGGCCTGCCCCACAGAGCTCCCTGGTTTTGAGGGCCGGTGGGCACATTTGAAAATTAGACCTCAGGCCATGCATCACTCCCAAAATGGCTGCCGGAGAACAGGGCTTGGCAGTTGCAAATGGCTGCCATGCTGGTCAGGGCCAGTCAGAAAAGCCCCAGTTTCCCAGAAGGCACAGTACAAAGAAAGGAAGTTGCCCAAGAGCTCAGGCATCTTCGCTCCAAAACACAAAACCAGCACCTGAAATAAAACGTTGCTGAAGGTCAGCGCTTTATCTTGCAGCATGCCAGCTTCCCAGTTTTAAACTGGGAATAAAAATCTCAAGCAGCTTTTTGTATGAGGCTGTTGTTGCCTCATCTTCTTTCAGTTGTGCAGCGCATTTCCTTGCCTGCAATCCCATGGTATCACCTCCAGGGGGCGCTGTGGTATAGCCAAGAGGCACCATTCAGATTGTGGAAGAAAAGTTTTCTTGTGCTTCCTCCACAACACTGCATTTTCCCGCTTTGCAAGAAGCCCCTGGAAATGCAGTTTGAAAGCAGAGATGAAACGGGGGGCTTGTGATGTTGTCTGAAGGACCCACAAACAACTGTGACATGCAGTCTGGAGAGGTGCTAAGGGAAAGCTCAGCCACCCCCAGGGGCAGGGGCAGCCCGAAGCTGCATGTGACTCGGAGAGCTCCTGCTGCCCTTGTGCAAAAGGAGGGCCCCAAGACGCCGAAATGGGCCGCAGGGGATGACTGTGCTTCCTCTGTTCTGCGGGCTGTGCTTTCTGCAGTGCTTGCTGGGGCAGCGGCCAGCTGCAGGTGGCCCTTGGATCTTTGATGCAGCCCTCTGTGTGGGAGCAGCTGAGATGTTGGGCCAGAGGAATCTGCCCCTCCCCTGGCAGCTGATTGCATGGAAGGAAGAGGGGTAAAGAGAGAAGGGGTGGCAGAAAAGGATGCAGGGAGAGCCAGCAACTCCCGGCTCCAGCCCCGAGGGCTGCCCTCCTGCGGCCCCCAGCAGTTGGTGTGGCCCTTGGCAGGAAAGGGCCAGCCTCCCCATGTGACACAGGCCCCGTCTGAGGCTTAGGGGACTCGTGTGGGGCCGGGCAGAGGTCCATCGGCCCAGTTATCTGCTCCACAGGGTAGCCAGAAGATGCTTTGGGGATGCATATGGAGGCAATAGCGCTTCCTCCATATTTGCAGGGTAGGGTATTCATTGAGCTCCTACGCCTGAGGGCTGTGCTTAGGCCTTTGCTCCGTGCAGCTCCTCGCGGTTTTGAGAGCCATCTTAGCAAGCAGCCACATCTTATTGCAACGAGCTCCGTGAGTGACTTATTTGTTGCACAAGCTCGTCATGTGCAGGCTCCCAGCGTTCTGCCTGTCCTCTGCACCCCACGACCTTGAAATCTAGCAGCAGGCCACCACTGCCATTGGCCAGTCGGTGGAGAATGATGGCCGTCGTAGTCCGCTCCACAAGTTTGCAATGGGTGTTTTAGGCTGAGTACAATTCCATCCACTTTTTGTCCATCAGCCCTGATGTAAAAGACTTGAAAATGAAATTGGATTCAACATACATTTTGTTTCCATTTATGTATATACATATATCCTTAATGGGGATGGATCTTTTGCTTACGCAGAGGGGGAAAAGGGAATATTTTCAGCCTGCACAGAAAATTGCACTGGGGGCAGGGGCTCACTGGCATTCCCCTATCTGTGTTTGTTTGCGTTGTGCATGCGCCCAGCACTCGCTGCACAGGAGAACTGAGGAAGCGAACGCCCCCTTCTCCGCTGAGCCGGCACGGTGCATCCTTTCAGGCTTCCACATTTAATTAGAATTCCTTTCCTGCCTCCCAGGGCTTTGTGCTCGCCTCCTTCCATTTGCTGCCGCCCTTGACAAGTGGGTTGTGCCGAAGTGCTCCATGAATGATGTCCTTGCGGGTGAAGCCCCGAAGCAGCGCTGAAAGTGGGCTGTGCGGCCTGCAAGGAGGGGCTGCCCCGCGCATCCCCCTGGTCAGCAGCAAGGCATGGCAGTGCGCGCTTCTGTCGCAGCGGCACCGGCTGAGCTGCGGGGATGCCTGCTTATTCATCACAGACCTTTCCGTGGCACTAGTGTCGGGGAGGCCCTTGGCACATGCTCTTCTCTCCCCGGTTGCCACCTGAGGATACTGGCTGCGTGGGAAGGACAACACCGGGCAGCCGGTGCAGGGAGCCCTGGGAGTGCTGGGCCCCACTCGGCGAGGAAGCTCTGGGCCGCTCTGGCTCAGCCTAGCCCCCCTCGCAGGGCTGTTCCTGTGATTTGACATTGCCGTGCAGGCGTGGCTTTCTGCAGCGGCAGCTCAAGCCGGCCGCCATGCCCAGGCGTGTCCGACAGCTGGCGCCTTCAGGGAGTCAGGCAGCTCTGTCTTTGGGAGAAGCCATCCCTAGATCCTAGCTTCCTCATACAGTCATTTTGCTTTCCTGCATTTCTTTTTCTTTGGGATGGTTTTAGTTGCTTCCTCTTGTACAATGTTGTGAAGCTCCATTCATAGTTCTTCAGGTACTCTGTCTCTCAGATCTAATTCCTTAAATCTATTTGTCACCTCTACTGTACATTCATCAGGGATATGATTTAGGTCATACCTGAGTGGCCTAGTGCTTTTCCTTCTTTCTTCAATTTAAGCCTAAATTTTGCAACAAGAAGCTCATGATCTGAGCCACAGTCAGCTCCTGGTCTAGGTTTTACTGACTGTATAGAGCTTCTCCATCTTTGGCTGCAGAGCACATAGTCAATCTGATTTCTGTGTTGACCATCTGGTGATGTCCATGTGTTGAGTTGTCTCTTGGGTTGTTGGAAAAGAGTGTTTGCTATGACCATCGTATTCTCTTGACAAAATCCTACCAACCTGTGCCCTGCTTCTTTTTGTATTCCAAGGCCAAACTTGCCTCTTATTCTGGTTCTCTTTTGGCTTCCTCCTTTAGCATTCCAATCCCTCATGATGATAAGGACATCATTTTTGGTGTTAATTCTAGAAGGTGTTGTAAGCCTTCATAGCATTGATCAACTTCAGCCTCTTCAGCACCAGTGGTTGGGGCATAGGCTTGGACTATTATGAAGTTGAATGGTTTGCCTTGGATTCAAACTGAGATCATTCTGTCATTTTGGAGATTGTATCCCAGTCCTGCATTTCCTACTCTTTTACTGACTATGAAGGCTACTCCATTTCTTCTGAGGGATTCTTGTCCGCAGTGGTATACCTGATGGTCATCCGAATTAAATTCACCCATTCCTGTCCATTTCAGTTCACTGATTCCTAAGATGTCAAAGTTCAGTCTTGTCATCTCATGTTTGACCACGTCCGGCTTGCCTTGATTCACAGATCTTACATTCCAGGTTCCTATGGAGTATAGATCTTTACAGCATCAGACTTTCCTTTCACCACCAGATTCATCCGCAACTGAGTGTCCTTTCAGCTTTGACCAGTTGCTTCATTCTTTCTGGCGCTACCAGTACTAGCCCTCTGCGCTTCCCCAGTAGCACATTGGACACCTTCCGACCTGAGGGGCTCACCTTCCGGCGTCCTATCTCTTTGCCTGTTGATAGTGTCCATGGGGTTTTCATGGCAAAGATACTGCAGTGGGTTGCCATTTCCTTCTCCAGGGGATCACGTTTTGTCAGAGCTCTCTGCTGTGACCTGTCTGTCTTGGGTGGCCCTGCACGGCACAGCTCAGAGCTTCATTGCACTACACAAGCCCCTTCGCCACAACAAGGCAGTGATCCATGAAGGAGTTTTAAATTATATGCCTCCTTAATACTTATTCCCCTTGCAACTTCCTTCACTGTGTCCCAAACTAAACCTTCATTACTATCTTCTCTATCATTGAATTATTGGTTAGTACAACAAAACAGCAGAAGGAAGTGAAAAGGAGAAGAAGCAATAATGCATTCAAACTGAACAGGAACAAGAAAGGCATAAAATAAATCATGCCCAATGCATATGCCCAATATAATTTCCAAAAGGAAAGGAGAGGAGAGGAGAGGAGAGGAGAGGAGAGGAGAGGAAAGGAAAGGAAAATCAAGCTGATGTCAAGAGATTTTCAGCTGCTGATGGTATAGATCATGCAAGTACATCATGCTTGCTGGTGTGTGCTTTTAACCAATTTTATCTGAATCAAATATACTAAAAAGGGTTCCCATGTGTTTTGAATGGATATATGCTGGATATCTTTTTCTTCCCCAAAGGGGTTTACCATGCTATCACATGAGTTTTATTAAGAAAATTACATATTTATAGACTGTGAGATCTCTTGAAGGATTTTGCAAGGAAATGTAGCAAAATGCACTTCACAATCAATCCAAATCAAGCTCCCAAACACTCACAAGCCACAGCATTCAAGTCCAGCGTGCAGTGCTCAGGCAGCGCCCAGGGGGTAACGAGGCCAGGCCTCTGCAGGCAGCAGGAGCCCTTCCCCGTCCCTGCCGCCAGCGCAGCTCTGAGGACAGCATGTCAAAGGGCCGGCACCGCCACAGAGGTGTCCTGTGTGGCCACTGACCGGCACCTTGGGTGGATTTATTCCAGGCTCCAGCTCAGGAGGAGGCCATCAAGTCCCAGCATTCCTCAGCCAGCCACACTCACTGGAGCATGCGGAGAGCCGTGCGATCTTTTCCCACTTCAACACACTTCTGATTGAACCTTTGCACACTGGAGTCAAACTCCACTGACAAGTGCATGTGAGAATTGACATCAGAATGGCACCATGACTGGGTCCATTCTTGGGTCCAGAATTTAGCAGCCATGGCTGGTGGTTCCAGACCCAGTGGAGGCGATCTGGGGACCATGTTGTGCAAAGAGCAGATGAAACTCAGGGTGGATGCACTGCTGTCTGACTTCAGCCCCCCGCCCCGGTGTTCAGGCAGGAGGAGCCCACTGACCCGGACGCATCAGTGGCCAGAATTCTGTATCCCAAGCTTACCTAAGGATTTGTCCGGAAGGTGCAAAGAAGGCGCAAGGGCGCCGTCACCATCAGCACCTCACCCAGCTCAGCCCCTGGCACCAGCACTGGCCTGTTCCAAAATGGGCGGCCCCAGCATGCAGGCCTCTGAGTTAGAGAGGGCAGAGATTGCGCATTTTTCTGTTTCTAAGGCAGAGAAATTTGCACAAAATGTGGCTGTGGCTTCCCCTGAACCGTGCACCTGCTTTGAATGAACGCTCCTTCCTTGGAGAAGCTGTGCGCAGTGCGGCTCCCTTGGAAAGTGGGCACTGTGACACACGGTCTGGCTTGAGCCGTATTTGGCTCCGGAGTCAACTGGGCGTGTGCGGGGGGAGGGTCTTCAGGACCACCACCCACAATCCTGTGCTGCTCGTCCAAAAGAAGGGAGATTCCAGCTGCGTCCTTGTCCGCTGCTTGGTGAACGCGGCGAACCCTTCCATGCATCCCTCGTCCTAACGTCTGTTCTCTTGTTGCTGCCGTTTTCCCACTCAGGGCGCAGATGGTGTCCGTGGCCTGAAGGGAACGAAAGGAGAGAAGGTGAGTCCATTGCAGTGTGTCTCTTGATGGTGCTGTGGCCCAAGGCGGGGTCTGGGGGGTCTGGCACAGTTTGGGGCTGCCCCTTGTTGCTCCCTGTCCATCCCAGGACAGGGCTTCTGTCGTGAGCCACACGGGGCAGAGGCATTCCAGCGAGAAGGCTTTGCTTTATTAACGTGCACCAGCTAGGCCAGCTGGCCTTGTGATACGAAAGAGGAATATTGCAGGCAACAGTAACAGAAGGGACAAGCCACGGTAAAATATTGCCTGTCAGGGAAATGCAGCTTGCAGAGGCAGAGGCGATCCAGACAGAACTGCCTCCTCCCTTCCAGACTGAAGGAGCGGCTGTCCCCAGGGCAGGCATGCGGCTCCGGGGCCAGCCACTCGGATCGTCAGAGGGCCCACCCTCTCCACCTGATGCCCAGGTGCTCAGACAAAGGAAGGATGGGGTCCACCCCACCCATTCCAGCCTGGTCTGGTCTTGGCAACTCAGCAGTGAATCCCCCGCTTCTGAATCCAGAGGCGATGCGACCGCTCTTGAAGGCAGTGTGAAGGGAAGAGCGGCCTGGGCCTGTGCTGCACGCACGGATCTTCCTTTCTTGTCTTCGTGAGCTGCATCAGCTGCTCCACCCGGAGCGGAGGCAGGGCTTTGTCCAGTGAAGGCACACGCATCCGCCTGCTGGAAGGATCAACACCGTGTGCAGCGCATCCACATGCGCCCTTCTTCGGAGGACTAACCCGTCCATAAATGGCTGCCAGCGCAAGTACAGGCAGCCCTAAACTAAGTTGCTTGTCCCAGAACCAGAGTCCAAGGTGAGCTCAGAAGCACAAAATGGCTTTTGGGAACCCAGAGGCAGGGTGGTCCTGGAGGGCAAGCCCTTCAAGACCGCCAGCATCTCCCTCCCCCTGTTGAGAAATGCAGGCAATTCCAGAGGGGCAGGAAGGCTGAGGGGGCACCGTGGGCACCTCCTTGGACATTCCAGGCCAGCATATTCTGCTCCCTTCTGTTTTACTCGTGCGTTTGCCGAGGAAATTTGCGGTCACACTCTGAGCAGAACAGAGCTGTGGAATCCCAATTACATAAATAGATCTTTTTGATTTACACCTTTTGTAAACCAAGCTTAGGAGCTGCCCAGGGAATGCATCATGCTGGATGGCTAAACTGCCAGAGGCAGCAACCAGAGCAGCTATTAAAACGCTGTGTTTAAAGAGTATTTTGACACACAGGCTTTCTGTATTTTTTCAGGTATGTGGTTATGCACTCCCGAAGGAGGAGTGGAGGCTGTGTAATATTCTGGCCTTGTTGCAGCCTTAAATCTCCCTTGCCTCCATTTGTTTGCACCCTGCAGTCCATCACCAGAAAAGCTGACAATTATAAGCCAGGATCCCGCTTCTGGGGCCCCCTGCGAGCCCCCAGTGTTGCTTTTTGGCTACTGCAGCTATGCTTTAACACCTGACAGGGTTGCTTTAGGACTCGATACGCTATTGATCGGAACACTACAGTTAAACCTTTGCCGACTGGAAGAAATCGTAGCACCGTCCCCGAGTTCTCTCTGCAAAGGCTGGTGCGAAATGACCTTGGTGAAAATAATTTGCTGTGAGCACGGGCGAGTTCCCAGCGTTTGCATCAGCCAAGATGACAGTCTCAGCCACTGGCATAGAGGAAGGAAAGCACCCTGGGCATTGACTGAATTTGTGGGGAGGTTTGGGGTGGGTCCAACAAGGTGTCCTCCGTGGAAATTGATCTGATGTAAATTATGCCCAGACCAAAGGTTTAATGTTTCCTCCAGTTGAACCAAACCTGATTACCTAGCAGTTGCTTTGCGGGGGGGGGGGGACTGTTGTATTTCCCCCAGCCAGAATTAGCTGCATCGCCTCATCTGGGTTCTTGGGCCTGAGGGAGACTCCAGTTGCTATGGGAACTCCCTTTGCTTCTGTCCTCTGGGCTCCCTGGCTTGCTGGAGCACAACCTGTCCTGCCTCTGGGCGGAAGGTGGGGGGCGGAAACTGCCGTGAGCCGGGGTTCCTCACTGGGGTCCCTCCCTACTCACCTTCAGAGCCACAGACCCTTCCTGCAAACAGTCTTTATTGACCAATGTGTTTTCCAGGCACACGAGTGCCCGGAATGAACCTCTGAGAATGCAGAGCAGTTCCTTGAACACCATTCAGGATTCACCTCCAGCAACTCTCCTTATGGGCATTTCTGACCCCCATCCCTTCAGGAGGGGCCTTCTGAAAACAAGCATGCCTCCTCTCTGCCGACGTGTCATGAGGTCAAGAGCTGTGCCCGCCACGCCTGTGCATGAGAGACTCCCCTGCTCCAAGTGCCCCCCGGCCAGTTGCACGTCAAGGTTATCCCCAAGGACTGCCTGCCCACCCACCCGAGGGGCCTGGCCTTGCGATGAGCATCTCTGCTTCTCCCGTCTCGGGGCCTCGGCATGGCCCACGTCCCCAGCCCACCCCTCCCGATTTGGTTCTTCTGGAGACCAGCCAGCAGCCCTCCTCCTCCCTCCCAGCAGGAGCCTCCTGGGAAGGCACTGCCTGGGAGCCGTGAGATTGAAAGCGGGGCCCAGGGAGCCCGCAGTTCCCCAGAAGTATGTCAGGGTGGGGGGCACATTAAGGGGACAGGCCAGGTGGCCAAGCACCCCCGAGAGGGAGCTGTCCATCCGAATGGGCGGAAGGCCTACTGCGTGTGCCGCAAGGGTGCCTGCACTGCTCCGGTGTCCTCTTCCTCACAGTGGTCTCCTCTCCGTTCCTCTGTGTGCAGGGCGAGGATGGCTTCCCCGGATTCAAAGGCGACATGGGGATCAAAGGAGACAGGGTGAGCTTCCGGTGGTGCCATCGTCCTGGCAAGAAGACCGAAGAGCAATGCCGCGTCTGTGGCTGGCGCGGGGGACGGAGGTGTTTCTGAGCTCCCACAGGAGTTGCATGCAAGCGAGCCCCAGGGACAAGCTCCCTTAGGCTTCTGGGCTGCATCCGAGGCCAGGCAGCCCCCAGCTCCTCCAGTGGGGAATGGGTGCCCCTCGGATGCCTCTCCTCTCGGGGCCGCCGTCAGCAGGACAGAGGGAGCCCACGCAGCCGCTGGCTTGCCTTCCTTCGCCTCAGCCTCAAGGCCTGCACTAGCCATTCTGGGAGGGGGTTTCCCTGCTGCCCCTCTCTGTGAAATGCAGCTGCAAAGGTCGGGGTGTCTTCAGCCTCCCAGGCTCCCAGCAGGGGATCAAGTGCTGGTGGAAGGCAGAGCAGGCTGTTTGAAGCTGCACATGAAATGCTTTTGAGGCCTCTGGGGCACTCAGCTCTACCCCCACCCCATCCAAGACATGCTCCTCGCCCTCCAATCAGCACTCCCTGGCACACGTGCCCAAACCCTCAGGCTGCATTGCAGAGGGTTGCCCCACAGGGAAGGCCACTTGCTGCGCCTCACGGAAGCCATGGAGGGTGCAGGCAGCAATTCGCATAAAGCGTGCATAGTCCATGACCAGTCTGGAGGCAAAGTTCACCCTCAGCGGTCCAAGAGGGGTGGAGCGGGTGGCTGCCAGTGACATGAAGGAGCACTTACGTCCATATATGCCCAACCGCCCCTTGAGATCTGCGGGAAAGGCCCTTCTCTGGGAACCCTCCGTGAAAGAAGTTAGGAGGGTGGGTACTCGGAGGAGGGCTTTCTCTGCGGTGGCGCCCAATCTATGGAATGTGCTCCCCAGAGAGGTCCGCCTGGCGCCGTCGTTATTTGTTTTTCGGCGCCAGGTGAAGACCTTTTTATTTAAACGTCATTTTAATTGTTAACAATATTTACTTATTTATCTGGCCAGGGCGACTTCTCTTCCTTTCTTTTCTTTTCTTTTCTTTTCTTTTCTTTTCTTTTCTTTTCTTTTAACTTTTCTTTTATAACTTTTCTTTTATAACTTCTTTTATATCGTTTATATATATATATATATATTATTAATTTTAATTTTAATGTTATATTGTTATTTTTGTATTGTATTGTATTTTATTATGTTGTAAGCCGCCCCGAGGCTTTGGCAAGGGGCGGCATAGAAATGTTCTATTATTATTATTATTATTATTATTATTATTAATAATAATAATAATAATGTTCAAGCCCTTTGCTCCAAGTCTCGACTCAAGTCTTCACTTCTGAGTCCAAGCCGAGTCTCAAGTCTTTGCAAGAAATTTTTGAGTCAAGTCTTGAGCCAACTTGAACAGAAAAAAGGGAGGTGGAGTTGGGGTGGGTGTGTGGGAAAGTTGTAACCCCCACAATATTCTTATCCACACTTCTCTCAAACAAAAATTTGCCCAGGGATTTTAGGTGTTTTGTTGGCTTTTGTCCCCCCCCCCCCCCCCCGCCCGGGTTTCTATGTTAAATCTGATAGTACATTTTAAATCTTTGTGCTGATGCTTGGTTCTGTTTGGTTATTATTTTTCATACAACACACATCTTCTTTGCTGTCAGTTCTCTTTACTATGAGCGCATATGATCATCCTTCTCCCAAAGGTCCTTGATATTTTGCGCTGCTTAATGGGGCTCTGAAATCGTGTCCTCCAACTCAGTGGTGGGTGCAGAAGGAGAGAGGACTCAGCTGTTTTCCAATTCTTGGCAGGGTGAAATTGGCCCTCCTGGTCCACGGGGAGAAGATGGCCCAGAAGGCCCAAAAGGCCGGGGAGGACCCAATGGAGATCCTGGCCCATTAGGCCCACCAGGAGAAAAGGTAAGGACCTCCCACCCCCACTCCTGGACCCATTTCATTTGTATCAAAGGGTATACAGGGAGCCCTGGTGGGGCCGGGAGTGACCAGAATTCAAGGTTAAACCCTCGGCACTATCAACCCTTTCCTTGGCCCCCTCTGCCGGCACCCTCACAAGCTTTCCATTGGCTAGAAATTGAGGAAATTAGACAAATCTGCAGCAGATTCAAATCAGTCTGGATTTCTGTGATTCTGAGCATTCCCATTTTGGTGGGACTGATAGCTCAGAGTCTGGGAGTTGGCTCACCCAGACAGGGCTCAGAGCTTGGACTCTGGTAATGGAGCTGTTGCTGTAGTGGACAGGTCTGAACCTGCTGCCCAGTGTCTCAGGACCAGCCCTGAGTCTGCTCTGGACGTAAGTAGTTCCAAGGGAAGGACAGCCACGGTGCGCAGTCCCCCTCCTGTGGGAATGAAGGAAAAGCAGGACAAACCTGCCCTGGGGACAGAGATTTGGAAACGGATAGTCTCTCGGAGGGAGGATGCCAGCCTCCGGAGGAGCTTGGACCCGAGGGCCCGTTGTCACAGCTGCAGGCTGGCCCAGTTAGGGGCCCAGAGAGCAGAGCACAGGTGTGCCCGGTCCACAGAGCCCCTCCTTCATGAGACCGGCCCCAAAAGGTTCCTGAGCAAAGCTTTGGGCAAAGGGGGGCAGAGAGGAGTCAGCGTCTCACTGTGCGCCTGCTCAGAGACTGCTGTGTAGAATGAAGACGCTTACAAGAAGCGCTGGAGAGTCTGTCTTGCTGGGGAGGGGGCACCTGGCTCCCACCACTGGGCAGTGGGCGGCGCTGCCACTGTGCTTCTCCACATTGAACTTGCTGCACTCGGAGCACCCGCCACTGGTCCCAGGACTCCTGCTGCTCATTCCCAAAGGAGCGGGCTGCCCACTCCGGCCACGAGGATGCTGCTTGTCTCGGGCTGCTGCAGGGCGTGCTGACCACCCTTTGCTCTGGGGCGGCACCCTCCTCGTGTGCCCAGTGACTTTTATTCATTCAACTCTTTGGAATCTGCCCAGGGAGTGCCTGCCAGTGGGTGCGTGGCCCGTTTATTTGCAAGGTTTCTGTACTGCTGGACATCCGACGCAGCACGGAGTGGTAGGAAAGGGGAAGGCGAAACTAACCCCCGCATCATTACCCTCAAAATGCAGCACTGAAGCCTTTAAAAACAGATCGCTGCCGCTTGGTCATGGAGGGCCTATTTCAAAAACCATAATGGAAGCGTCTCTTTGGCAGGCACCAAAAGCAAAACGTCCATGCCTGCATTTTAGCAACATTAGAAGCACAACAGAGTATTTGGAACGTCGGTGAATAGGATAGATGATGTTGAAAGCAAACTGGTTTTTTTACTCTTTCCTAACTTACCGTCATTGGTTTGATTTTTTAGGGAAAGCTTGGAGTCCCTGGATTGCCAGGTTACCCTGGAAGGCTGGGTCCCAAGGTAAGTTTGGCTGAGTATGAAAATGCATTTCCATTGGAGAAACCTGAGTTATAGCACTGGGCATGGATGCTGCTGCTCACCACAAGGGACTTGTTGCAGCCGTGGAGCAGAGAGGCGGCCAAGCATTTCACAGTCCGAGGGAGGCCTGAGACTCAAGCAGGAGTGGAAGGGAGGTGGAGGGACGCTTTTGCAATAATTGACTACTCCTGCTCTTGTCTCCTGCAATGCCTAGTTCTGCTTCAAAGCCCAAAAGTCCGTCAAGGGCTGCCGAAAGAGCAGGGCATCTCTTAGTCTCTTTACGGTAGCCTCTGCTACCAAGACTTATCTGTTCTGTGAAATTGCTTCTGGTTGCCAATCAGAATTGGCTGGAGAGAAATTAGTATTTCAGATCTGATTTGCTTCCACTGCAGTCTTCTCCAGAAAGTGCTCTGTGTTTTGGGTAGAGTCACTTTTCTTCTTCTTAAGAGACATGAGAAATTGGCGTGGCTGGAGAAAAGTTTGTGGAGTAGCAGGAGCTTCCAGCTTGGGTTAAGGAGTCGGATTTTGCGTCATCCTCTGGGTTGTTTAAAAAGCAGAACAGTCCCAGCACCAGTGTATGGGATGGCTCTCCTTGCATGAGGGACGCCCTTCCTGCCCTTCTCCGCAACTCTGGGTGTGCAGAGCCTGCCTCCGAGAGGGCCAAGCAGGGCGCAGGCCACAGCAAAGGTGGTTTATGGTCCCATCGGTGGCCCCTGCTCCATCAGCCCAAGTGCCCGCCAGCGAGTACGTGGACAAATGCCAGGCGCTCAAGGCAGCCCCTTCCATACTGCAGGAATGGGGTCTAGTCCGTCCTGCATTTTGTCCCAGCCCGCACAACTGTCTTGATTCCCCAGTGCTGCCATTTTTATCTTTCCCACAGTGCTGTGCTGTTTGGCAGGGCATTGTGGGAGAATTGCAATGGTGACGGTGCAGAGACCAGGCATCCAAATGAAGGAGGATCTGTGACTTTATCCATTGTGAAATATTTTTTCTCCTCTTATTTTAGTTTAAAACTTTGTTAAACATCCCTTAGATGTTTTGCCTAAAAACAAAGACAAATGCTTCGATGAGGCTGCCTTTCAAAACTTCAAGAATGTTATCGTCTTGAACGTCCCTACTTGTTCGATGTTTCACTGAGTAGGACCCTCCAAATTCTCCAGGTTTCGTTTGGTTTTGGGAAGGGTTCTTTGTTTGTCAGTGTGAAATTTGGTGTGGTCCAGCAGCAATCTAGGGCAATTTGACATTTTTAAGAAAATTGGTGTAACCACATGCACAATAGGTGTCCCCTCCCAGTCAAGAACTGCTGGTATTAAGTTGCTCCAGCTGCCTTAAATTATTAAGCAGTGGTGCTACCTTGGGTGCTGATCATATACATGAGAGCGATACTGAGTGCCAAGGGACCCAGATTTCAAAGCAGCACTGGCAACACAGCTCCAGGGGCTCCGAGAGAAGCCTTTGATGCTGGCATCAGCCTCCTCTAGGTGCCTTTCCAGTCTAAATAAGAAGCAGAAGCGTGCAGAACCCAACCCCTCCCTATTTTTCTCATCCAAGCAGTAAGAAAATCAATTAAGGAGAATAAGTAATGAGATGAAGCTGTGGCCCAGTTTGAGGATGAAAGGTGGGGCCAGCCCCACGCCCACTTTCATTCTGAGTTGTTGTCAAACATTTCCTCTTTTTAAATTCAGAGAAAGAGAAATTCCCTGTGCAATGAATATATGGCTGTAGTTTGGATTGCATTGTACCCCGGAGGAGATGCCTGGAAACTTGAGATTTGTTAAATGAAGGCTTCTTTTTCCCCTTTGCTATTTTGTAATTATATATTATTATTATTATTCATGGTTAATGCTTGGAAAAACAGGCTTGTTTGATGCTGGAGACATAATTAACCACACAAGCATGTTTCCTGCTGGTGTATTTGCTCATTTCTTCTGCCAGCCCAATACATTTGCATACTTTGTTTTCCTGCATGGTTTAGTTTACTGCTTGCCAGGCAACTACAAAACAACAGGGATGATCCTGAACTGGAAACAAAGCCCTGGGAGAAGAGATTGAGAGAAGTGGGCCTTTTCAGCTTCAAGAAGAGTAGCCTGGGGGGAACTAGGAGAGCACTCTGCAAGGACCGGAAAGGCTGTCACAAAGAGAAGGACAGGATCTCTTCCCAATGATCCCAGAGTGCAGGACACAGACTAATGGGCTCCAGTTACAGGCAGCCAGGTTCCGGCTAGATATCAGGAAAACATTCGTGACTGTTAGAGCAGTAGGCAGTGGAACCCACGGCCTGGGGAGGTGGCAGGCTCTCCCACGCTGGAGGCATCCAGGATGCAGCTGGGCAGCCCTCTGAGAGGGCTGGTTCAACTTGGAGTCCTGGACCCGGTGGCCCTCGGCCCCGTCCAGATCGAATAGTCTATGATTCTATGAAATATTCTGCCAGTTCTGGAGGGCCCGGGGGCAGGTTTTGTGGCACATCCAGGCATTGCTTGTGATTACTTCTGTTTAGTTTGCATTTTAATAGGCATTCACTGAAACAATACACAAACTTGGTCATCCCTCAACATTCACCCCTCATTACTTTCTTTATTACCTTATGGTCAGCTAGGGATTCCTGCCAAAGCGCCCCCCATCCAGCTGTTTGCTGGCGCTCACCAGCCAGGTCCAGTTGTAGCCACGGTGTCCCTTGAGGTGGGACACTGGGAGACACAGACGTTGTGGGCAGCAAGGCCCTCAAGCAGCTGCCTCCAGGTCAGGCGGGAACATCGTGGAATGGTGGCTGTGTGAGAAGCTACTCGGTTTTCCTGGGGGAGGACGTTTCTGGGGATGTGGCCCTTGGATGGCTTCCTGACGTGTTGCTGGCCCAGCGATGATGTACTTTCTTAAAAATGTGGGTTTTGTGGTCACAGAGTTTCTTATGTGGCGGTGTTGGCAGAAGTGCAAAATTCTTTTTGTTCCTCTCGCCTTCTGTCTCTTTCAGCTTACTTTTTATGGCTAGTACTTTATTTCAACAGTAAATTGCAAATACTGAGATTTGTAGAAATCACTCTACAACACCAGTCAAATCAGAACACATTCCAAATCTAAGTAGATCAATCAGTGCCATGAGAATACGTGTATAATATTACTATACAAATAACTCGCAAATAACTTGTATATTGATGTGTATAATGATGTGTAAAATAACGTGAATAATAATATTACTATACAAATAACTTGCAATGTTATAAATCCAATGTTTGGCTAATGTTTCATCATTCCCAGAAATACAGGTGGATGAATGTTATCCTGGACCATTCTGATTCTTCTCTTTTATTTAGGGGTCCATTGGATTTCCAGGGTTTCCAGGAGCCAACGGAGAGAAAGGAGGAAGGGTAAGGGTGAATTTTGTGGATTCCACTTGCCTGGACTCTTTGTTCTGCACCAGGCAAGGTCTCTGTTGCCTTGGATGGGAGGCGTGTTCTGGCTGCTGACGGTGGTGTCTGATGAGATCTGCTTCAGATAGGCAGACAAATCTGTCCCTCTGAAAGAAGCGGGGCGCGTGTCCTAGTTCAAAATATGGTTTCCTCCTGCCTGAGGAACAGTGTGGAAGCTGCCCTCAGCCAGGGACTGGCCACCTGGGTGGAATCCCCGGCACACCTGATGGTCAGAGGCCTTCCTTTTGTGGCTTCGGTCAGGGACGAAATCCTGGGCACGGGGAGCACGGCCGCCCTGAGCTGGGGCCCAAGTAGCCTGCTGCGGATCCCCAGTAGAAGCCTTTCTTCCCTGGCCCCCTCCACCTTTTCTTCCAGCACTGCTGCTTTGGTGGCTTCCTGGCCTTGGTGCTGTCCTCTTCTGCCCACCCCCCACATCTGCACCTTCTAAAGCTTGAACTGGCTCTCCAGAAGGCGGGCTACAGGCCGACAGGGCTGCAAGGAAAGCAGGCCTGCCCCTTTGACATTTTTCTTCACCTCCTCCTCCCTTCGCCCTGCCTGCCAGTGGGATGAGATCCCCGAGAGCGTCTCCACAATTAAATTTGGACCTGGGGTTACGTGGAGCTTGCACCCGGAGCCCTGATCCCTGGGACCAGGCGTGGCAGGCTTATCCCCTCAGCTAGGAGCCTCGCGCCATCAAGCCGTCCTTTGCTTTTCACAGTGACAAGTCCCTGAGTAGTAATTCAGAGTATCTGACTAACCTTATTTATGCAAAAAATTTGCAAATGAATTGGTCGCTGTCTGCTGCGTAGGAGCCCTTGCTTGGGACAGCAGCTGTGCAAGAAAACCTGTCGCAAAGGCAGGGGGTGGCTGCAGTCACCCCCATGGGAGCAGCTGCTGGGGAGAAAGTTCACGCAGGTTAATGAGAAAGGATCGCAGCCGAGCCTGGCTTCCAGAGGAGGGGGCTCTTTTCCTGGGGAAGTCTCTGGGCAGTGGGCTGCCTTGCCTGGCACACTGGCTCCAGCTGCTGGTCGCGCCTCATCTTGGGGCTCGCTCTGCAGGTTGGCGCTTCCCGTCTCTGCTCCTGCTCAGTTCCTTCCGTCCCAGCATTTCTGCATGGCTTTTGGGCTGCCCAGAACACCCCACCGACTCCAGCCGGGTGGAACAATACCCCATCTGGAAATTTGCTATCTAACTGGCCATTTTGGGCTGGGGATTTCCCTCTTCCTGCATTCATGAGTGCAGCTGCTGTTTCTTAAAGCTTTCCTCTCACCCTATTCTGCATTTATAATCCAATTCACAGGTGATATACTTCTATAAGGTGTCATCTGACACCAAAAAGTGCTTGGTTTCCTTCCCCACACACCCTCCTTACACTCCTGAAATGTCATCCTGACTACCTTGTAAGTTACTCTCTGGATACTGTCTCCTCACAGTCCAGTATCTATTTTCATTCCTGCTCCTTTGTGAGCCCGTGCCGTTCCCGGCTATTAAAGAGCACCGAGGACTCTGTTAAATGCTTGGTGTGGTTTATCAGCTGCAAAGCAAACTGTCTGACTGCATGATTCTGAAACCAAATATGAAAAGGCACTAGAGCCCCCTCCTCCTTCCCCAGTCCTGTTAGAACGAATGAGCAGGAAGAGCATTACATTTCCTTTTTCCTCTCATTTAAATACACTTTACTTCAAACAGGCGTGCTCGATAGGAATGCAGACGATCTGAAATTGCTTTGCAGCATGTTAATATGGTGCCATCTAAATTTAGTTTTCCTCTTGAAAATCAGAGGAGGAGGGTGTCTTCCCGCCTGTTCCTCCTTACTTTTCTGCCATGTGCTTTTCACCTCCTGCATCTGCGTCCAAGTTGCCTCCCTCGTTCTCTGCCCCTTGCTGCCATCTGGTGAGGGGCTTCGGACAGCTGTCCTTCCGCCAAGTCAGCTGCAGGCGCAGAAAGCAAGGGAGGGGCAGCCTCGGTATGGGAAGCAAGAAACACCCCCTCTCCTTGCTGAGCCTCAGAGTGCAGGAGTGTGGCGGCAGGTCCACCGTGGCTGGCCAGCACGGGCGCCCCGGCCGGGCACCCCTCCATGGCCTTCCGCTCATAGCCGCAAGCCCCGGCGTCGTGCGGCGGATTCCCTGCTTGCCGCGGCTAAAAGCAAAGTACAGCAAAGGGCAGCTGAAAGGACCGAGCGGCTGGCACCTGCGTCCGACGAGGAACAGCTGCGGCAGCCCAGGGTGTCTAGCTCAGAAAAAAGACAAGGAAGGGGAGACCTGCCTGCGAGTGCAGAATTCTGTGGAGACAGGGAGAGGGAGACCTTTCCTCCCCCTCGCAGCGTGCTAGAACCCACGAGCGTAATCCTGTGGAGTTGACGGGTGGGAGACTCGGGAGTCAGGGCAGAGGGAAGGAGCTTGCACAGTGCCAGGTCGAGGCGTGGAACTCGCTTCCACGAGGCATCACGATGGCCGCCCCTTGGGATGTCTTGCGAAGGGGACTGGGCCCATGCCCGGAGGGGAAAGCTGCCCGCGGTTGCAAGTCCTGATGGCTGCAGGCTTTTTCCAGGATATGTACAGCGGCTGCTGGGGAACGTGGGAAGGAGGACGTCCGTCTGTCCTGCTTGCAAGTCTCCCATGGGCAGCTGGTTGGCTTTCCTGTGAGGAGAATGCTGGAGCAGGTGGACGATGAGCCTGGTCCAGTGTTGGTCTTCTTATGGAACCGGGGGGGAAGCAGGTACTGACAGTCCGGCATGAGTTACTGCTGCACACAGGCCGTGGCAGGGATGCGTAAGGAATTCATTTCAGTTTGCTTCTGACTAGAATTTAGCCGGATTGTACCTCTTGGAACGAGACAGCAAACTGAACAACTGCTTCCAGAATACCTTGCTTTCTGAATGTTGATGCTACTTGCAGAACAAAACATCTGTTTGAGAAGTGTGCACATCTGAAAAACATATGTGAGAAATGCACACTTCTGAAATATGCTAAGGAATAGTGCTTAACCTATGGGAGAGAATGCATACTTTGAAGATATGTGCACAATCTATACACATGTTTGGGGAAATGTACATGAATTTTCATGCCAAAAGAGATCTTGCAATCTTATATGGAGGCAAGATGGAACAAACGTCGAGGAGGAAATTAAAGGACCCGACAAGCCTGGATGTTCCTGCTTTTCACATCCTCCTGCTAGTAGAGACGGGCAGATTGAGCTCAGTTTGCTCAGGTGTGTGAGTCCCTGAATCAGCTAAGCCTGAGCTTGCGAAAGGCTCCCCAATTCCATCTCGAGAACCATCCTGGCTTGGGTCTGCACCAGATTGTGAGCTTTGTTTTGTTTGGCTTTTCTGAATGAAATACTTGAAATGTGCACATGCTTCTTCCATGTTTGTTTGGACACCTTTTTCAGAGGCGCCCATTCTTCAAATGTGTGCGTGCTGCCAAACGTATTCTCTCTCTCACTGTCTCCCTCTGCTCCCCCGCCGTCTTCTGATTCCAGGGCACCCCAGGTAAACCTGGACCAAGAGGTCAGCGTGGCCCAACGGTAAGGAGCATTTTGTTTTCCTGCCTTTGTGGCCTTCCAGAATTGCCCTTGACACCGGCGCTCTGCACTCCTGGATGCACAATGCAGTAACCGTTTCTTTCGGTGTCTTCCCAAGGGTCCCAGGGGAGAACGAGGCCAGCGAGGTATCACAGGCAAGCCTGGGCCAAAGGTACGTTGAACGGGGCTTCCTCAAGGTAGCTCCCCATCCCCGCTTAATGCTGGCATTTCTCCGGGCCTGCGCAGGCACGGGGATGCCTCAGAGGTGCACAGGAGCAGGCGCGGAGGGAACCGGTCCACTGCAGGACGTGGCTGCTGTTGAGAACACGGGCTTGTCCAGTTGAAGGTCTGCAGGGGTGCCATCAACAGCCCAGGAGGTCAGGCAGGGGCAGTCAAGTTCCAGGACGGTCAGCAAAGTGAAGGCCAGATGCAGGGTGCAAAGCATCCAGCCCTTCAGACAGCCGCAGCCTTTTCTCCTGCCCGACCCCCTTCCCCAGCTCACCGGCCACCTCTCCCCACTCCAAGGGCCAGAGCGCCTCTCCTGCAGTGTAGGCTGGCATTTGCAGCTCTGCCCCATTCACCATCAACTCCGCCCACCCTGGAGTGCGGCCACCAAGAACTTCCCCCAGAGGGAGTGCAGGCTGCTGGGTGAGAGTAGCGCTAACTCCCCTGAGCTAGAAAAACCACGGGGTGGCAAGCGCTGTGGAGACCTCTGTGGCGGCCAAGGCTGGAAGCATGATGAACCACGTGTGCAGAATCTCCCTGTTCTGCCTTTGTTTGCTGGCTTGTTTGCTGAATGTGTCTAAAAGCCACCTATTAGCAACATGCCCCCTGGGCAGCCAGAGAGTCAAAGGACTGGGACCTCCTTTTGCATTTGGTCCTGGTGCCTGTACGCCTGTACAGAGGCCTGCAGGAGAGCAGGGGATTGTGGCAGAAGCTTTGGAAGAGCTGGATCAACTCCATCCAGTGCATGAAGGGGTCCCTCGGGCCAGCAAAGGCACACGCACAGAGCTCAGACTAGGTTTACAAAGGGTCGGGGTGTCCGTTTTTCGACTCATCTGCTTTATGCAGACTATGCCTACCAAAGTATGTTTCTCCTCCAGACTTCTGAAAGAGGAGGGCACCAGCTGAAAAGATGTGGACCTCTGCAGGAGTTCACAATAGAGCTATCCAATCAGTGCAATTTGGCCCTTGGAATACCAGGCCAATTGTGTATCCGTGCGGGTGCACGCACAGGGCTGGCCCAACTGGCCAAAGCGTTTATCTGTCCCAGCTGTTTCTGGTAGAAGAAAGATGGGAAATTCCACAAGAGGTTCAAATGAGTCTAAATTACCATGACTCTGACTAGATTCCACAGTGGACCAACTTGAAAAATGTGGTGCGGTTCCTTCAGATTTGCAGTTTTTTGTTTGCTTCCTTTCTTGTTTGCTTAGTTTGTGCAGGGGACTTGTGTAAATTTATTTATCTGTTTATGTATTTGAAATTGTTGCATTCCGCCCTTTACGGTGTCGCAGGGCAGATGAGTTCTTGTGCTAATAATGCAGTAATGCCCCTCGGTGCAAATGTACATCAGCACAAGAGCACCTCTGCGCAAGTGCAACTTGTACAGCCCTGAACCCAAATCCACCTCTGTCAAGGAGCAGACGATGGAATGGGTGCTGCCGGCTGATCCATGGAATGCAGGCGGAATAGAATGTGCACATCCCATGCACTCTAAGGCGCCATAAGGTTGGATCGGGATCAACTGTCATGTTGCTCACTGTTTTAACCCCCCCCTCTCTTTTCAAAGGGCAACTCTGGCGGTGATGGACCTCCGGGTCCTCCAGGAGAAAGGGTAAGATGACACACAGCACAGAGGGTCCTAAGTGTGGTGCCACCTGGCGCATGCCTTTGGGCAGGGCTGTCAGACTGCAGTGCCCCTTCAAGGCTACGGAGGGAGGAGGGGAAGCTTTATAGCGTCTGAGGCACCTGCCCTTGAGGAACTGGGGAAAGGAATAGAGGGTGAACTGTGCGAGGTGCCTTGAGAGGAAGGGCTCAGGAAGAGGGGACCAAGCCAAACTGGAGCATGCACTGGAATGACGAAGCCCACAAGCCTCACCCATGAGTGTTTCTCCAACCCCTGCCCCACCAAAAAAGCACTTTCTTTTCTATCAGCTCGAATGAGATTAGTCAAACGAATGGGAAGGCATGTTAGCCAAGCATTAAATTCCAGTTTGTGCCAGGCTGATTCGCTCGAAATGGCAGGCCAAAGGAAATACAGACGGGTCCACAGAAGCAAACTGCACGCACCGGTAGCCCTAGCTGCACCCACCGTCAGGCCTTGCTTTTCCTGCCCTGGAATCCTACCCTGGGCCGATGCTTTCGTGGAGCCGGGTCGCTGCAGCAAAGGCTCTCCCCATCCCTGCCCTGAAAGAATGCACCGCTCTGGTGGACAGGCTGCTGGCGGGCCAGTGGCCGAGTTGCTGGTGATCTCTGGTATACCGGCAAAGGCTGCTGAACTGGATGGTCACTGCTCTGCAGAGCAGTATTCAAATTCTTGCAAAAGTGGAGATGAATGAAAACAAGTCAGTGGGGCCTCAGCCGTCCAGAGGTGTTCCTGTGAGCTCATGCTTTGCAAATGTGAATCGCTGTGGGCCCTGGGAATTCGAGCATTAAAAAGAAGCAGATGGCATCAGACTGGCTGGTCCTGCCTATTTCCTCCATCTCCACAGGGGAGTGAACTGGTCACAAGGAGGGTGGGTGTATCGGGGGGATGTCAGCTGAGATTGAGGGAGCTGGGTCTTTTCAGCCTGGTGAGGAGGAGACGAGGGGATCTCATAGTGACAAATAGGATCTGGAGGGGTGTCACACGGTGGAGGATCATGACCTGTTCTCTCTCCCCTGCAGTGGTGGGTTCCGGTGGGGCAAAGCTCAAGGAACTAGGATTCAGGGTGGATGTTAGGAAGAACTTTCTGACGGTTAGGACCCCTAGGAGATGGGGTGGGCTTGCAAGGGAGGCAGCTGATTCCCCATCAGTGAGGGAATTCAAGAAAAGGCTGGACAACCACATGCTGGGAATTACATGAGCAGAGCCAGCTGGAGCCGGGGGTCAGACTAGATGGCCGGGGAGGCCACCCCCGACTCACTGGGTTTCTGCATTTCTGTGAACTGCTCCACCACTGCACAGTCGTGTAACGAACCACCTTGTGTCTTTGTTTCTTAGGGTCCACCAGGCCCCCAAGGACCCACTGGATTTCCTGGACCAAAGGGCCCTCCAGTAAGTACAGGAAAGAGGCCATGGGGAGAAAATCACTATTGAGATACCAGTTTATTCATTCATTTATTTTTCCCACTTCTGTGCTGCCTTCTAACCCAAAGGTTCTCTGGGTGACTTAGAAATGCTGATGCCAAGGTATCCGCTGAGCCCAGACAAGGCTGCTGTAAAACTTCTGCAGGAGAACCTGAGTCAGGGAGCCCTGCTCCCTGGGGAGAAGGATCTGTGCACTCCGCTTGACTGCTCACCTTGCTTCTTCCCCAGGGTCCGCCAGGAAAAGACGGGCTGCCAGGCCACCCTGGGCAAAGAGGAGAAACCGTAAGTGCCTCCGGACCACCTGGACCTTGGCACGCTGCTGCGCGTGCTCTGCCCCGCCCCCGGCGAGCCTCGTTCGCAGGAAACCTCTCTCTCCGAGTCTCCGAGCCCAGATAGCCGCGTCCGTTCTTACGCAGAGCGGTGTGTGGAGGGAGCCTGGAACCGGGCAAGGCCAGCGGGAACCTCCGGCGCCTGCCTGCGCCTTCGTGGGTCAGGAGCCCAGTGCACGGAAGGGCAGCCCTGCCAGCTTGAGCCAGTTCGCCAGGGGTGGAAATTATGGGCAAACACAGGGCTGTAACATTGGCAGAAACGCCTCTCTCGGTGGCTGGTGGCCTCCATCCCCCCCCACCCCGCAATCCACTGAGAATCCCTTGCTCCTCAAAGAAAATGCCCCTTTTCACCACAGAAGGCTCCTCTCAGCCCTAGTCCAAGCCATTAGCTTTTCCTCACTCATTTGGCCCATTTTCCCTGTCCCCAAATGGTACTTTTCAGGAACAACACGTGTCGCCTCTTGCAATCACATCCTGTCCCCCTTCCTCTGAACATGCAAGCACCCCCTCAGTTGGCTGGATCATTATATCACCTGATAAAGTGTTGTGCTTGCTTTCCTCCTTGTAATGACAGCATCCTCTTTTCTTGCAGGGCTTCCAAGGCAAGACGGGTCCCCCTGGGCCTCCGGGAGTTGTTGGGCCTCAGGTGAGCACCACTGGGTACCTCCCAGGGTCTCTTGCCAATTTCCCTCTTCAGGTTCTATGGGAGAACTGCCAGCTACCCAATTACCGAGCAATCACCAGGTCCGCCTTCAGATTAATGGCAGAGTAAATTCTGCATTGTAGAGCAAATGCATGTTTATGTCTGCTTTCTGAGGTGTAAAAGTCGACTGCCTGGTAATTATGTTTACAGACGCTAAAACATAATTAGTGTAATCTTCAGAAACAGTAGAGCTGCAAAGCTGCCTTCGTGCAGCCAATTAGGGACTGTGTGTCCTTTGCTAAGATACGGGGCGGGTGAGGCAGCCCGTACAGCTCTTTTGTCCCGTCAGCTGATCTGAGGGCAGCCCCGGGAGGGTCTTTGCTGCCGAGGAGGAGGGCCTGGTGGGGCACTGTGGGCTCAGTCACACATCTGTTTACAATGGGGGGGACCACTTTCCGGCAGTGGCCAGACCCCCTCCCCCAGGGGATGCATTCCCACGGTGATGGGGCCTGAGAATAAAAAGCAGGGGCAACGCATCGTAGCATTAAGCTCCTCTGAAACTTGCAAGAGGCATTCTGACCTTTAAGGACCGCAGGGAGCAAAGCGCCAGATGGCCACGGGTTGGGGAAGGGCTGGTGGAATGGGACGAGGCCAGGCGAGGGCCCCGGAGGGCCTCCTCCAAGCTGGGCTCCTTGCCCTTGGCTTCAGCTGGCCAGTCCCCAGGGGTGTCCGCCAGCCCCTGCTGCTGCGGAGCCGCCTTGTGCCGGCTCACGGAGGAGGACTCAGCTCTTGGAGAGCCATGGCGCAGGCCCCGCAGCCCGCCCAGCTCTCGCGTGCAAGTGCCCAGTCCATCCGCCCGGCTAGGCAACCCGCTGCCCCACACGTGGCCCTGGTGTTCTGGGGCGCCACTTGCCTTCCTGTGGGCTGTTCTGTGACTCTGCCTGAAGGGCCGTGCTCCCGGTCCTCCCGCCCCCTTGGGATGCTGCAGACTGCAGGGACATGCCTTCCCTTTTGCTCAATACGGACAGATAAGAAATCCATCATTTTTAGTTTTTTCATATTAAAAACATCATTTGGTGAAATCGAATTGAGATAGATTTCACTGGAAAATGTACCCAGCTGAATGGACAACCCCGCTCAGTCTCCAAATGGGTGTTGCAGCTATTTAATCCCAGTTTAGCAGCATTTTCCTCATGCAGCTGAGCTTGGGCACTCCGAGATAATGGCACTGCAGTGGCGTAATCCCCATGTGCAGGTCGATAATCGCCATGTAGATATTCAGTTAATCCGTTCTTACGTCCCATAAAGGGAGGAGCAAGTTTCCCAGCCAGAAACTGATGCATTGTCAGAAAAGCTTGCGGCTTCCAAGCCCCCTCATGCCTCCCAAAGGAGCTCAGTGTGGTCTCACTCGGCTGCCTGCCCTGTAAGGCGGCTTCTGGATGCAGAGCTGTTCCACAGATTACGGACGGGTGGCCGCGCTCAGAGCAGGGGGGAACTGCTTCCTGCCCCAGGGCCCGCTCCAGCTGCAGTGAAGCGGACCTCTGGGGGTCGCTGTCAGGCAGCAGATGGGGCTGAGGGCCCGAAGGAAAGGGCCACGCCTGCACGCGAGATGGGCTGCTGCACCGGATACCTACGCCTGTGTTGGCACGCGGTTATTCTGCAGCACGTCCTCATCCTCTGGACCATGAGCAGCACCCGCTGGGGCAAAAGACGGAATGGCCCTTCTGCCAAGGTGCCAGTGCCCTGTCTAAGTCACCCCGGAGCACCGGCTTTCATTTTAGAGTGCTCTCGATGTAGCTGCTGCCTTTGGTTATGCTTTCTGGGAAAAATATGGCCTTTCTCACTTGGCCCCGGAGAACTTTTCTCACCCCAAAGCAGCAGCTGTTGCCTCATTAAGTTCTCTTGGCCAATTAGCAAAATGACTGGCATCTAGCCGTAGCAGGCAGGCATTTTCTCTCCAGCGTGGAGAATGAAAGGACCCCCACCTCGCATTATAGAAAGTTCTGCTGCACCTTGGTCCAGATGTCAGGGAGATCCAAGGTAGGCGTCAGAGACCCAGTTTCTGTGAACCTGGATTGCTGCTTCAGGAAATTCCAGGAGCGTTGGCCCAGAGGCAGAGCTTAACTTGAAGAGCCGTGGCACGTAAGAAATGAAGCCATGCACAGTTTCCTCATGAAAGTGGTTGACCCAGGGAAAATCTGGGGGCCAGAATGTGCTTCTCTTCCTTCTGGGGGCAGCAGTTGTGAGCCTGGGAATGAAGCTTCCCACTGATGCCTTGATCCTCCAGCTTGACCCTTCCACGACCTGAAAGAAAAATGCCCCCTGGGACTGATAGCATTATGCTAAGAGATGCACCGCCCCTTCTTGGTACTATTTCAGGTGGGAAAGTTGAGGTAGGCCGTTGGCAGGGATTCTGTGACTTGATGTGGACGGGCATGATTTACTAATGCCAGAATTGCTTGGGAGAGGCTCACATTTATCCTTTTTCTGTTTTGGAGAAGCTGCCGTGATCATTTTCAAGTCAGCCTGTGGTGTGTGGAGGTGAATTCACTCATCTCTAATTAGGGATATGGATGTCCATAGTTGGCTTTCTCCCATAGTCGCCACCATTGGAAGGTTACCGGCCACCCAAGAAGCAGTAGAAAAGTACAAATGGTGTTCCTGTAAATCCATCTTCTAGTTCACTCTGGATGGTCAAGACTGGTCTCAGTGACCCAGAGGCCTGCTATGTCCTTCCCTCTCTCCTTCTGCAGGGTCCAACTGGAGAAACAGGGCCAATGGGTGAACGCGGCCATCCCGGGCCCCCAGGGCCTCCTGGAGAACAGGGACTTCCTGGGCTGGCTGGAAAGGAAGGAACAAAGGTTCGTACGGACCAGTGATCCATTCGGAGACCCGGCACTTGCTTCGTAGTTTAGGGGTGCGGGTCCAGGAAGCTGAAGAGAAGGAACGTGGCAGCATAAGGACTGTTTTCAGCAAGTTCGGACCCGGCTTTTCAGCAAGTTCGGACCTATGCCGGCAGCCTCCCATAATGGTAGCAGGGACGGGTAGATGTTTCTTCTGGAGAAACCCTAACCCCTTGACAAGATGGTCTTCTTGGGATGTGGGGTGAATGGCCTTTGCTTCTCTGGCCAAAGGCTGAAGCAAGAGTCCATAGACCTCGGGGGCAACGCAGTCCTTCTGGCAGCCAGGATGGAAGGGCAAACGTTCCTGTTCTGATATTTTGCAATACTGAATTCTTTCCATTGGCACGGCCACATTACCTCTTCTTTTAAACAGCTGCAGCCCGCTCTGCCCATCCTGGCTATGGAGTTCCCTTTGATTCCAAACTGTGAAACTTTCCTTCCAGGGTGATCCAGGTCCCGCGGGGCTTCCCGGGAAAGATGGCCCGGCTGGTTTGAGAGGGTTTCCCGGTGACCGAGGCCTCCCTGGCCCGATTGTAAGTAACTGTCTCTTGAGGAGGTGCCTGCTGAGATGCTTGCAGAGCGCTTTCCCGCAGGGTCAGCGTCTTTTCCTCTCTCTCCTCTTTTGTCTCTGCAGGGGCCGGTGGGTCTGAAGGGTAACGAAGGGCCCCCAGGGCCGCCTGGACCAGCGGTGAGTGCCTGGAAAGTTTATTCCAGGGTGGGCGGGGCTGGGGGTGTGCCCAGAGCTGCAACTGCTGGCCTGATTCGGGCTGCTTCTGGTTATGGGACTGGGCTGCCCGTCGCTTTCTCTCATGAGCAGTCTGAGCAGCTGTGGTTGCCAGGTGTGACCTTCCCATCGCTGCCTGCCTCTCACGACCTTCGCTGGTGCCAGCTCTGGCCCAGCAGGAAAGGTGGAGCCCGCCGTGCAGGGAGCCGGTCCCAAGTTCATTCCCAATAGGGGCTGCCAAAGCTCCCACCAGAAACCCCAGGGAGCTGCAGCGGCCAGTCCCTGGCACAAAGCTTAGGCACGAGGCAGCTTCTGATGCGCCCAGGAAGACCAGGGCACGGAGGACCCGCAAGGCAATCCAAAGGCGGGATCTGTGGAGAGCCTGCACCTTTCTCCTGCGGCATCGTCTTCTCCCAGCGAAGGCCTCAGCCCGGCTGAAGCAAGGAGCAAGCCAGGCTCGGGGGCGGCTGAGTGGCCCACACTCCAAGCTGCTGCCGCTCTCTTTCCACGGAGAAGCTGGTCAACGTCCCACGCCTGTGCTCACCGACTGTCCTTCGTGTCCCCTGTCCAGGGTTCCCCCGGCGAGCGAGGTCCGGCCGGAGCAGCTGGCCCAATAGGCCTGCCGGGAAGGCCTGGCCCCCAGGGACCTTCCGGCCCGGCTGGTGAGAAAGGAGCCCCGGTAAGTCTTGCACGTGGATCGTGGGACTGCAGCAAAGCCCAGGAAGGGCTGCCTGGGCTGGGACCTCCTTCCCCCGCGAGGTCTGTTTGTGTGGGGAAACTCTTGGGGGTCATGCCCCAGTGGTGAGCGGAGCCAAAACACCAGCTGCTTGCGAGTTAAAGCTCCTCGCATGGAGAGCAGGGAAGTATTTCAACCTTCTGGCATGTCGGGGAAGCATGGGAAGCCAGGAGACCGGTGGCTGTGGGGAAATGGGTGGAGCCTGCAGCAGAAGGGCCTGGAGTGTGTGTCTCCAGGCTGGGTCCTGGGAGGCGGGGTTGGAGCTGGAGCACCCACAGAGAGCGTGAGACTGGCCAGGACCGGTTCCCCCTGTGCATCCCAGCTCTTGTGGGAGTTCACACGGCCTCCGCCACCCTCTGAAGACAGGCTCGCAGAGAGTGGCATCTGCGGGGGCGCAGAGATGGCTTGGTTGCCAAGGCTATGGGGTCTTCCAGGTGCTGGAGAAGTGGCAGCCACGGCAAGCTCCCGGGCAGAGTACTGTTGGAAGCAGGGTGCCAGCCGAGGTGGATGTGGTCCATTTGCAAGGCAACCCTGATGTTCCAGCCCTTTGTCCATGAGGGAAACAGGCCCTTTTCTCTCTGCTCTGCTGAACTGCTTCCCCTCCGCACCTATTTGCACCTTCTGCTGAACCAAGGAGAACAGACAAGCTCAATGATTTTGCATCAAGTAAAGATGTCTCTGCTGATACGCATCTGAGTTATTAAAGGCACTCCAGTTTCTCCCTCATTCCCTCCTCCCTGGATTGTGCTTGGTAGAATTTTTGAAGGATAGAAGCTGTGCATGGAGTGCTAATCTCTTTTTCCAAGAAGCATCATGACTGCCTGCACCACAAGATTTATATGTGAAATGTTTTCAGAAAGCTGGATGGATTATTTATCTAGCATTTAATCTGTTACCATCACACACGCATGCACACACAGCATCTTGAATGCATTCCTGGGAGGAGAAGCATCCAATATTCACCCCATGCAAGCAGAAGGTGGAGGTGGAGGAGGAGGAGGAAATGAAGAAGAAGGAGAGGCTTTATTTCCAGTTTTGAATTTGCACCACATGGCTATGAATTAGTCTGGTCTGAAAAAAAGCTGGGTTGCTCATGGATTTGTCTCTGAAAGGAATCTGATGTCTGCTCTTGTCTTTTCTAGGGAGAGAAAGGCCCCCAAGGTCCAGCAGGCCGTGATGGAATCCAAGGACCAGTTGGGCTTCCAGGACCAGCTGGTCCTGTTGGTCCACCAGGGGAAGATGGAGACAAGGTAGGAAAACTACAGTTTGTGGCTGTTTACTCTGGGAGGCTACTCGACCCAAATCAGCTGCTGCAGTTAATCATCCTCTATTTTGTGAGCCTTCTGTGAGATAAGGCCAGAGAGATGAGGACCAGGTGTAACGTGAACCCAAAATTAGGCATAATACTCCAGTTGTGGATGCACCAGAGTCTTACAGAGAGGTCTAACACCTCCCTTGATCGGGAAGGGTGGCGTTCACCTTGTCACACTGCTGCTCATGTTCAGCCTGCTGTCTACAAGTACCCCAAGTTTCCTTTCAAAAGTGCTGCCTCCAGGCACTTGTCCCCTATCCTGTCCCTGTGACACGTTTCTTCTCTTCTGACTCGCTCTGTTTCTATGTTTCTATTCCTGAGTCCAAGTTTTGCTCAGCATTCTCCAGTTTCCCCTCGACAGCTCAGCTTGAGGCACAGTTCGTCTAGGAGCAGTTGCCCAGTTTGTGCTTTCAGCCTCTTTGGGCTAGTAAAACAAACACAACTCAGTTTTAGGCCTGGTGGAGTATGTGACTGTAGTTGGGGAGCTTCTCTTCCGTGCCTGGATTCCTGCGTCTTCCTGCGTTGCATGAGAAGGCCCACTTTGATCGACCAGTCCTTGCAGAGCAGTTGCATGCGACATAACGGCCCTTTCCTCCATGACAGGGCGAGATTGGTGAGCCAGGACAGAAAGGAAGCAAGGGCGACAAAGGGGAACAGGTAAGCTGTGGCTTTGCTGCCATGCTGGGTTGCTGCATGCCTTTTTCCTGGTGCCACACGTGTGTCTCTGCTGTGTTTCCTTGCGTGCCCTTCTGACAGCAGAGTGTGGGGCAGGCGATGGCAGGATGCTTTGGGTCAGCTCTCTTGAATAGGCATCACAGAATCAAGGAAGTTCTCTCAGCCTTCCCCACTCCGAAAGGTGAGTGGGGGGCAAGACTCCATCTCCCCTGTGAAGCGCATGACTGTGATGTCTTCAGTCTTGGAATGGCTATGGCCATTCCAAGCAAGGTTCTGAGGAGGGTGTCCAGTTGTGTCATGGGAGAGGCGTGCCTCTTAACTTCTCCAGAAAGATTTCAGGACAGAGGGTTCCGCTTCCAATCACCCAGCCTCCCCTGCTGCTTCTCCTCTCAACCTCTCAACCAAAAGGGCAGGTGTGCTATGTTTCTATGTGTGCCTTCTGGCTACACTGCTTTGCTTCTGGGATTGCTCATTCACTCACCAAGGAAGCCTGACTCGGCAGGCCGCTGCATCACGTCTGCTGTTTAGCTGATTTCAGGACCATGGACAGCCACCTGCAGCTGGAAGACTGGCAAAATGCTCCAGCCCTGCCTGAAAGCAACTCCCAGAGCTTTATAGTCAGGCCAGGGAGGTCTTTCTGGACGTGAGAATTCCCCCAGGAGCTGGCATTTGGCTTCTAAAGGGCCAGCAGCCTTTTCCTGTAGGTGTTCGTCCCTCCTGGGAAGTGATGGTTGGAGAGAAGGGGAGTTTGTTGGGTCTTCTTGCACAGTAAAGGAGTCTGACATCCACTCCACAGAACCTCCTGGGGTTTGCTTGAGTTCCAAGGCAGCAGTGGCTAGTTAGGAAGGACTAAGCATGGATTCTGTTCTGGAACTTTCTCAGAAGGGACTGCCACTGGAGGCCTTCCAGGCCTGGGTTGTGACATTTTCCCTGGAGATAGTCAGGTTTTGCGTGAGTTATTCTGGGGGGTTTCCACAGGTGCGTCTTCTTACCAGTCCCAGCAAGGAATTATTGTGTGTGAGAACGATCTAGAGGGCCAAGAGCATGTGGGAAGAGCCAGGCTGTTCTTCGAACACTGGCCTTGTGTTACCAGGTTTGAGCCATCTGTGTGACTCTTTGCTCAGTCTGACCCGTCACTAAGCATGTGTCTATTCCTTGCCAGGGTCCACCAGGTCCTACCGGTCCCCAGGGCCCACTCGGCCAACCAGGTCCTGCTGTAAGTATGACTGCGGCTATGTTTAATAGTCCTATATCCTGTGAACTTCCTGTGCTGTAAGTCCACGGAGACAGACACAGTTGACCTGTAGCAGATCTACTTTCATAAGCAGAGTGGAGTCCTGAAATATGTGATGACGCAGGTGGTCATCATCTGTAAGAACGGCCGGGCTGGGATGCCTTTCCTCTGCCACTAAGAGGCGGTTCGAAGTGCAGCCAGGGGGGCTGTAGGGCCAGGACTCATGGGGTGCAGCACTGGCACCTCTTTCTTCACAGGGACGTGGAGGTCTCCAACCGCTCCCCTCACAGCTGCTCCCCTGAGCTCAGCTGCCGTCCTCGCAGGGGCGGGGGGAGCGGAGGTTTTCCCACTGACTGCCTGTGGCTATGAGCTCTCCCCACTGCAGTGAAACCTGTCTCGGGGATGACTTGCTCTTCAGCTGAGCGGTCAGGAAGGACTCCTTTGCTTTACACAACGCCCGCTCCTGGCGGAGACGCTGGCCACTGGAGCTGCTTGCTTCCTGGTCCCTCCTCGGAAGCATCGAGCTGACCTTCTGGGATAGTTGTTGGGGGTTTCGGGATGCAGCCCTGCACCTTTCTGCTCAGGAGTTGGGCCAGTGGAGACATCCTATAGAAATGCACCTCTAGTTTCTTCCCCTGTGAACCACTGACACAGGCCTCCTTGTGAGATGGTCGACTTTGAAGCACGTCAACATTTTCTGAGATAAGGCCTTTGTGTTAGTTCTGTGGTACAAAGGGAATCCTATGTGGAGCCTGCTGAGTTGTGTCCTGCAAAAGACCAGAAGATCAGTCCTTGCAAGCTTGCCCTCTTCTTTGTGAAACTGCAGGTGCCATTGTGCCTGTTGGCTTGGGCAACACAAGACTATTCCAGGCATGCACACTCTGGGTCTTTTCTTTCCAGGGAGCTGATGGTGAGCCTGGACCTCGAGGACAACAAGGTCTCTTTGGTCAGAAAGGTGACGAAGGACCAAGAGGCTTCCCTGGTCCTCCAGGCCCTGTGGGACTGCAGGTAACTGCCCGGAGGAAGCCGGCGGTGTTGCGTTACTGGCTGGCGGCGGCGGCTGCTGTGAGAGATGGCTGGCCAGTGCCGTGAAGCTCAGGCCATGCCTGTCCCGCAGATCCCGTGCGCTGCCCTGCCCGTGCCCTGCCCTCGTGCATCGCGCATCCCCTGGCAGGGAGCCGCGGGTGGCCCCAGCTGCCTGATCGCCACAGCTGCACGGCACATCCTCACTTTCCAGTCTCAAGTCATGTTCTTTACCCACGGGCAATTCAGTGCTAATTAAAAGGCCTTCTGATTCTTTCTGCAGGGTTTGCCAGGACCTCCTGGTGAGAAAGGAGAAACTGGTGATGTTGGCCAAATGGTAAGGTGCTGCTGCTGCTGCTGCTAACAGTAGTAGCAGGAACCTCATAATCCATTTTCCCTGCAAAGCTGATGTTAGTGTATTGCTCTATCACCAAGGAAGTATCTCCTTTCCTTCTCCTTCACAGGGTCCTCCCGGCCCCCCAGGGCCACGGGGTCCATCTGGGCCTCCTGGAGCTGATGGCCCTCAAGGTCCACCAGGTGGGATTGGAAATCCTGGGTCTGTTGGTGAGAAGGTAACCCACCTTTGACAGATCTCAGTTCTGGAGGGGGAGAGAGAGGAATCTGCAGGGGGGGCACTGGAGAACTGGTAAATGCCTGGTGATCAGTGGGGTATGGGGATGCAAGAGCTCATTGTCCAGAGAGATCTCTAGGTGAAAGACAGGAAAAGCCCAGTGTCGGCATCCTGAGGGCTTCTGGGCAAGTTGCCATGCTGGGCTGGTCCCGTGGGGCTCGCAGATTGGGAGTGCATTCAGGTGGCTTCATGGTCCTCTCCTGCAATTTACAGGGTGAACCTGGAGAAGCAGGAGAGCCTGGTCTTCCTGGAGATGCTGGACTCCCAGTAAGTTTGCATCTTCGCCTTTGTAACTTCTTTGGTTGGAAATGAGATGAAATGGAATGAGGGCAGTATTCAGAAGTGGTTGCAAGCTGAATGAACCCACATGTCTGAACTATTAGGAGGTAAACCCTGGTGAGGTTTGTGCTTGAGAGCGGCCTCTCCCTCTGCAAGGGTGCGGACCCGATTGTGTGGGTCCGCCTCCGGAGCCGGGTGGATCCGGATGGATTCCTAAAGGCCCTGGGGGAGTTTCTGGCTGACAAGAATGGTGCTCCTGTCGAGGCTCTGGTGGAACTGTGGAATGGGGAGATGACCAGGGCTGTGGACACGATCTCTCCTAAGCGTCCTCTCCCGCCGGGCAGAGCCCACTCTTCCCCTTGGTATACACCTGAATTGTGGGCAATGAAGCAGGTTGGGAGATAGCTAGAGCGTAGGTGGAGGAGATCACGGGATGAATCTGACCGAACACACTTGAGAGCCCATTATCGGGCCTATGCAGTGGCGGTGAAGGCGGTGAAAAAGAGTTTCTTTTCCATTTCCATTGCCTCCTCAAAATGCCGTCCAGCGGAGCTTTTTCGAGTGGTGCAAGGCCTGGTTCGTCCCGGTCCTAAGAAAGATCTGGTTCCACCCTCAAAGGCCCGCTGTGATGACTTTGCCATGCATTTCAGGGAGAAAATTGCTCTGATTTGTCACGAGCTAGACACCACTAGTGAATCAGAGGTTTCTGGGGAGACACCAATGCTGCCGTCTGGTCCAAAATTATTGGATGAATTTAAGTTATTGCGGCCTGATGATGTGGACAAGGTGCTTGGACGAGTACGTCCCACCACTTGCCTATTGGACCCTTGCCCGTCTTGGTTAATAAATAATTCCAAGCATGGGATTGGGATCTGGATCTTGGAAGTGGTTAACGCTTCTCTGAGGGAGGGTCGGGTGCCTGCCCCTTTAAAGGAGGCGGTAGTCCGACCGGTCCTGAAGAAAGCGTCACTGGATCCAGAGATGGCCAATAATTATAGACCAGTGGCCAACATCCCATTTCTGGGCAAGGTGTTAGAGCGGGTGGTGGTGGGACAACTCCAAGCACTCTTGGATGAAACTGATTATCTGGACCCATTTCAGTCCGGCTTCAGACCTGGGTATGGTACTGAATCTGCCTTGGTCGCCCTGTACGATGACCTGTGCAGGGAGAAGGACAGGGGGAGTGCGTCCCTGTTGGTTCTCCTAGACCTCTCAGCGGCTTTCAATACCATCGACCATGGTATCCTTCTGGATAGGCTAGCGGGACTGGGGGTCGGAGGCACTGCTTTGCGGTGGTTCCGCTCCTATCTAACTGGCCGATTCCAGAAGGTGGTGCTGGGGGACTATGGCTCTGCGCCATGGCAGTTATGCCATGGAGTTCCACAGGGATCCATTTTGTCCCCCTTGCTATTTAACATCTACATGAAACCGCTGGGAGAGGTCATCAGGAGGTGTGGGCTGCGGAATCATCAGTACACTGATGATACCCAGCTCTACCTCTCGTTTTCCACCAATCCAGGTGAGGCAGTGGCTGTACTGAACCGGTGCCTGGCCGAGGTAATGGGCTGGATGAGGGCCAATAAACTGAAGCTCAATTCAGACAAGACAGAGGTCCTGTTGGTTGGCGGATCGGGCTTCGGAGAGGGTGAATTGAACTTAGTCCTGAATGGGCTTGCACTCCCTCTTAGGGACAAGGTCCGCAGCTTGGGAGTGCTCCTCGACCCAGAGCTTTCACTGGAAGCTCAGGTGACAGCGGTGGCGAGGAGCGCTTTCCTTCAGCTTCGGCTGATCCATCAGCTGCGCCCCTACCTGGAGTACGATTGCCTGGCGACAGTGACACACGCGCTGGTGACTTCCCGCCTTGACTTCTGTAACGTGCTCTACGTGGGGCTACCCTTGAAGACGGTCCGGATACTTCAATTCGTTCAAAATAGAGCTGCCAGGCTGCTGACGGGGACTGGGCGTTATGTTCACATGACTCCAGTCCTCCGTCAGCTTCACTGGCTTCCCATTGAAGTCCGGGCCCAATTCAAGGTGTTGGTGATGACCTATAAAGCCCTAAACGGCTTGGGTCCTGGTTACCTGAAGGAGCACTTACATCCATATGTGCCTGCCCGCCCCTTGAGATCTGCGGGAGAGGTCCTTCTCCGGGAACCCTCCATGAAAGAAATTAGGAGAGTAAGTACCCGGAGGAGGGCTTTCTCTGCGGTGGCGCCCAATCTATGGAATGCGCTCCCCAGAGAGGTCCGCCTGGCGCCGTCATTATTTGTTTTTCGGCGCCAGGCGAAGACCTTTTTATTTAAACGTCATTTTAATTGTTAATATTATTTGCTTATTTTATCTGGCCAGGGCGACTTATTTTATATTGTTAATTTGTTTTATATTTTGAATGTATTATATTTTAATTTTATGTTGTGAGCCGCCCCGAGGCTTTGGCGAATGGGGCGGCATAGAAATGTTTTAAATAAATAAATAAATAAAAACACAGGACCATGTATCTCCATGGACACCAAGAATGGTCATCTTCCTTGGACATTAACTGGATAATTGTGAGGAAAGTGCTCAGATGACGGCAGCTTCCTTCAAATTCAGGAAGTGGGGAAAGGACTGTAAAAGCAATAATGTGCAGAAATATACACTTTCAAGGGTGCGGGTGGGGCCTATGCCGTGCCTGAGAGGTGAGCAACCTTTGGAAAGGTGGTGGGGAATGGTGGCCACCTTCTGACTATCAGTATGAGTAGACAGAAGGTCCTCACTTACAGGGCTTCTGGTGCTGCTGGGTGGTATAGAAAGGTAAACTGCATAGATAAATAGGCACGTGTCCTCTTCTGGGAGGGAAAAGCTTGTCATGGGTCCCAAGCTGCGGGGTGGGGATGTTCTTTCCACGGCTGCTTTGCCGTTCTTCAGGCTGCCTTTCAGGAGCAGGCGCTGCGTTATGAGGCTGCCCACTGAGCTCTCGCCTTCCACTGACAGGGTCCAAAAGGAGAGCGAGGTGAAAAGGGTGAAGCAGGTCCATCAGGGGCAGCTGGTCCACCAGGCCCCAAAGGCCCTCCAGGAGATGATGGCCCCAAGGGCAGCCCTGTAAGTAGCCCCCAACTTTCTTCTAAAGGCTGTGATACCTGGAACCTTTTGCCCAACAATGTCTATTCTGGAGGATTTGCTTTGAGAACTCCTGTGCAGTCACCCACTGTATGTTGGGCTGCTTCGCATCTGCCAGGGATGTGGTGGTGCTCCCCAGATGCTGTTTCGCCCCGTCGCCCTCCCCGCAATGCAAGGGTCTCCCTTGCTGCTTTTCCTGGTGCTGCAACCGCAGCTGGGAGTCAGGTCTGTGCTCGGGGAAGCACGTTGGTGCGGTGGGGGCCGGGGGACCATCGTTACTGGGATGCCGCATGGGCTCGGAGTGGCATTCCCTGGTTTTACTCCAAGATGTGCAGTAGCAGAACCAGGGCTCGCAGGGCCAACGCTCCGGGGTTTTTTGGCACACAGGGACAGTTGCAGAATCCCCAGGCCCCTCAGGCTCTCCTGTTCCCTCTGAGTTCAGACGGAGCGTCCTAGCAGGAGTATTGCTAATGTTGTTGGCAGTATGCTCATTGCAAGGCAAAGAGTTTCGGCAGTGATCGGCCCTCAGCCTAAGCCCTGGAGCGTCCCAGCAGCTTGCAGGTTCTTCTTAGAAGCACAGGTGGGAGGTGTGTGTGTGGGGAGGGGAACCGGCTCTTACAAGTGCCCGCACTTCAAGGTTGACCACTTTACCCCTGGATCTTGTATTGATACCTCATTGGCCCACTACGTGGGCATGCCCCCCCAGTCGGCACATGCACTCACACACCCAATTGGCATCCCTTCAGTTCATGCACCCGTTTTTGTCTACAGAAGGTCCACAACGACATGGTTTGCCAAATCTGCCTGGCATTCATTCTGCTTGGGTCCCAGGAACAGCCTCCCGTTTTGGGGCTGAAGCTCCCCATCCATCCCTGGTTTGGCCTCTGCTGCCCAGGCCAGACTAGTCTCCGTGGGAGGAGCTGCTTGGGTGGAAAGCATTCTGTGGTAATGGTGTTCTCTTGCACCCCTTTGTGCAGGGTCCAGTTGGCTTTCCCGGTGACCCAGGTCCTCCAGGTGAACCTGGCCCAGCTGTAAGTATCGCTCATGATGGCATCTGTACCACTGTCTTTATCCTGTTGCTCCTTTGGATGTCAGGCAATCGGAAGAGCCCTGCCGGGTCAGAGCCAGGCCCTTCTAGTCTGCCCAGTGGGAAAGACACAAGCAGGACAGGGGTGCATCTCAGTCTCCCACCCACGTTCCCCAGCAATTGACGAAGATCGGTGTACTGCCTCTGGCCCTGGAGGCGGCGTGCAGCCATTAAAACTAGTCATCACTGAGAGCTTCCTCTATTGGGAATGTGCCACATTTGCAGTATATGACTAACAGCACGAAGAATGTTCGCCAGAAATACGGTGGTGTCTCGGCTCACAAACGCCTCAGTTCACGACCAAATTGGGTTGTGATCAAAATTTTCGTAAAAATTTCCACTCAGGTCACAAACTCCGCATTGGATGGAGACCATGATTGCAACCATCTCCCACCCCTCCCCAAGTGGGAAGATGGCCACGATTGTGCTGGGGGCAGGGGTGGTGGGGGAGATGGCCGTATTGCGCCCGTCTTTCCTGCAGGAGCGCAATCGTGATCTCAGCCATCTCCCCACCCCCAGCCTTATTGCACCCCATCTCTCCCTCCCCCAGCGCACCCCGTTCGCGCCCGTCTCTCCCTCCCCCAGCATGCTGGGATGACGGGCACAATTGTGGTGGTTCTGGGGGGGTGGGTGGGGAGATGGCTGCACTTGTGCTGGGGTGGGGTGGGGGGGAGATGGCCACAATCTTTATTGTTCTTTGTCACTTTGCTTCTTCACATTTTTCTGATAAAAAAAAAAATAGCTACAGAACACATTAACCTTATTTACATTGAATCATATGGAGAAATTTAACTTGGCTCATAACCAATTTGGGTCACTTCCAGAGTCCTGGAACGGATTAAGTTCGTGAGCCTGGGTACCACTGTAAGTCTTGTTTGGCTTAATGATGTTTACTTCCTAGTTAGAATGCACAGGGTCAAAGATGCTTCTCCTGCTTCCCCTGTGGCTTCTAGATCTTAACTGAAGCAGAGAATGGAGAAAGAACATGGGGCATTTCCTTTGTAGGCCCTGAAAGCTAAAACTTTGCTTGGAAAGGAGGAGAAAAGGAATGGCCTTGCCAGGCTGTTGCATCAGCTGTTACAAATCATCTTCCTGATGCACAGGAGGAGCACAGCTCTGCCTCTGGGACCTTCTGTAGGAACAGAGAGTTAGATCCACTTTTCAGGTGCGGCCGCAGCTGTGCTGATGGAAGCGGGCTTCCCATTGCCTCCTGCTCTAGCTCCAACTCCCTGGAAATGCTGCACAGGCAGCCACTGTTACATGGGGAGGTTTGGTGGGGCCGGGGGGAAGATTCTCCGAAGTGAGCTAAGGGCCTGTTCCTCTTGCAGAGGGCAGACCCCACATCCATCCAATTCTTCTCCAAAGTTTGCTGAGGTTGTGTGCCGTTCCGTTTGAGGATCTCACCTTTCAGAATCAGTGCGGCAAACTTGCCTACATGTTCTTCAGAGATGTTACCTTCAGGAATCATGAGCTAGTGGACGGGAGATTTGAAGGCATGCTTGCTCCTTTTCTTTCAGGGCCAGGACGGTCCTCCAGGTGATAAAGGTGACGATGGCGAACCAGGACAGACTGTGAGTAAACGCTGGTGTGTCATATCCATTCATTAGTGATCAGAGAAGCCATGTATTTTTTACTGTAATGCCAATATCAGAGCTGAGCCACTGAGAAGAAGTCAAAGCTGACAAAGTGAGAAGCGGCAGTCAAGGATCAAAGCCAGGGGGAAGCATCAGAGAACCCGCCAGCTCTAGTAAAGTTGGGGTTCTGGATCTCTTTCAGCCAAAGGGTACCTTTCATTTGGAGAAGGTCCTGGGGCCACGTTCTAGTGGTGGGCAGGACTGAAGACAAAAGGGCATCGGACCAAAGGGATGAAACCAAAACTCCAGAAAGCACGGGTCAGCCTGACGCGGTTATTGCCAGTAATTCTGCCTCAGGAAGGTCGTTTCAGCCGTTTAGAACGGGAGGTGGAAGTGGCGCACATGCCAGATCAATGACGAGAGGTTGGGACCAATGGGGGAGGGGCGGTGGGCTCGGGGAAAGTGGTGACCTTTTGGGAACTGGGACCCCGGGTGGGCCAGATTTGGAGAGCACGTCCAGCGGTTGGCGGGATTCTGCTGGATAAGCTAATCAGCGTCTGTTGTGCTTTGTCCGTGTTTTAATGGTATGGCTAATGATCTGACTTCTCTTCTTTTTTTCTGTTCAGGGATCCCCTGGTCCAACTGGAGAGCCGGGTCCTTCTGGTCCACCAGGGAAGAGAGTAAGTTGACTTTGGGGCAAAGTGGTTGCATCATTCGTAGCAAGCCTATTCGGGAGGTTTTGCACAAAACCCAGGTATCCCAAGATATTGAGTATGTGTCTGATTATGGTTCTTCTTTACTCCACTTCTCATATAGGGCCCACCTGGGCCAGCAGGTCCCGAAGGCAGACAAGGAGAGAAAGGCGCAAAGGTAAAGCTCTGGAGCTCTCCCTACTAGTTTGATTCAGATTTCCCCAACTCCCTCCTGATTCTCTTTTGCCCTTTTTCTGCAGGGTGAGGCAGGTTTGGAAGGGCCACCAGGGAAAACAGGCCCTGTTGGCCCTCAGGGACCACCAGGAAAGCCTGGCCCAGATGGACTTCGAGGAATCCCAGGCCCTGTGGTGAGTCTTTGTCAACGGAGGTCAGCTGTGTGAAGGGTCCACACTGTAGGAGAGGCAAAATGATAAACTGGACTTTTGGATTCTGTGTCAGCACGCTTTGGACTCCAGTCACCCTTTGGACTCCAGTCGCCATAAGGCCATGAAAGGGTTGGAAATTTTCAGTGGCCGCATCCCTAGGCTAATGTTATGCAACCCAAGGAACAGGCTTGCCCTCCAGACCCAATGGAGAGTAATTAGAATGCTCTCTTACCTGAAAAATTCTGGCTCTCCCATAGGACTGCCTGGATCACCATTCAGGAGAATCTTGAAGATCTGATTTAGGGGTAGTAAGATGGCAGCAACACCTTGTCCTTCCATCACACCCTCCTCTTTGATCTTGGCTGCATGATTGTGTGTGCAAGGTTGCTTTATGAGATCAGAAAGTCTTGCGGTCCCATCACCACTGCTCAGATGTGGTCTGGGTGCAGGGAAGACCCTGCTTCCCTCCACATGAAGATGTACAGTGGTCTCCTAAGCAAGGATGCAAGTCCCACTGAATTCAATTGGACTTACTCCTGTGTGTCCCTCTCTTTGGCTGGCAAAGGGCCATCTATGGCACCAAAAAGATTTGAAAATTTAGAAACAGAGCGAGTCAGAAGGGGCCTCCTGGGCCATCTAGTCTGACCTCCAGCACCAGCCGGCTCCACTCACGACATGCCCACCATGTGCATGTCCAGCCTATCCTTGAACACCCGCACTGATGGGGCCTCAACGACCTCTCGTGGAAGCCCATTCCACACCCTCGGGGTCCTGACTGTCAGGAGGTGCTTCCTGGCATCCAAACGGAACCTTGGCTCCCTGAACTTTGCTCTGTTGGAGCACGTTCTGCCTTCCTCTGCAGGAGAGAACAGGTCTCTACCCATCTCCATGTGACACCCCCTCACATACCTGTATGTTGCCAACATATCCCCTCTGAGTCTCCTCTTCTCCAGGCTGAAGAGATCCAGTTCCCTCAGTCTCGCCTCACACGACTTCCCCTGCAAACCGGCCACCAACCTTGTGGCCCTGCGCTGCACTGACTCCAAACTGGCTATATCCTTCCTGTAATGAGGGGCCCAAAACTGAGCACAATACTCCAGTTGTGGGCACACCAGAGTCATGTAGAGTGGTAGTAATACCTCTCTTGATCTAGAAGCCACACTTCTGGCTATGCAACCAAGGGTGGCGTTCGCCCTCTTGACCACCGCATCACACGGCTGACTCATGTTCAGCCTGCAGTCAACCAGCACCCCGAGGTCCCTTTCACAAGGGCTGCTCTCCAGCCACTTGTCCCCTAACCTGTACTTATGACAGCTATTCCTACGCCCCAAGTGCAAGACCTTGCACTTATCCACATTGAACGCCATCCTGTTGTCTCCTGCCCACTTCCATAGTCTGTCCAGATACTTTTGGATCTGGAGTACCTGCTCCTCAGTTGTGGCCACTGCCCAGGTTTTAGTGTCGTCTGCGAATTTGATCAGCAGACTGTTCACCCCTTCTTCCATGTCATTTACGAAAAGATTAAACAGGATCGGCCCCAGGACAGAGCCCTGGGGGACCCCGCTTGTCACTGGCCACCATCCCGATGATTCCCCACCAATGGTTACCCTCTGCTTTCAGTCAGTCAACCATGCCCTAATCCACCGGACAGTGCTTTGGTGTATCCCAAAACTCCTCAGTTTCTCCACCAGGATATCATGGGGCACTTTGTCAAAGGCCTTGCTGAAATCCAGGAAAACCACATCCACTGCATCCCCTCCATCCAGCCACCTCGAAACCTTGTCATAGAATCCCACAAGGTCTGTCTGGCAGGACCTGTTTTTGCGGAAGCCGTGTTGTGTGGCTGTCAGCCTCCCTTCCCTATCTAGCATCACTAGATCTCTCTCTATTATGAGCCTTTCCATTGTTTTTCCTACAATGGACGTAAGGCTAACTGGTCTGTAATGTCCCTTCTACTACCCTTTTTGAAAAATGGAACCACTGATGCCACCCTCCAGTCCTCTGGAACTTCACCCGTTCTCCACAAATTTACAGGCATGATAAAATGGTTTTGATTATATTTTCAGCTATATGTTACTATTACTATAGAAAGCATTTGGTGATGTTGTCAACTCCTCTCCAACCTATGGCAGCCCTGTGAGTGAGTGTCCTTCAGAATGCGTTGTCCTGCTCAGCCACCTCCGTCTCCTGTAAGCTCAGGACTGTGGCTTCCTGTACGCAATCAGTCCGTCTCTCCCTGAGACAATGTGAAGGGCGGGACATAAAAGCTTCAATAAGTAAATCTCATGGCTGGCCTTCCCTTTCTACTTCTGCTTTCGATTTTTCAGGGCATGGTTTTCCCCAATTAAATCTCGACTTCCCAGAATATGGCAGCCTCTGTTTCGTTAGGAGCAGCGCATTTGCGTTTATTTAAAATGTCCCATCATGAGAAACTTGGTTGGATCCGAAGCAATACAAGGAGGGAGTGATGGACCTTTTCTATTTTATTTTATCTTTTTAGGGTGAGCAAGGACTTCCAGGTTCACCAGGACCAGACGGACCTCCTGGACCAATGGTATGTGCGGACATTTAGGTTTCTCCGTCTCTATTACAGTCAGATGCCAAAGTCGGCATGGACTTTGATTTAGCAACTGTATCATTCAAAATCAGGCATCCTGACCTGTTGCACACCCCTAACCCCTAATACAGGGCTAAAATTCCATTGAAAAGAGGGTGATGTTGAAAAAGCCATCCTTGAGGAGCCTTTTCTGCACAACTCATCATTTCTGCCCATTCTAAACACATTCCAGTCATCAAAATCATGCCAGGACCCCTCGTTTTTCTAACCCTAACCCTACCCTGGTTGGTGCACACCCCTAACCCTAAGAGTTCCACTGAAAAGAGGGCGAGTTTGAAAAAGCCCTCCTTGAGCTCACAGAAGGAACTCTGTTTGCTGGGCTGGGATCTGCAGGCCTCAGTTTGGTACAAGGACCCAGTCTCTACTTAAGTTGCAGCCCTCCCACTCCCCGATGGATCCCGCTTTCCCTGTGAGAGCCCTTCCAGGTCCCTAAAAATGCTTCAGAGAGAGCTGTGTGGACCTGCTGAGTGGGGTGATCTGTGATGCAGGCATTAGAAGGGGGAATCTCACTATACTGGGCACAAGCAGGCCTTGTGAAAGGCAGAGCCTGGTTCCACTCCCATCCACACGCCATTCCTCTGAATGGGGTGCAGGTTCCAATTCTCCCCTCAAAAGCACATCCGTACGCTCACACAACTAGCTGTGTGCCCACGCTGCCTGCATGGGGATTCCTGCTGGACTGTGGAGAGCGTGTCCCGACCTGAGAAACCTGCAATGCTTGGGTCCAAAACTTGGACATCGGGCTTTTGAATCCACGCTTACTTCAGCGTGAATCCAAATTTCCCATCCAAAATGCATTCCCGATCGCAAAGCTTGTTGAGGGAAAATGTTGTTTCCTTTTTCTCCCCCAAAGGGCCCACCTGGCTTACCTGGTCTGAAAGGAGATTCTGGTCCAAAGGGAGAAAAGGTAAGACCTATATAACAGGAGGCTCTCAAGACCATCTTGCCTGAGCATTTCAGATGTATATTTTGATACCAGAGTGGAAGCTGTGCAAGTTGCACAGCTGGAATTTAAGACCCCCCCCCAGACAAGTAACCCTTTGGTGATCACATGATGCAGTCCTTGTTGTTTTGGTTTGTTTCATGGTGAAACCTGGAATTGTTGCCATGTGGTTTTTCATCTTTGCAGGGTCATCCTGGCTTGATTGGTCTGATTGGCCCCCCCGGGGAGCAAGGAGAGAAGGGCGACCGTGGCTTGCCTGGGCCTCAAGGCGGAACGGGGCCCAAAGGGGAGCAGGTAGGCTGCCAGGAGTCCCTGGGATGCGCTCGGTCCTCCTGAAGGCCCCGCCGAGGCAGGCCGGGGACTGACACAGGGGCGCCAGAAGTCTGCTGGCGCGGCTCCACCCGCCGGCACCCGAGCGTGGGACCTTTGGCCCCCGGGGCAGCCCTTTACATTGTATTTGTTTGTTTGTTTGACTCGTATGCCGTGCCATTAGCCATGAGGCTCTCTGGGCGGCTTGCAACATATCACTACGAACATGTTCTTAAAACAGCACAGCTCATAATAAAGTTTAAACAGTTTATCGTATAAAAACCAACAGTGGGAATAAAATAAATAGTAAAAATGACATAAAATCAAACTGTTTAAAATTATCTTAATAAAAATAAAGCCAATAAAATTAAATAAAATACAAAAGATAAAATCTGGCACAGGCAGCAGCATAAACCATTAACTCCATAAAGGAAAAGCTTTCTGTCCAAAATGATGGCAAAAAAGATATATTTTTTTAAACTGGCACCCAAAAGAATGGAGATGGTGCCAGCCGGATCTCTGGTGGAAGAGAGTTTCCATGACTGGGGCGCTGCGGCAGAGGAGGCCCTGCTCCTGGCCACCTCCCCACTTACTTCATTAGTGGGAGGAAAGTGAAGAAGGGCCTCGGAGGGAGGTGTGAGGGGAGGTGTTCCTTCAGGCGGCCTGGTAAGTGTGTCCGCACTTCTCGCACTGACTTCCCCTGTTTTTTGTAGGGTATCGCAGGCCCGTCTGGCCCCCTTGGTCCTCCTGGTCCTCCAGGGCTCCCGGTATGTACCCACAGGTGGGGGATTGGGCCACTTGTTAGCAGGAGGCTCTTCGCTGCGATTGACCGGACCAGTGCGCCATTCTGAGCGGCACAAAAAGTGTGAATGGCCGTTTGCGCAACTGAGGGAGTCCTCTTGCTTGAGCGTAGCACATGAGGGGAACGGGCTGGGGAGGGAAGAGGAAAATGAGGTAATCTTGCTGGAATGGCTGCTGCAGGAGAGGGAGGGTGGGAGGAGGAGGCCTCGCAAGGGGAGCGCCTTCAGCAGGGTGGGTACAATGTCCCATTTTCCTTCTCTCCCTGGCAGTCCAGCCTGCTGGGATGGTTGTCAGGGGGGATGCTGGTGTCCCCTGCATTCCCCAAATTCATTGTCATTTCCCATCCTTCCCATGTTCAAGATAAGCGTGCTAATTCTGAATGGTCAAACAGATCTGCCATTATGTGTATAAATATACTTTTGCTTCACTGTGAGGACAGAAGAAATGGAACCCCCATTAACTGGCCAGGTGCTTGCAGGCACGTTTGCTGGACGCGATTTCATTGCATCACAATCCCCATGCTGTGCTGATGAATGTGCTGCCTGGGTGTTGCTGTTCTTTCCTGATGCCATGCTAACCGTCACTGGTTTCCTGTCCTTGCTCTAGGGTCCCCCCGGGCCAAAAGGTGCCAAAGGATCCTCGGTAAGCATAAGCGTCCAAACTGCACGCGCGGGGAGGGCTTTATTTGGTAGCAGGGTTATCGCACCCCCCGAGATCAGGGAGGAATTTAATCTGCTTGCACTCTCATGGGGCCTTGCTTTGGTTTGCGTTTCTGAACCGAGATGAAGACGGGAAGCCAGCTCCCTTTCCAGAGAGAGCACTCACTTCCGGGCAGGATGGAAATGAAAGGGACCAGAGAGCTGTTTCAGAGATCCCTGAAAATAGCTGGGATGGAACCGAAATGTCTCTTTGCAGCTGTCTAAGCTTTGCAGAGTGGGGCTCTGTGCAGCCCACACATCTGGGCATCCGGGGGCAGGGACGGGGTAATCGTTATGCTGACAAGGGCGGGCTGTACGTGGCAGGCAACGCAGGAAGGGGTGCCGAACTGCTCTCCTTCGGGATCCTGAATGCCATGCTGCAGGAGCTCCCTGGAGGGCCCCACACTGGGGGGAGGGAGCCAGGCAAAGGTGGGGCTCGCATCTGAGAGACAGGCAGCAGTTGCGAGGCTGCGCTGGGGGGCCTCACCCCCAGCACTGGCAAAGTGCGCAGTCCCTGCTGCTCGCAATGTCCTTGGCCCAAGGGGGAGTGTTCTCCGAGCCACGTGGTTGGCTCCCTTCGACTTACCTTCCTGAGGGCTGAGCTGGGGGCGAAGCCATTCAGCTGGGGTTGCCTGCGAAAGCAGAATTTGCTCCTGGCATGTACGATGGCCGATTGCGGGTGTGAGGTGGAGAAAGCTTTATTCTGCAGAAAAAGGTGTCCATGCGCAAAGTAGGCAAAGCGGAGCCCCGAGGGAAAAAACAGCTTCCCTTTTTGTCACACGTACGCAGGCGCTGGCCTAGCCGTGTCTTTCCGGGCCACAGAACCGCCTCCCTCCTGGAGCCATGGGTGGGCACATCTGGGGGAGACTCGGGCTGTCCTTCACTGCCTCGGGCCTCCGGCTGCTTTCCTGGCAGAGTCCAGAATCCTTTGCCTGCTCCCAAGCCTAAATTCTGGCCTTAACGCTCTCCTGGGAACTGCCGGAGTTTTGAGTGGAGTGGCAGGTATGGGAGGGGTAGATTGGGGTGCAGTTTTAGGCACTTTTGTGGGAACCACATGTGTGAACTTCCACACATTTGCTTTGCTGCTTCTTCCAGGGTCCAACTGGTCCTAAGGGTGAAACGGGTCATCCTGGCCCACCAGGGCCTCCAGTAAGTATGGGCACCCAGACGTGCCACAAGCTTTCACCCCCTTCCCTAGCAGCCACTTTCGCTTTCCTGGCACCATTCAGACCACACTGCTCTCCCTCTTCACCCAAGGGACCCCCGGGAGATGTGATCCAGCCACTGCCTATCCAGTCCTCCAAGAGGACCCGGCGCAACATCGACGCGAGCCAGGTCATGGACGAAGGCAACCCAGACAGCTACATGGACTATGCGGACGGCATGGAGGAAATATTTGGCTCCTTAAACTCGCTGAAACTGGAAATTGAGCAGATGAAGCATCCGCTGGGCACCCAGCACAACCCGGCCCGCACCTGCAAGGACCTCCAGCTCTGCCATCCTGACTTCCCTGATGGTACGGAGCCCCTGCTCATGGGTGGACAGGTAGCCAGGTTTATTTGAGGAGCAAAACTGAAGGCCTTTGAAATGGCGTGTGCATTCCAGATGTTACCTGTCCTATGCTCATCAAAAGAGAGTGGAGTTAGCTCAATTTTTTCTGCCATTTAAGAAATCGCATGGTTTTGGCAGACACTCCATTCATAGATAGATAGATAGATAGATAGATAGATAGATAGATAGATAGATAGATAAGTAGGTGGAAGGAAGGAAGGAAGGAAGGAAGGAAGGAAGGAAGGAAGGAAGGAAGGAAGTCAAATGATAGTTTATAATTCAAGGGTATAACAATATGGTGAAGGTTTCTTGAGGGTTAAGGCCTATAGGGGTCTAACAGCCCCCTGGCGCCGTACCCCTGTACATGGCCCATCAGTTCCCGCTCTCCTATCTTTGCGGTCTTCCTCGCCAAAGCTCTCAGTTGCTCTTCTGCCTGCTATCCTTCTCTAGGAAGGTAGAAGTATGGGCCCGGGGGCCACATCCAGCCTCACCCCCTTGACTGGCCCACACCCCACTTCTCTGCATGAGCGGAACTTCGGTGGCTTCATGGCCTTGGCATGCTCCTTCCCATTCCGGGGTTTAAAATGGCTCTGCTAAGGTTGCGAGAAGTACATCCGCTGCTCTGTGGGCCGCGCAGCAGTGCAGTGGCGTGCTCCTCATCCACGGAGCTGAGCTGCAGGCACCCGATTGGATGGCGCCCTCAGCTGATCAGCAGCACAATGGGCACAAACGCAGGGCAGCTGAGTTTGGCCAAACCGCTGTGCAGAAAACTTGTGATTGCCATTCCTTGTTTATGGGAAAAAATGTTCTTCCAACCACAGGTGAATACTGGGTAGACCCCAATCAAGGGTGTTCCAGGGACTCCTTCAAAGTTTACTGCAACTTTACAGCTGGTGGTGAAACTTGCATCTTCCCAGATAAGAAATCAGAAGGAGTAAGTAATTTGCTTTCTCTCTCATTAGGTACAGATCTATTTTTCAATCTTGTGCCAGAGATATTCTATGGATGTTGAGCTGTCCATAAATCGTGTGGCTGTAGCTTCGTGAGAAACTCAGGTGTCCTTTCATTTTAAGTTTTGCATTAATAAATATGATGTGATAAAAACACCCATTTCCTCACTCAGAAGCAACTGGCCCTGGTACTACGCCAAGGATTCTTTTCACAAGTTGTAATGTAACCTTCAGGCCTTCATAGAAGAAAAGGACTGTTCATGACATTTTGCTAGGGATGAGCCATCAAGAAAACTTGAACTTGCCCAAGTTCTGTGAATTGCATCTCAAAAATGACTTGTTTTTAAGTTGCCATCAAATTTGTACACATTTTCCCTTATCCTCACCTCTTTGTATGTAGTTTTCCATACTATATACCTTTTGCCAGCAAATTTCCTAAATACCATTTGCTCCAATATACACTTTCATATAGGTGAAGATTTTTTGTGCTCATTTCTCAATAAAAACAGTCCAGTGGTACCTTGGCTCAGGAATGCCTCAGTTCACGACCAAATCGGGTCGCGAACAAAAATTTCATAAAAATTTTGACTTAGGTCATGAACTCCACATTGGGTGGTGGCCGTGATCGCGGCCATCTCCCCACCCCCAGCCCAAGTGGGGAGATGGCCGCAATCATGCTGGGGGCGGGGGGCGACAGCCAGATCGCGCCTGTCTTTCCTGCAAGAGGGGTACACTGGGGTGAAAGGCACATGCTGGGATAACAAGTGCGGTCATGGTCGTTCTGGCGGGGGGGGGGGGTGTTCGTGTTGGTGGTGGGGGGGGGGGGGTAGAGGCCATGATTTTGTTGTTCTTTGACACTTTGCTTCACATTTTTCTGATTTAAAAAATAGTTACAGAATGGATTAACCTTATTTACATTGAACCTTACGGGGAAATTTAACTTGGCTCACGACCAATTTGGGTCATGACCAGAGTCCTGGAACAGATTAAGTTCATGAGCCTGGGTACCACTGTACTACAAAAATTGGAAAAGTGACCGTTTCAAATTATACCTGAGTTTCAGTTAATATATTGTTTTGAAAGTGCAGCATTCCTTATGCTCATGTTAAAATGTGAGCCAAACCAGGTGCTAGTTCTCATGGAGCTGGTGCAAGGAAGCAGGTGTGCTGTTCAGTGATGCTGGGACCACACTGCCTCGCCTTTCCGTGGGAAGAGGTCCTGCATGATTCCACGCCGCGCTTGCTTAGAGGGAAATGCCCCTGCCCTTCCGCTAACCGCGTCCCAGCACGCTCTTCCGCTGCTGAGAGTGTCTCCCTCCGCCACTGAGGGGCAGTCCTGCAGCGCCCGGCGAGCTGGAGTCCCAGCTCTGGCCTCGGGGAGCTTCGTGGCCTTGGCACGCAGCGTGCCCTCTCTCGCGGCTCCGCGCCTGCAAGCTGTGGCAGGCCAGCCAGGCCAAGGGTGGGGGCCCTGTGCAGGACCACAGAAGCATTTTGCTCGCAGCACATGCGAGGCTTCACCATTTGAAGCCCCAGGCATGCCAGAAATGTCCGCAGATTGTGCTCACACTGGGTCTGTGAAGCTTTTCCAGTCTGCTTGTGCACAGATGCCCTAATCACCACGAATCCCCCCCACCCCCAGATCCGCTTCAGTGCCTGGTAGTCTAGTTGGGCAAATTAAGAAATCAGTTTATTTGCAATTCTCAGGGCAGCTGCGGGGCAAATGAATGTCCCAGTAACAGTATTATCACTCCCTATTTTAATGCAGAGCTTTTTGGCTTGTTTTGAAGGGGTAATTAAGACACATCCATTTGCCTAAACACCTGTGCCCAGCAAAAAACTCAAGCTGGTTCACCGATAAAGATCAATGCAGTAATCTGCACTTTTGGACACTTTTATGGTGGGGGGGCGGAGGGGGCAACATGGCTATGGAGGCTGCTGTTATGAGTGCCTAAACCTCAGAATGTGGTGCTACACCGCTGAGGCTGTTCAGTGCTACGAACACACACTAACATCCTGTGGAAAATTCAGCCGTCCTAACGGATTGCAGGGGGCACAGTCACAGGAAGATGAGCGGGCCGCTTTGAAAGGCCCCGAAGGAGAGGGGTGCTGGGGTGGGGGCCTTTGCGCGAGGGCTTTGCTTGCTTAGCAGGCCAGAGACCTTTCCGGGAGAGTCCACCGAGGGCAGCGCTTCCCCGGCCTGCCTCGTCCCGGTGCTTGTCCTCCCTGCCGCAGCTCTTCTGCTCTCTTTCAGGCTAGAATTACCGCTTGGCCAAAGGAAAACCCGGGCTCCTGGTTCAGCGAATTCAAACGCGGTAAACTGGTAAGGGGCTCCTCTGTTCAGCTTCCCAGCCTGCTTTACCCCCTCTCATGTTGATGCAGAGTAAAATGGCCCAGTGGCCCAAGGAGCAGGCCACCACATGGTGTAGTCATTACAAGCGGGGGTCCCAGGTAAGTGGCTCTGCTTTCGGCACTCTTGGCCTCAACACGGGGGCACACCACTCATGCCCACTTTTCTCGTCGTGGCCAAAACCTGAACTCACCTGCATGCTGGACTAATTGACACTGCTAGGAGCACCTGAGTGGGGGGAGTGAGCAGCAGTGCAAAGGATCAGCTCCTGCCTCAGCCTCCTCCCCCCGCCCACTGGCGGGTGCCTGGGTGGGCTTTTGGCCAGACACCAGAGGATGCTGGTCCTTGTGAAGGCTGCGAACCCAGAAGACACGCCAAGTTGACACCCCCCTTGAAATGGCTGGAGAGCAGCCCTTATGAAAGGGACCTCGGGGTGCTGGTCGACTGCAGGCTGAACTAGGGCTTATTAGTTCTGGAGCAGAGCACCCTTCTGTGGGTGTGTATGAAGAGCCTCTTCCCTCTGCGAGGCAGTCTGCATATTGTCGTGTCCCGAAACTTGCACCACCACACTGATCCACAGTATCTGTTTCCATCACACGTCCACGCTGCTGCTCAGCCACTTTCTCCACGCGTGGCATGCGAGCCGCAGGGCATCCCTGGACCGCTGGCTTTTTGACTGGAAGTGTCTTCCTGCGCTTGCCGTCTTCGCTGCTGCCCCTTTGCTCCGTCCCTGTCCCCCATTGTTTGGTGTTCCCCCAGGTTTGGCACAGCTTCTCTCTCGCCACCCTATTTCAAAAGGCCTTTCCGGATGAGTAGCCCAGACGGCAGCAGCAGGAGCCTCCTTTGGGCGGGTTTGCCGGCATTCCACTCGCCCCTTTTTATTCCCCGTTCACTGCCCGGATGTGGCCCCCAAGAGCCTCTCTGAGGTGGAGGGCTGCCCTCAACCTGCAGAGAGCCCCCCCCTTCTCCGCACACGACATTTCCGAGAAGCAGTCCCTCCCCACCCAGCGCAGGCCGTGTGCTGCCTCCCATCCACCCATGGCTTGATCCTCGCGGCCTCTCGGTTCCTCCCCAGCTTTCCTATGTCGATTCGGAGGGTAACCCCATCGGGGTGGTGCAGATGACCTTCCTGCGGCTCCTGAGTGCATCCGCCCACCAGAACATCACCTACAACTGCTACCAGTCTGTGGCCTGGCACGACGCCGTGGTGGGCAACTACGACAAGGCCATCCGCTTCCTGGGCTCCAACGACGAGGAGATGTCCTACGACAACAACCCCTTCATCAGGGCCCTCTTCGATGGTTGCGCAGTGAGTGTTCCCAGCCCTCCGCAAAGCGCTGTGCCAGGACCCCACCCGCCCTGCTGGGAGCCGCTTCTTTCACCACAGGGGCCATTCGCGTCCCGCTGGCTGGACAAGGCTTGCTTTCCCAGAGAAATCTGGAGAAGGACATCCTGGAGAAACCCTCCTGCACTGGGCTGGGGTCTTGTGGGATTCCTCTTCCCCTCCCTTCTGCCCTTAATGCCAGGCAGGTCAGACCAGCCCAGGTGACCCAGCGGGCTCGGAAATCCAGCAGGGATTAGCATCCCAGTTCATGGCGCTGCGGCCCTGCACGCTAACCCTCGCCGCCCGGCCACCCACCCACCCACCCGCTTCTGCTGTCCTCGCTCCTCTGACGTCTCTTTGTCTCCCTGTCTCTGCAGGCAAAGAAGGGCTACCAGAAGACCATCCTAGAACTCAACACCCCCAGAGTGGAGCAGGTCCCCATTGTTGACATCATGTTTAATGACTTTGGAGAAGCCTCGCAGAAGTTTGGATTCGAGGTGGGACCGGCTTGCTTCATGGGCTAAAGTGCCACTCGGAAAACCAATTCCAAAAGAGCAACCTCATAACCTCATTGCGCCTTTTTATTTTTGGCCCCTTTTGGCCACCGTCACATGCACGTTCTGGAACTGGACAGGTTGATGTGTTTGTCGCTTGTTTGTTCTCTGTTTTGCCTCAGTCCCAACTCTGACACCGGAACGCAAACCCATCGGAGCCCCAGTTAAAGGCGGGACTGTTCCTACCACAGACGCGTCCCCAGAATCACATGACCTAAAAGCATCACCTCTTGACCAAAGCAGCCTCTTCTGTCAACCCCCCCCCCACTCTGCATCACTTTTGGGACCCCCAAACCCCCCCCCCCTTGAGCTCGGATGCTTGGCTGTTCCCTCAATTGGAAATAGTCGGGCCACGAAACATTGCCAGTGCTTGTCCATTTTTATGTTTGGCAGCCTCACTGCAGTTGGTGGGTGAATGTCCACTTCTTAACAGATTTCCACCTTGCTGCCAGTTTCTGAAAAGTACTGGAGAAAATCCTCTTTGAGGTGTGATCATAGCAACTTTGCTTGCCGCTGTACAGGAACCGTGGACTAAGGACGCTTTCCGGACCCTTCCGGTTAAGACTCCCTGTCTTCACTGGGCTTTCGATCAGATATGGAATCCCCACCCCCACCCAATCATAACCTGCTGCTCTTTGATTTTTCCTTTTTTTTCTTTTTTGCCTAAGAACCTACAAGTAACAACTGAAACCAACTTTAAAAAATAGTCAGGTTCTGACTGTATGCCCCATATCTTAAAGGTGCTTCTATTTTTGTATTTTGTAAGTAAATATTTGTATATTATTATATTAAATATAAAAATGTTTCTGGGTTCAAAACATGCATGTGACTCACCCACGTTCCCCCGGGGCAATTTGACGAGCAATCTGACATCCGCCAAAACTCCAGGAAATGAGACCAGCATCAGCTCCCGCAGTGAACCGCCCCTCAAGTATTTGCCGCATCCTTTGCCACACGTTTACTCAGAAGTAAGCCCTACTTGAAGTCCATCAGCCTTACTGCCTAGAATCAGCACCCCCCGTGAGCATGCAAGCCCTGGTCCTTCGTAGCCAGCAGGTGCCTGCCGTTCAATCAGGCGCCTCTTCGTTTAGTTGTGTTTTGTTGCCCCTGAGATCAGGGCAAATGCGCAGAGCACATCTCCAAAGAAAAAGAAAACCAAGGAATGCCAGGATAGCTTGATAACACAACCAGTGGGTGTGAACTGGGAGAAACAACGCGTTTGCTGCAGGGAGCGGGGCCTTCCCGAACAAGGAGGGCTGTCACCAAGTACCCCTGATGCTGAGGTCTGCTCTACCGTTTTTTCCGCCTTCACTTGATTCAAAGTACAGGTTTGCTTTTTTAAAAAATACCTTTTACACCAAGAAAGGAAGAGAACAATGCCTTGCTTTTGTTTCCATCGACCGTTCTCACTGGAGGAGTGTCTGTGGCAGGGATACACTTGATTTGCCTCCTTGGAAATAATAACGCTAAGAATTGAAAGTTAAGGACACAGGTGCTCATCACCTTTTTATTTACACGTCTCTTTGTTGGTGCTATGGCTCTGAGGCATGCCGTGCCCGCACGGGGGACCTCTGCCGCTCATCTGCCTCCAAGGCGCTCCCCCCGCAGTGTCCCAGCCCCTGCTGTCGCTGCACGGCGGGGCCGGTGTCGCCTCGTGCAGGTCTTAACATGAGCTTGTGCATGCGTGTGTGCGTGGTGGGGTTGGGGGGAGTTGTGTTTCTTTTCTTGTACTCGGTTACTGGACATTTGTGGTGCTAATTTATGTGTTTGTTCAGTGTACTGAAATCAAGATCAAAGTGCCCCCGCTGCAGACTGCCCTTAAAGAGCAGGAGAAGCCGGTGGGCGTCTGCTTGCCTTTCGCATTGGCCTGTGGAGCGGGGCTGTGGCCAGCGGGCATCCCGGCCGGGACCCTCCATCCGCCAAGGGTCTTCCCAGGCGGAGAAGGGGCGGGGGGCAAGGCACGCAGCCCCAGGCTGATCCACCAGGGAAAGGCGTCCACTGTGAACCAGGCCTTTCTATGAAGTCTTTTCCCAGGGTGCTCCTGCAGGAAGGTTTGATCTGTGAAAGGCGAGTCACAGAGGGGGTGGGGTGGGGGGGCACGAGGGTTTTCTCTGCACTCCTTCATGGGAAGCCATCAAGCCCCCCCGGCTTGTGTTTCTTGGACTTTTGGCTCTTCTCGCCTGCGTCCTAGAACGGTGTCCCCGGGAGACATCTCTCAAGAGGGCAGGAGGGGCTTCCCGGAAGGACAGGCCCGCCTCTGTGCACCCCCTTGCACTCTCCCGCCACACGGAGATGCAGAGATGTGCTGGCTGCCTTCTTGGCAGAGAACTTCGCCTCTCTGGACCCGGGGCACCTCCCCGCTGTTGGGCAGCCCCGAGGCGTCACCTCCCCTCTTTTGGGGGCTGGCAGCGGGCCTCCTTGGCCTGCCAGGTTGTACCTGCAGTTCACACCTGTGGACAGACCTGCCAGGCACTTTCCACCGCCTGAGCTGAAGCCTTGGTCGCAGCCCTCAGGAAGCTCCTCCGTGCAGAAGGCTTTCCTCAGTGGCAGACAGTTCAAAACTTGTACTGGAACATCTCACGTCAACAGTGGTACAACTTGAGCAGAGTCTGTATCGCAGGGTTCCCCCGTCCTCTCTGGGACTTGGAGAACTTCAAAAGGACAGGCATCTGCCTCTGCCAAAGAGCCGCTCGCTCGTCTGTGTGAACGGGGAAGCAGACGCACACTGATTAGGTCATGTGATTCTGTTCTGATCATTTCTTGTCCAGGGATGTTTCACTTTTCCATTTTTTTGTTTGGTGCTTCTGTCAAAAAAAGGAGAAATCCTACCAAGTGTTGTAAAACTGTACTGAAATTTCTTTCAATCTTGTCCCGTTTTCTCTTTCCTCCCAGACCACTTAGCTACATTATATTGCAATAAAAAATATTTCTTGTATTTGCAGACATCTCTTTTTGTGTAATTTTATCCCCCTTTCCCCTTTAATATATATGATGACTTGAACAAATATTGATGAGAAAAAAATGGATTTTTTAAAAAGTAGACTTCCCCCTCCTTTAAGTAAGGAAAACATGCACACAAACACATACACAATTAGGTGACCAGTTTGTACAGGTTCCCAAATTCAATGCCTATAAGAGGTATTTTTTAAGAAATAAAATATTTTAAACCTGTGTAATAAAGGAATCAATGTAATAGATATTTTTCAATAAATCAAGTTTACTGTTTCCACCTAATGCACTGTGATGTGAATGCTTCTTGAATAGACTGGAGTGGGAGTCCATCTCCCTGCTCCCTTGCTCTGGCTTGCTGAAGCAGGAAGGATGCATCGCAATCAGTGGAGAGGATGAGCTGGGCGTTGCGCTCCAAACGAAGACGAGCAAACCCGCAGGGCTGCCCAGGGACTGCGCGGCGGTGCAGCTCGAGCTGCGGGAAGAACCCGCAGGGGATCCCAGCGAGCCGAGGCTCCCGCCAGTCTGGCCTGCAGAGTCGCATGGATTCCCTGGACGTGCAGGCTGCTTCTACTCTTCTGGGGTGGGAGCAGTGTTGCACCGAGGCACATTTGCACGAGGGTGCCTTGGCACCAACACGCATGTACGGGCATCGGTGCACACTTGCGGGTGTGGATTGGCACCACTGCACCATAGCGCTGATGTGCATAAACCCAAAGGTGCCTCGACAAAAGTTGATGCAGCATCATGCAAAAGAAATGCGTTTCCCTCAATGAGCAGAGAACCATTTTAGGAAAACCTCATGAAACGAGGGCCAAGCTGATTTAACAACATTGTCTGTAGCCCTCAGGCTGGACCTCGGGGGCCGGGGGGAGTGGGCTTCAGCCCCTTGCCCCAAACTGCCACTCAGAGCTGCAGGGGGTGCAGGCAAATGGACAGCTCTGCAGAGGGGGGCCCCCAGGCCTGGCCAAGGCTGATGCTGGCTGCTGAGGGTGTGAGGATCTGAGGCAGCACCAGGGCTCCCTCTTCTGGCCAGAGAGCAGGACAGCAGCCCTGGCGGCTGCAGGAGGGGCCCACAGTCAATCGCAGCCACCTGGGACATTATGAGCGCCAGCTGGGAGCCCTGAGGGAGGGGCTCCCTCAAAACCGGCTCTTCCCTTCAGACGTGGCCTCAGCAGCCAAGGGCCTTGGTGCTGTTGGAGCTCCCTGTGCCTTCTGGAACCCGCTTCTGGAGACCCTGCCCGCTGCCTTGCTCCTGCCTCTGCCTCTGACCATGCCCGGCTTCACCTGCTCCAGCTCCAGGTACCCGCTTCTCCTCGGCTTGTCTCTGCGGTTGGTGACTCCTGACTGGCTTGGCTGCTCTTTGCCCTTTGGACTGGCCTACCTCGCAGTTCTGTTGCCTGCCTTGACCTCTGGTCTCCTTGACTACAATTTGGAATGGGCCTGTATATCGTATTGGTTGCCTGGGTCCTGACAGTGCTGCTCTGATGCTGGCAGAGGTGCCCTGTTTTCTTTTTCAGAAGTATTTTCCGGTTGCGGGTGGGTCAGTGCCCATGCCTGCAAATGCTCCTGTTGCTTTCTGGAGGTGTTTGGCAGAAGCAAATGCCATGCGGTTTCTCTTGCTGTGATGGTCGCTATTTTAGTGAGGTTTAAAGGCAAAACAGTGTGTGTTCAGGGTATTTTCTCCGACTCAGCAAACAGACTCTCTCCCTCTGTCTGTCTGTCTGTCTGTCTGTGTCTCTCTTGCGCGTGCTCTCTTTCTCAAATATTGCTCATGGGGGTGTGAAGGGACCCTTCTGAGGAGCACTAGCGGCACAATCTTACATGTGTTTCGACTGAGAAGGGCCACCAATTCCCAGCATGTCCCACCTGGGAGTGGTGGGCCCTTTTATCTGAACTTTCAGAGGTATCACAATGAAGCATAGAAACTACCCAGCAGGCCTTTGCTTCTTAATGTGGTTTCTGAAAGCCGACTGAACCCCGCTGAAATGCCACCACGGACAGAGCGTTTGGACAGAGCGTTCTGCACGAGAAATTGTCGCGGCTTGTCATGTCATGTGAACCTGCCCTGTGTGTGCTGGGATGGAAGGCCTCAGTTGCTTTGGAAGGGGTTCGATCAGAAACCTGGGCAACTCCTAAACACCTTTATCTTCCCTACCAGGTAGGATGCAGCATCCCCAAATGATGCAGTTTCATAGCCTTCTTTCCTTGGATTGTTCCACCAGAAAATTCAGAGATGTGCAGATTTGGAAAAGTGATAGCATTTCAGTTTGCATAAGGATTGGACAGTGCGTGGTTGAATGA